TTTTCATTTTGTGCAGATAATGCAGCTTGTTGAACACCATTTGTTGAAAAATTTTCTTCTGAAGTGGTTGAGTTTGGTGTGTTTTCAGATGTTGATGCAGCATGTGATGCAGAAATATTGTTTTCAATTGCTGTAACACGAGGATTAGCCTTGGTTTTTCTGGCTGGTTTTCTGGTTTTGGTTACTCTAGTTGTTGAAGAGGTTGAAGAGGTTGAAGAGGTTGAAGAGGTGTTTCTTCTATTGGAGTTTCTTGTGACAGCCATTGTTTCTAGTTGATGTTGATTTAATGATCACTTGTTTTATTTTATTCGTGGTTTTAACCTGACAGAATATCCTCTACTGTGTGTATATAAGGTAATTCCGATGTTCTATTAATATACATATAATGTTACAATTAGTGGATTCTTGATTCTTCTTATAGTTGATGTGAAATGTTGAGTATTGATGAATTGTGCATAATTGGTTATTCTGGTTATGTAATACCTGACAGTTGTAAAACCCGAGTAGGGCCGTCGAAAATTTTCCCTATCAGTGTGGTTTGTGTCCGTTAAATGCTTGACTAACAATAGCAAAAATCAACAGTTTTTCCATATGATATTTCATACTTCAAGGTACCAACTTTCATGTTGTATATATATAAGTTGACAAGCCACAGATCAGATCACTCTTAAATTCAAGTTACAGACTGAATTACTATAGCAACCTTTTCTGTTTGTTAATATGCCACTCTTTGATCGGTTTTCAAAAAGGTCTACTGTTGATGTCAATTTGAAAGAGCAGAGTACAATAACAGCAGAGTCTGATTCAGCCCAAGCTGAGCTAGAAGCTCCAGTGCTGTTGAAGAAAACATCTCCTTTAATCACATTTATCTTTGGAAAAAAAGTACCCCCTATACCTGAGAAAAGAGAACCATATCCATTTGTTAATGCTAACATATTTTCACAATTGACATTTTCTTGGATCTCTGACATGATTAAAAGAGGTTACTATAGAAGAGTTGAAGATGAAGATCTCTATTATTTAGTTGGGGATTTGACTATTGAAGAAATGTGCAAAAAGTTTGAAGCCAACATGGATAGAAGAATACTGGAATGGAAAAAGAAAAAACAATCACAACCTGAGGAGCGTTTCACAAAATATTTGGTATTGAGAGCTCTAAATGATACATTTTTTAAAACCTATTGGAGTGCTGGTGCATTCAGAGTTTTATGTGACACTTCTCAAGTTTTAAACCCGCTATTGGTTCGTGAATTAGTGAAACATGTCAATGCTCAACAAACAGATCCAACGTTAGGACCTGGTAAAGCTATTGGTTATTGTATCGGTATATCCCTTCTTTTGATTGTTAGCTCACTTGGTAATTGCAACTGTTTGCACCTAGGAATGCTATCTGGTGCCCAAGCTAAAGCATTGTTGACAAACCTGTGTTACAAGAAGAGTTTCAAGCTAAGTGCAAAGGGAAACTCGGAATTTCCAAAAGGGAAAGTCAATAGTTTAGTGATGACAGATCTAGCAAGAATAGATATGGCACTTGGTGTGATTCATTTTCTTTGGTCGTTCATTATCGCTTTGATTATTGCTATAGTGATTTTATTGGTCTTGGTAGGCGCCCCTGCCCTTGTTGGTATTGCAACATGCTTTGTTATTATTGGTTATATCTTTGTTGCAAATAAATACTTGAAAAGCTTGAGAAGAAAGACTATTGCATTTGTTGACAATAGGGTTGGCGGTGTAAGAGAGGTCGTGAATGCTATGAAAATGATCAAGCTTTATTGTTGGGAGGTTCCTTACTTCAAGATCATTGAGAAGTATAGAAATGATGAGAAAAAACATCTTTTAAAAATGAACCTTTTCAAAGCTTCCATGTTTTCTTTGATGACTTCTACTGGTGTTTTGGCCACTATGTTTACATTTTTAACCATGTATGGGGTTGGGAAAAATTTCAAGTCGTATAACATTTTTTCCTCAGTTGCTCTATTCAATTCATTAAGACAACCCTTAACAGTTTTGCCATCAGCTACGGCGTATGTTATTGATGGAAGTATTGCACTCGACAGAATTACAGCCTTTCTACAAGCTGATGAGAAAGAGGAATACGTTGAACATCATGAGATTCAAGAGTCGGAAAATTCAATTGAAGTTGAAAAGGCAACATTTGGATGGGACTTGGATGGTGAAGTCGCCAAGCAGGAGATATTGAAAGATATTAGTCTCAGCATCAAGAGAGGTGAGTTTGTGGTGATCACAGGTGCTGTTGGTACTGGGAAATCTTCATTATTGAGTGCCATCCACGGTATGATGATCAAGTATCTTGGTTCTGTCAAAGTATACGGGTCACAGTCTTTTTGTTCGGCACCTTGGATTCAAAATGAAACAATTAGAGAAAACATTTTATTCGGAAACACCTTTGACCATAAAAAGTATAGTCGTGTCATCAAAGCTTGCTCACTCGAAGATGATTTCGCAATGTTCACTCATGGTGATTTCACAGAGGTTGGTGAAAGAGGTATTACACTTTCTGGGGGCCAAAAGGCAAGAGTCAGTTTAGCCAGGGCTGTCTATACAAATTCAGATATTATTTTACTGGATGATGTTCTTAGTGCGGTTGATGCAAGAGTTGGTAAACATATCATGGATGATTTAATTTGTGGTTACATCAAGGACAAGACAAGAGTTTTGGCCACTCACCAACTATCATTGATTCAATCTGCCGATAGAATCATTTTCTTGGATGGTTCTGGTGGTATAGATGTCGGAACAGAAGATGAACTTTTATCAAGAAATAACGATTTCATAAACCTTATGAAGTTTAGTTCTGAGAAAGAAGGCGCAGAAGAGGAGCTAGAAGATCCACAAGAAGTTGGTGATACAATCAAAAAGATTTCCACAATAATTAGCGCCAAAGAAGATGTTGGTGGTGATGAACAGAAGAAACACAAAATCATAGAAGAAGAATTTAGAAGTGCAAAATCAATCTCATGGGAGGTCTATTACAACTACTTTAGTCTAGGAGCTGGGAGGTTTTATTTTATCGTTTTACCTATATTTGGGCTGTCTTGTATCCTGAATGGATTTCTTTTTGCATTCAATTCTGTTTGGTTAAGTTTTTGGGTTTCAGACAAGTTTGGCTTTTCATCACACGTTTACGCTGGGTTATATGCCATGTTTTGCGTACTTGCAGCGCTAGCTAATGTTTCGATGCTTTTGTTACTTGGTAAACTGAATAATGATGCTGGTTTGAGGCTATTTATTCTAGCTTTACAGAAAGTTTTGAGAACACCAATGAGTTTCATGGATACAACGCCGATTGGTAGAATCTTGAACAGATTCACAAAAGATACAGATACACTTGATTCCAATATAGCGGACCAGTTGAGTATTTTTGCCATGGGTTCAATTTCAGTTTGCAGTACATTTATCTTGTGTGGTATTTACATCCCATATTTATTCATTGCTTATCCTTTCATTGGCTTCTTTTATATTTCTCTGTCCAATTACTATCAAACATCAGCGCTAGATATAAAAAGGCTTGAAGCAATCAATAGATCTAACGTGTTCAGTCATTTTAATGAAACTTTATCAGGAATGTCCACAATAAAATCATATGGATCAGTCAAAAGATTTTCAGAAAGATTTGAATATTTAATTGATAAAATGGATATGGCTTACTTCCCTACTTTGGCAAATCAGAGATGGCTGGCTGTGAGATTGGACTTTACAGCTTCTGGTGTTTCACTGCTGGTTTCGCTTTTATGTGTGTGTGGAGTTTTCAACCTAGGATCATCATCTACTGGTTTACTGATCTCTTATGTTATGCAAATTGCATCCATTGTTTCAATGTTGATGAGATCCAAGACTCAAATTGAAAATGACATGAACTCTTGTGAAAGATTGTATGAATATGCATATCAATTGCCTCAAGAAGCAGCTCCTTTAATTACACCAGGCCCCAAACCAACATGGCCCGAACAAGGATCAATTGAATTTGAAAACGCTAGTCTCAGGTATAGAGATAACCTACCACTGGTTTTGAAAAACGTTACTTTCAATGTTGCTCCTGGTGAGAAGATTGGGATTGTTGGTAGAACCGGTGCTGGTAAGTCAACTATAATGAATGCATTATTCAGAATCAATGAGCTTGCTACGGGGAAAGTGCAAATTGATGGTATTGATATATCTACATTAGGTTTAGATCAACTAAGATCTAAAATGTCAATTATTCCTCAAGATCCAGTTTTATTTAAAGGGTCGGTCAGACAGAACTTGGACCCATTCAATTCTTATAATGATGTTGAGCTATGGGATGCCTTGAAAAGATCATGGTTGATTGAAAAAGATAGTGAATTGACACTAGATGCTAATGAAACAATGCACAAGTTCCACCTTGATCAACACATTAAGGACGAAGGGGAAAATTTTTCTTTAGGAGAACGTCAATTGATTGCACTTGCCAGAGCTTTGGTGAGAAATACAAAGATTTTGGTCATGGATGAAGCTACTTCAAGTGTTGATTATGAAACAGACTCAAAAATTCAGTCAACCATTGCAAATGAGTTTTCCCAATGTACTATTCTATGTATTGCACATAGACTGAGAACAATCTTGAAATATGATAGGATTCTTGTTCTTGACCATGGTGAGGTGAAAGAATTTGACACACCGTTTAATCTATTCAAACAAAATGGAATTTTCACTGATATGTGTCAAAGATCTAATATAATTGAGGCTGATTTTTAAGCCGACTTAAATGAATAGAAACCCATACCATTAATATTTATAGCGTACTTAATGATTAATAACTTGCATATGTTTAAAGAGCTTTAAGTAGAAGTACCTATTGTTTGTAGAAGAGACGTTTGGCATGTTTTTGGCCCGGTGCTCTTTGGTAAAATCACCCAGATTTTGTCAAATCTTACACCAGCGTTCATCCTTAACTAAAGTACACACAGCACAACTAGACCAAGAAAGCTTATACTACAAACGAATTCAGAGGACAGATAAAGGATAAATCTAAACAAGTTAAGCTTAAAGAAAAACGCTTTCAGTACCCAGATAAAGCTGTACACTAACAACGCTCTTCAATAGATCAAGTATATTTTTATCTCCGTTAGGTGAAGCTCTACATAGAGAAAGAGAGAAATGGGAATTATCGGTCACACAAAGGTCTTGTACAAATCTTAATTCTTGGTGTGTACTTTCTGAGTAAAGAATTTGGGTACATCTGTATTTATATCCAAAGATATCCAGGTCCAATCTATCATCTGTTGTTATCCATCGAAATTTGGGAGCTCTCCATTAACAATGAAATATTTCAAACACTTTGTCTTAGCTACTTTACCAAGTCTAATAGCCACTGCTGCTCTTCCACAAGCCAATCCAGAAGTTACAAATGCACCATTAGTCAAGAGAGGTCAGTCAGTCTTATCTGACCAAGTTTGGACATCGTCTTCAGATGGTATCATTATGGCCATTACGCCAACAGTAATAGATGCTGTTACTATATCGGCCTCGCCTGTTACTGGAAAACCAACAGTTTGGGCTTCTTTAGATAACAGTGGTATTCCAAGTCTAGTCACCCCAACTGTGAAAGATGGAAAAACTATATCAGAATCTCCAACACCAACAGATACAGGTTTCCCAACACCTGCTGCTGTTCCGCCCGTATTAAGATGCTTTGGAAATAGAGTCCCAGACTCAAATTCAGATACACCAGGCTACCCATTTTGCACTGCATTGAATGGAACTGAAATGCTTGTTGGTGAGACATACTGGTTGACATGGGATCCAACGTACTGGGGAAGTACTGATATCACAAGGGTCAAAATTGAACTTATCGAATATCCTCAACCTCGTTCAGGTGGTGTTCTATTTGAAACCCAATATTTGTCCAACGCAGATGGATATTACCCATTGACCATGGATTCCTCATTTATCAAAAACGATGGATATTTTTGGGTTACTATAACGCCTTTAACCACATCAACCACCAATGCGAAAAATATTGGTACAAAGAATGGACCATTATTGAGAGTGATTAGAACAAAAGCAGATGCATTAACTAAGATCAATAGACTTCCATCTGATAATGGCTTGACAACATCAAAATCTCAATCAGATTCTAAAGCAAAGACAATTGCGCCAGCTGTGGTAGTTCCAGTTATTGTTGTGATAGGTATTGCAATCTTTGTTATCTGGTACTTGACAAAACAAAAGAAATCAGCCCTCCTGGGTCTAGGTAACCTGAGATCAACTAAAAATAAAAATACTGCTTCAAGCTCGTCTCAAGCACAAGGTGATATTCATCTTTCCCCAGCTACCACACACGCGGACAATGAAACTATAGCCACTACCATCACCAATGAAACAACAAAGAACCCTTTCACTGACACCAGACAAGTCCTTTGAAATTCGGTTACACAATTAGGACAACATAAGTCAGTTCAAATCACTCACTATTCACCTTCTTTGAATAGCATTTCATTTAAGGAATGTCAATGTCTTCTCGTTGCAACAATGTTTATTTTTAATTGTTTACTCGTGTACATTTTTATTAAAGGATTCTCTTGTAGTCTTTCTGCCTGCCTAGCCTACTGCAGCTGTTTCACCTCTTTCTACCCGCCTAAAGCCCCCCTGGGATCTAGGTGGAGTTCTGTGCGTGTGTGTACCAATTCGCGGCCAACATCTCAAAAAAAAGGTCGTACCCGGATTCGAACCGGGGTTATCCGGATCAAAACCGAAGGTGATAACCACTACACTATACAACCGCGAACGAAATTTCTAAAATAGCGGGTGACTAAACGCCACCAAAATTGTTAAGCGCAACAAATTTTTACTGATAGGTAAAGGTTTTAAACTTATAAAAGTGTGTACTATAGCTTGAACTAATTCAGGGATTGTTGTTCAACAAGACCCATCTGTATGCTAAGGATCTACTGGAGATGTCAGTCTTTCTTGACCAGTGCCCGTATGGGTGGACTCTTTTGATCGCAGGTGAAAATGCCATCAATCCTTGTGTCTTTGAATACCTTATGCTTTCGAACGTTGTCATAATGATGCCATTTGGGTTCTATCAACTGTGGTCAACCATGCAAAAACCAGCCCCTGGTAAAATCAAATACAATAAAATTGGTGCTCTAGGACTGCTTAGAGTTATCGCTACATTACTCCAAGCTGTGCTTTTGCTGTCTCAAAAAGACCAGCTTTATTTCTTTGCTAATGGTTTAATCATCTTATTTGTCACACTACCTTTAACATTTTTTGCACTGTTCAAAAATCCTGTCGCTAGTGGCTCGGTTATTTTCTACTGGCTATTCCAGATGGTTGTTTATGCTATTGCTGCTTGTCAAAATATCCTCACGGTTTACAAAGTTGCAGACGATAATCCAGTTATTATGTATGTGGTGTTGCCAAATGCTATTCATTTGTTCGTTTCAAATGCTTTCCTGTACACACCAGTTCATGAAGTTGTGAAAGAATCACTCGAAAGTGGTTTGTTGCACGCTAATATTTTATCCAAGTTAACATTTTTTTGGATGAATGATTTGATCAAGAAAGGTTACAATAATGAACAAATTACCGATGAGGACTTGCCAATCCCACCTGCCCAGCTAGATCCTGGTAAATCATATAATGATTTAAAAAAAGTCTGGGAAAACCAAGAAAATAAATCTTTGCTTTTTGCGTTGTCAAAGGTTTTTGGTTTCACTGTGGTTACTGCTGTGTTTTATGCTGTCTTGGATGATATTTTATCCTTTGCTGAACCTCAATTGTTGAGACTATTGATCAAATTTTTTGATGAGGATCAACCTCTTATTGTTGGTTTCTTGATTGCTTTTGGGATGTTCTTTGTTTCAGTGTTGGAAACTGCTCTTTTTAACAGATTCTTCATTTCCATTTACGAAGCTGGGTTAGGTACTAAATCTGCTTTGATGACGCTGATTTATAACAAAGCGCTAAAACTTTCTCCAGAAGCAAGAAAAGAACGGTCTACGGGTGATATCATCAATCTAATGTCAGTGGATGTGAACAGAATTCAAGATTTGACTAATCAGTTCCAAATGATGATTTCCGCTCCTGTCAAATTGGTCCTTTGTCTTGTTTCACTATATGCTTTGCTAGGGAAATCTACTTTTGCTGGTATCATAACTATGGCTATTGCTATACCTCTCAATACATTGGTATCCAGAAGGTTAAAAGGATTACACAAAACACAAATGAAATATAAAGATGAAAGAACTCGAACCACTTCGGAAATGCTTTCAAGTATTAAAAGTATAAAACTTTATGCTATTGAAACTGCTATTCTAGAGAAATTGGATTATGTTAGAAATGTTTTGGAACTTGGAAACTTGAAGAGAATTCGAATCTTCTCTGCATTCATGGTTTTTTCTTGGAATTGCGTACCTTTCTTTGTGAGTTGTTCAACTTTCACTGCTTTTGCTTTAATTGAAAATAGACCTCTATCACCAGAAATTGTTTTTCCAGCATTGTCATTGTTTAACCTTCTTGCTGATCCGGTTTATGAAATTCCATCAATTATAACAGCTCTTATTGAAACTTCAGTCGCTTTCCAAAGAATCACAAGCTTTTTATTGGGTGAAGAATTGGATGAAGAACTCATAAACTATTACGAAAAGGTTGATGCTGCTGGTAAGACCACGGTGAAAATTTCGAATGCCACTTTCCTATGGGAAAACCCACCTCAGTTGAAAAAGAAAGATTATGATGAAGAGTCTGCCGTTTCAGAGTCAAAAGTTGCACTTAAAATAGATTCCTTTGTTGCAAAGAAAGGAGAGCTCACTTGTATTGTCGGTAGAGTGGGTGCTGGTAAATCAACCTTTCTTCAATCTATTTTAGGTCAGCTACCTTGTGTTGGTGCTGATAATAATAACAAACCAGAAGTGGATATCCATGGTTCAATCGCATATTGTGCCCAAGTTCCATGGATCCTAAATGCGTCAGTCAAAGATAATATTCTTTTTGGTCACAAGTATGATGATAAGTACTACCATAAGACTATTGAGTGTTGTCAGTTATTACCAGATTTGGATATTCTACCGGATGGTGATGAAACTCAAGTTGGTGAAAAGGGTATTTCGTTATCTGGTGGTCAAAAGGCTCGTTTGAGTTTGGCAAGGGCGGTTTATGCAAGAGCTGATATCTATTTACTTGATGATATATTGTCTGCTGTGGATGCTCATGTTGGGAAAAATATCATTTCTAACGTTATCAATGGTTTGTTATCTACTAAAACTATCATTCTATCTACAAATTCCATCACTGTTTTGAACCATGCTAATAACATCCTATTGTTAGCTGATGGTAAAATTGTTGAAGCGGGTTCATTCAAAGACGTTATGGGATCGGGCTCTAAATTATCAACTTTGATGACTGAATTTGGAGCAAAATTTGACGATGATGCAAACGATGAAGATGAATTACCATTGGAAAGAACTAAAACTACAGAAACAGTGAGAAGAGCCAGTATTGCAAGTCTAAAAATACGTCCAGCAAATAAAAAGAAACAAAGAACTGCCCAAGAAGAAGAAAAGTCAGCTACTGGTAAAGTTTCATTTGCAGTCTATAAAGCGTACGCTAAAGCTTGTGGTATACCCGGTATTATTGTTTTCCTAGCTTTTTTGATGTCTGCAGTTTTATTTTCAATCATAGGAAACTATAGTTTGAAACAATGGTCTGAAAGCAACCGTAAAAACGGTTCAAACAAAGATGTTTTCAAGTATGTTGGTATTTATACCTTCTTTGGGATTGGATCTGGTTTTTTGACGCTAGGTAGAACTATCACAATGGGTGTTTTCTGTGGTTTGAGAGGATCTGTTGTTTTGCATAACAAAATGTCGAGAGCTGTGGTTAGATCTCCTATGTCATTTTTTGAGACTACACCAATCGGTAGAGTCTTGAACAGGTTTTCATCTGATATTAATAAGGTTGATGAGGGTTTACCTGGAGTCTTTTCTTTCTTTTTCACTTCATGCGCTAAGGTTTTTTTCACATTAGGTTTCATTGGTATAACCATGCCATCATTTTTGTTGGTTATTGCTGTCCTTTCGGTTCTTTACATCTACTATCAAAGGTATTATGTTGGTACTTCAAGGGACTTGAAGAGAATTGTTAATGTTTCTAGAAGTCCAATCTTTGCCCATTTACAAGAATCACTTTCTGGTTATGAAACAATCAGGGCATATCAGCAACAGCCTAGATTTCAATTCTTACATCTCACCAATCTTGAATCTAACTTGAAAAGTTTATACATTTTTAGATCCATTAACAGATGGCTTTCAGTTAGACTACAATTCATTGGATCAATTATTATTTTCACTACAGCATCATTAGCGATCACCAACCATTTAAGTTCTGGTATGGCAGGTCTTCTTATTAGTTTTGCTTTACAAATCACAGGTTCATTGAACTGGATTGTTAGAATGACTGTTGAAGTTGAAACAAACATTGTTTCCGTGGAAAGAATCATGGAGTATTGTGAGTTGAAACCTGAAGCTGAAGAAATTATTGAACCTAGACCACCAAAAGTTTGGCCAAGCCATGGTAGTGTTAAATTTGAAAATATTTCAGCCAAATATAGAGAGAACTTGGATCTTGTTTTGAAAAATGTGTCACTGGATATTAAACCAAGAGAAAAAGTGGGTATAGTTGGAAGAACTGGTGCAGGTAAGTCCTCGTTGATGTCGACAATTTTCAGATTAATTGAGCCAACGGATGGTAAAATATTTATAGATGGTTTGGATATAGGCAAAATTGGCTTACATGACTTGAGAAGTAACTTAGCTATTATACCCCAAGACTCTCAGTCATTTGAAGGTACAGTTAGACAAAATCTTGATCCATTAGAACTGCACACTGATGAAGAACTATGGAGAGTTCTTGACCTTTCCCATTTAAAGAGCTTCATTCAAAACTTGGATAAAGATAATGAAGATGGTCATGTTGGTTTGGAAGCTAAATTATCGGAAGGTGGGTCGAATTTGTCAGTTGGTCAAAGACAACTGTTATCACTTGCTAGAGCTTTATTAAACCCATCAAAGGTTTTGATCCTGGATGAAGCTACTGCGTCTGTTGATGTTGAAACTGACCAAATTGTTCAAAAAACAATAAGAGAAGCATTCAAAGATCGTACTATTTTGACTATTGCCCATAGAATTGATACTGTGTTGGATAGTGATAAAATTGCAGTTCTGGACCAAGGTCAGGTAAAAGAATTTGATACCCCAGATAATTTATTGGCCAACAAAGAAAGTATGTTTTACCAGCTTTGTTCACAAGGTGGCTACATAAAGGAGGATATATAAGCATAGATGTTATGATTAATTTATTCAATAAAAAAAGATATAGAGAATTGAAATTTGATATCACATATCAAAGTAGAACTAGCCAAAGTCTGGAATCTCTTCACCATTCTTGATGAACTCTTCTTTCTTTCTCTTGTCATCACGGGAACTCAAGAAAAACGACACCAATGTACACACCAACCCTAACGAAGAAAGACATGCTGTATAAGTAAATCCAATATGAAACTCTGGGTTCTGAGTTTGGTTGAAAGTAAGAACTGGAACCCATGATTGTGTTACATATGCCAAGGTATTTGTACAAACAACAACAAAGTTCCTTTTCATATCATCATGTGCAAGCATTCTATTAACCCATGAGAATATAAGTGGCTGTCCAGCACTTAAAGGAATACCAATACCAAAGTAAGAATACCAATGAAGGCCTATTGGAATGTTCCACACAGACAAGCAAGCACAACTAAAGACAACAGACGTGAACATGAACGAAAGAAATAATGGATTCAACCTCCCATGGAAATAGTCATTTGTATAAGCCACAAAGAGAGCAAACCCAATACCACCAGCTGAAATAGCAGTAGGATAAATATTATACTGATAAGGCTTCAGCTTCAACCCATTTTTCATCCAAAGCTGGAAGGACTGTTGAGATATTGGAGTGAATGAGTTGTTGAATGTCAAGAACAAGACAGGTAGTAACCAAATGTGCCATGTGGTGAAAAATGATTTTATCTTTGTCCAAGTATAAGGTTCCCTAGTGTTCAGCTGTGCACCGATTCTTCTTCTTCTTTCTAAAGCGACCTTTTTATCAGTTTCATTGAAGAAGAATGCAGTAGTGGTGGAAGGAGTATTTGGGTCAGCAAACAAAGTATAGAAAGCAACTGGTGCAGAGATGATAGCATCAATAACAAACATCCATTGGAAAGGTTCCAAACCTTTTTGTGCCCATTTTGAGTCAAGAATGCTTTGCTGCAAAGGACCAGTTATCAACCCTGCTGCAGTTCCCGCACATGCAAAGAAAGTAGATCTCTTGGTTAGTTCTTTTCTACTATACCATGAACCAATCAAATATTCTAACCCGGGGAAGTAACCTGATTCTAACAAACCAATAAGAAATCTGAGAGCATAAATACCATTCAATGATTTTGGTACGATTAAAAGTGCAGTCAAGATGGCCCATGATAACTCTAAACCAGCCAAATAATATCTAGCGGAAATACGATGAAGGATTAAATTTGACGGGATTTGTCCAATAATATAACCCACAGTCCAGAGGGTTGTCATATAATTGTATTGATTACCGTCCATGTGATAGAATTCTTTCATACCATTAACATAAGCAGTACCAACGTTTGATTGGTTCAGATTTTTGATAAAGTAACCCAGCATGGAGGAAGATAAAAGGAAAAAGTCTAACTTTAGCAGAAAGGACTTTTCCAATGGGTGCTTGTCCACTGAATCCCAAAGAAACAATTTTAGTTTATAAAACCATGTGTCTCTTTTCTCGATTTCTTCTTTTGTTAAATCCACAGTCAAATCAATATAGGGAACATTATCATCATGAAGTACGATACTATCAACTTTCAATTTTCCGTTTTTCTTGGAGTCAGTTGAAGAAATTGTTTGAATTTCGTCCAGAACTTCTTGCTTCTGCGTGGAGTCACTCATATTGTTCAGTTCACTGATTGAAGCTAACAAGATCCATCATAGAAAGGGATATTGAGCACTTTTTATAGTTATTTGATTGAAGAAAGATGACTGAAAACGATCAGAAGCACTTCCATTGAAATATAGCGTCATTTGAACCTCATTCGACGTTGGTATCTCATGGCATGGCAAAGTCTTGACAACCTTTTAGTTGTTGGATGTTGAAGTTTGAGAATTTAGTGAAGACTAAGTTTAAAATATCATCTTGAAAAAAATGCCACATATTTAACCACACCACACACCAAGCACCCATACATATCCCTCCTCCAACCACATATTGCTCATCAATTGACATATATGGATCCGTTATCAGTCCATCATCGTGGTGGGCGATGACTTGTCACACAATCAGCCGTTCAATTTTCTCTCATCGAAGAACTCTTATCACTTTTCCATCTTCATACATCAACACTCAACCATAAACCTTTGGTATAGCATATAAAGCAAGATACAAGAGCCATTTGATGAAGATCCACAAATCTGACGAGAATTGAGGCTTCTGAAGTGAGATTTGTTGTTTCTTGGTGCTGATTCTTGGTTATTTTTTGTTTGGTTGTTGCTCGGGGCAACAAGAGAATGATTCGTAACATCTTAGTAATCAAATTCTTTAACGAGTAACTTACAATATGTCCTAACAAATAATAATAATAATAGATTGATATCAAGTTTCAGTATAAACATGTCTGTTTGTAACGTATTCAACCCCAGGATGGAAGTTCCTCACCTTTTTCCTCAAAACTTTGTTTCCTTCTTTTGTCATCACGTAGACTGAGAAATAAGGTAACAACTGTTAACACCAACCCTAATGAAGAAAGACAAGTTGTGTATGTGAAGCCAATATGAAATTCTGGATTTTGTGTTTGATTAAAAGTAAAAATTGGAACAAAAGCACCAGTGACATAAGCTAAAGTGTTTGTACAGACAACAACAAAGTTTCTTTTCATATCATCGTGTGCAAGCATTCTATTAACCCATGAAAATATAAGTGGTTGACCAACACTTAAGGGAATCCCAATACCAAAATATGAGAACCAATGAAGGCCGATGGGAATGTTCCAGACTGATAAGCAAGCACAACTGAATATAACCGAAGTAAACATAAATATCAAGAAGTATGGGTTCAAACGACCACGGAAGAAATCATTTGTATATGCCACAAGGATTGAAAACCCAATACCACCCGCAGATATTGCGGTAGGATAAATGTTGTATTGATAAGACTTCAATTTCAAACCATTTTTCATCCATAATTGGAAAGCTTGTTGAGATATTGGGGTGTAGGAGTTGTTAAAAGTCAAAAACAAAAATGGCAAGACCCAGACGTGCCATGTATTGAAGAATGATTTGATTTTAGCAAATGAATAGGATTCTCTGGTATTTAACTGAGCACCTATTCTTCTTCTTCTTTCTAAAGCAACTTTTTTATCAGTTTCAGTAAAATAGAATGCAGTAGTGGTTGATGGAGTGTTTGGATCAGTGAATAAAGTATAAAATGCAACAGGAGCAGAAATCACTGCATCAATAACAAACATCCACTGAAAAGGGTGAAGACCTTTTTGAGCCCATTTGGAATCTAAAATACTTTGCTGTAAGGGACCACTTATCAAACCAGCCGCAGTACCTGCACAAGCAAAAAATGTGGATCTCTTTGTCAATTCCTTTCTACTATACCAAGACCCAATCAAATACTCTAAACCTGGAAAATATCCAGATTCTGTTAAGCCAATGAAGAATCTAATGGCATAAAACCCATTTAAGCTCTTTGGAACAATCAATAACACAGTTAAAAATGCCCAAATCAACTCCAACCCAGCCAAATAATATCTTGCTGAAATACGATGTAAAATCAAATTCGATGGGATTTGACCAATAATATATCCAACGGTCCAAAGTGTTTGCATATAGTTGTATTGGTTACCGTTCATATGATAATATTCCTTCATACCGTTAACGTATGCAGTACCGACATTTGATTGATTCAAATTTTTGATGAAATAACCGAGCATAGACGATGATAGTAAAAAGAAGTCCAGTTTGAATAGAAATGATCTTTCTAAAGGATGTTTATCCACAGAGTCCCAGAGAAACAAACTCCATTTATAGTACCATGTGTTTCTTCTTTTAAGTTCTTCCTCAGTGAGTTCAACTGAAAGATCAATATATGGAACATCATCATCATGTAAAACTATATCACCGACTTTCGAGCGATGGTTGTTTTTAGAATCCGTTGATGATACAGACTGAATATCATTGAAAACTTCCTGTTTATTTGGTGTGGTGGACATTCTTGTAGTTTGTAAACTTCCAAAACTTTTCAATTGTTTATGATGGAGAGACTATCCTCGTTTTATACTTTTTTCTCCAGATGATAAGCCAGTACCAGTTAAAGTGGATAATCAGACAACATCTAAGGTTAGCTCATCGCGTCATTCAGCCATAAGAGCTCGATTCACCCACCTTTGTTAACTTCAACGTCTCATCTCATAGTTAAAACCCGGTATCTTTCACTTCAAACAGCAGCCAAAATCTTTCAATCAGAGGTGAATGCCACCACAGTTCCAAAATGTGACAGATATGTGAAGAATCTTTTGACTCATGTCAAATTAGCCATTCATCTTCTAAATTTGTGGTACATTGTTTTGGAACGACAGGACCCTTATATCTATAACGATGAATATTTGATTAATCAACTAAGAACCCTCATCAACATCAAGCCTAACCACGACAAGCTTTTAACAACAGGACAAGAGCTTTCGCAAAGTCTTTGCAAACACACAACACTAGAATAAGGAAAACTGAGGCTTGAATTGTAATTATTTTTGAGTCAAAGAACTTTTCTGGGCCTAAAAAAATATTGACCAAGTGTCGCGAAACTGTGGATCTTTGCAACATTTCCTCATTTTTTCACATATCAGAAAAAAAAATAACCATTGAGACTTTAAAACCAAGATTATAATATTTGTTGGGGTTAAACTTACCTACAACTTATTTCCAGATATGTGAACCGGTGCCAAACTTCAGCTAGACGTCACGTGCCTGGACTGCGATATTGGTGACACGGGTGGAATGGCAGTAATAATGTTTAGATTCGTTGTAAAAAGCTTCATCTTGGACATTACAAATAGACTTCATAAAATCATCTTTGTTATAACTCAATCATAAATAAGTATACACTTTATACGGAAGCATCACAATTTAGGGTCCGAGTTTGTCAATTTGAAGGCCAAATCACCAACATGTGGGAACAGTCTAGCAGTTTGTTGTGCTTCAGCACTACTAGCTACTCCCCTAACAACTCTCTGTGCTATACCTTGACAAATAACCGCAACTCTATAAAGCCCAAACACCACACCAACTGTCCATAGCTTCTTTGGATCCCAATCAGGTTTTGCCTTTTCAATATAACCATCAAGAACTCTGTCAACTAAGTGAGGATCTTCATCAATGTCAAACTTTGCAAAGTATTTGTTAAGACTTGGAGGCATACAGAATGGCTGTAAAACATTTGCCAGGTCGAAAAGTGGATGCCCATTTGTACAAAGTTCCCAATCCAAAACAGCAATGATTACTGGTTTTGTTGGATGGAACACAAAGTTATCAATCTTGAAATCACCATGGATCAAATGTGGAACTTCTGGATCTTTAGGAGCATTTTTCAATAGCCATTTTGATGTCTCTTTGAAATGAGGGATTTGGTCAACATCGCGAGATTGCAAATCATGAATTTTGTTCAATGACTTGACTTGTCTATCAAAATATGTCACTTTTGGGTTTGGTGTTGGTTTTTTAAAGAACCTAGTTGGCAACTGATCAAACAATTCATTAGAAGGGATCGAGTGAATAGCTGATGCAGTGTCCAAAACAGCATCCCAAATCTGTGAACGATCTTGTGTACTTTTGACTGGTGATAAAGAAGGATCATGGAATATTCTACCTTTAACAAATTGCATCACATAAAACACAGCATCTATATGTTGTTCATCCTCACACAACAAGAACACATCTGCGACTGGAACATGGTTCTCTTTTGGCCTTCTATCGTTAATGTTTTTGATTGAAGCCAACATGAAAAACTCTCTTTCAATAGCATGAGCCGTTTTAGATATCAATTTTTTGTTCAAAGTTGGTTTCTTTCTCAAGACAGCTTTTGTTCCTTTTGAATCTGTAAGTAAATAAGTTGGATTGGATTGACCAAATTTGAATTGCTGGACGCTTAGCGGAGGTATCAAAGGAGACCAGCCAATTTGAGGACCCATAGTGGTTCCTTCAGGCAAGGAAGGACTAGCAAAGAACTTTTCCAGTTTTTCCACATTAAATTCACTTCTATTTGTATCAAAATGGTTAGTTGAAGAACCCTCAACATACTAAAAGCATCACACTCACCTAATTGGACCAACATCCTGTTCAGAATCAACAACCGGAGCAATACCCATCTTTAACAATCACTATTAGCCCTTTAAATTATGAAATGGGAAAACAACAGAAGCAGAAACCAGTCCTACTCCTTCATTTTTATACTCTTTACTTGGTGAACTTCTCCATTTGTTTTTTTACCCCAGAAACATCAAATTTGTAAATGAGCTCGGCAGAAACGAGATTAGGATCGGTAAGAACACTACCCTTCGGCAAAAATTTATCGAAACAGCCTAAAATTAATTGTAACATAAACACAACAAAAGTATATAGAAACACATTTTCAAATAGGATAAATATAAAAAAATTAAAAGAATAGTATAGAAAAATGGAAAGGAAATATTAAAAAAGAATTCATGGCTGCTCGAAACTTCACGAAATAAAAAAAAAAACTAGTCAAACATATCAGCTGTACTTGAAAACATTCTAGCAGCAATTATTTAAAACAATAACAATAGAAACCCATAATATACCCTGAAAAGCAAACTGTCCAAATAACCCTTGAAATACCCAAATATTCATAATTTCATCAAAACATCAAAAACTAACTGATAATCAAAATTTGTAATCTTCATAAGAATGATTATCAAATCCAAAATTTAAATCATTCAAAAACATATTTTCAGAATTACCAGGTGAATCTCCTATAGGAGTTTGATTTGAATTGATATCCAGTGATACTGGCTTTCTATTCATCTGGTCCATTGATTCTTGTTTGAAAAAAACATTATCAGATTCATCTGTGTTTCTTGGTGATGATGATGATGATTTATTTATCTTATTATTTTGGGTTTTCAATAAATCAAACTCTAGCCTTTTAGCAACTTGATCATTTTCAATCCTTATTGGTTTATTAACCTTCTTTTTGGATTTCTTTATACTACTATTTGGAGCAGTCTTTGATACTGATGAAGTTGAGGATGATGGATTATTTGTTGACAATTTCTGTTCTTCTTCTGATTCTTTAATACCACCAACACAAATCATTCTTATTCTATGACGGTATAGAGCATCATGTCTTGAGAATTTTTTACCACAAGGACATTTAAATTCAAATTCTTCATGAATTTTCTTGTGTCTTGTTAAATCATGTTGTCTAACAAAAGCTTTTTTACAACCTTCCACATCACAAATGAATGGTCTGTCACTTAAATGAGTTTGAACATGAGATCTAACATTATATCTTCTTGTGAACATTTTACCACAGTCTTTGAAATTACAGATATATGTCTTATCTTCTCTTGGACCAATAACATATTGATCAATTTCACCAGGTGGTAAAGTTGAGGCTTTATCTTGAGGCTTTCTTTTCAACATTGGTAATGATTTATCACCAACTATTACTGGTGTCCAGTTCAATTCATTTTTAGGCTTTTGTTCACTTGAAAATTTGGCTTGAGATCTTAGAATTGGTGAAGGAGTTTTTGGAACTTCTGAAAATTCAGATTCTGGTGATTCAAAATCTCTTTTAACATTGTTTTCAAATCGTATACCTAATCCAATTGGATCTTGTTGTTGTGGTAAATTTGTAAAAGGCTTTGGTTGGAATGAATGTGGTTCAGATTGTGGCATTTGTTGTTCTTCAGGTGTATGAACTGGAGTGTTAACTTCAGTTGAATCTGAAGAAGGTTGCTGTTGTTGTTGTTGCTGTTGAGCTTCCATCTGTTTCAAAACAGGCGATATATCAACTGGTGGATTTGGAGACATTGACTTTCTCATAACTTCAGGATTTGAAGCATTTGGATAATCATTATAACCATAATCCAAAAATTTGTTCATATCAATATCTTCACGACTCTTGATATAATTTGTGATTCTTTGTAAATATTCAACTGGGACTGCAACTGTTCTTGGACCACCTTGTTGAGATTGAGATGGAGCAGGAACTGGTGGTTCAGGTGGGAACTTATAATGTGTTGGTGCCTTATTCGTTATTACAAAGTCATCATTTTTCTTTGGTTGAGGTGGGAAATGGTATTGTTGAGGAGCTGGTATTGGAATAGGTTGAAATTGTTGATAAAGTTGACGATTGTTATTAACAATTTGGTTAGCAGCTTCCATATCTTGTGGTTTTTGATACAAGATAGGTTGTTGTTGTTGAGGTGGAGGTGGAGGTTGTTGTGAATGAGAGTATACTTGATTTGGTGCAATACTCAAATGTTCATTTGATTTAACACCAACATGCTTAATACCTTGTGGGACGCCAGGGATTGATAGAGTTCTGTTATGACTAGCAAAACCAAAAATAGCTGTACCACTTGGTTGTTTTTTATGACCTCTCAGAGCACCAGGATGAGCACTAGAACCATTACTATTTTGAGCAAAAGCATTAGAAGATGATTCACCAACAGGTATATCTAATTCTTGTAAAGATGACAAAGTTTGAGTTAAAAAATCATCAACTTGATCATAATTCTGTTGATATGGAGTGAAATCTTCATGTGGTAATGGAACTGAGCTTTCAGGTTGAGTTTTAACATATTCCATAAAATAGGATGTGTTTTTATTTTCAGTAGAACTTGGTGGAGTCATCCACGATTGTTCATATAGATTCATTTTTTTTTTGTTCTTTTTACTTTTAATATAATTGAATGAATATCGGATCCAGCCGTTTAAATTTGTAGCTCACCAGGAGATTTGAATTGAAAAAGCTTTTGATATTAACTTGTGTGGACCAGCCTTGAAAGAATTATCAACCTCGCCTGCAAGGAGATACTTTCACAAGATTTAATAGTGTGTTGAGGACTGTGTTTTGACTCTCTCTAGTTGAAGATTTGTAGCAATAATGTATATCAAAAAAAAGAGCACTTGGTTTCCAAAAGATGAGGTGTTGATAGAACTTGGTACCTTTTGAAATCTTTTCCTTCTCTCTTTCTCGAGTTGTTGTCGATGTTGTTGATTGAAATTAAACTGATGGAATTTTTAACAAGAGGTTAAAAAATAAGGATATCTCAAATAATAAAAGGGAATAAAAATTGCGTTTTCATTATTAGGAGCATTTCCTACAATTCCATCAAAATGAGGATGATTTCAAGATCTGAGTTGATGAAAAATCAACTATATTTCCTCATTCGGCAAAATGTAAACACGGGCAATTAAAGTCACGTTCCGCATAACTTCCGCATTGGGTAATCTGTATAATATTCATCAACACTATCATGGAAACGCAACGCAAAGAAGCTTAAACAGTCCATTGACACTGGGAAAGTTGAATAATTTTCAACATATTTCAGCATCAATAAGAAGCCCAATTGGTCGTGAACCAAGATCCCTGTTTTCTGTGTGCTCCTTGGGTTGGCCGTGTGGGTATTCTGTAGTATAACTTGATCGCGAACATCATGTACTGGCACCTGTCACTTGTTTGCAAGAAGAAAAGATCATCATCATGAGCAAGCCTCTGTGGGCAAAAGTGCGGAAGTACAAGTTTGAATTTTGAAAGTGGTGATGAATACTTCCACCGCGGGAGAAATCAAAACATCGATTCTGAAACATGAAGCCAAAGCAGCTGGGCTCAGTTGTGGACAGGTGATGAGACCGAAGAGCACTACGAGAGGGCGTCGGTATGCTTGAACTAAAACACCAAACACCAAACCTCATATTGAAAAGTTCGTAAATATACATACAGATGCTTTATATACAGAGTTGTAAAAAGACGGAGCAGAAACTATGTTGATGTTGATGGTGACGGGCTTGTTTTTGTCGTGAAAGCTTCTATAGGGAATGATAATGATGATCTAGAGTCTTCAAGAACTTTGACAGTAGAATATTTAAATTCCAAACTCTCTGGAACTTCAAGATCTTTGAACACCTCGTTGATTTGCTGAAGAGTTTTTGGATCCTTTAAATAATCCACTGGCGTCAAGACCCGTGCAATTGAGCAGTGCAAATTCTCTGGAGATATAGGGTATCGTGAACTATCTTTCACAACGTACTTAGATTCTAACTCTTGAACAGCTTGAAGTATCTTACTTATGGTTTTGCTTGATTTTTGAGAAACTGACATTGCAAGGAAAATCCCCGTTGAATCAAAATTAGGGTATGCTTTGATTTTATCAAATGTGATTGAATTTGAATCTTCATTACCCATCTCAATAGTTTTTAATTTCTTTGACAATTCATCATTATAGAGTTTGCAACCTTCCTTTGTAAACAGTGTTTCCCCTGTTAGTGAGATATGTAAAGCTTGTGGAGCTGATAGTTCTGATAGATGTAATCTTTCAAATCTAGTCAACAATTCACCATACCCATTCATTCGTAAATACATTTTCAAAATTTCATTCAAATCACTTATTTGGTCAGAAAGTTGTCTTGAAGGCCTTATATCAATATAAGTAAACTGTCGAAGTAATCTACCAACTGGTGCCATCGTTGTGGTTTTATTATTTTTATAGTTTGGATTGTCGTAGAATTCTGGATGTGGTAACTTTGGTCTTTTGGTAAATTTATCAGCTAGATCTTGTGGAAGTGGTGGTAGCGAACGTTTGTTATTGGTGGTGTTTATATCAATGCCTTGCTCTTCTTCGTCACTAGAGTCACTTGAATAGTCCTGGATACCCTCCATAGGCTAATAACAATCGATATGTTGAGTTGAAAATTGTGTCAAATTCATATAAATTTAAAAAAGGTTTGAACTGTTTTTCGAAAAGAATTAGGTAAGAGCTGACATAATCTTGAATTATGGTAAAGGACACATCAAACGTGGTCGGAGCCGGCAAGTCAGACTCCCAAAAGAGTAATCCCGAGGGTTTGAATGAGATTTCTGACACTTTTGGGGATACTAAATCAATTAAAAATTGAGCTAAAGAGCTCTGGAAAGTTGGTGAATGTACAAAATAGACTAGTTCATCTTCAATAATATAAATAACCAATAGCTTATCCAAAACATATCAACATTCTGCACTCTAAACCGCTTCGGATATATTCTCCTGAAAGTAGCAAATTCGCGAAACAAAAACCGCCTAGTACCCCGGGATTAAACCAATGAAAATCAAGTTCAACAAATCATCAACGCTTCTTTTGTAAACCTTTAAACCCATCTCTGTAACTTGGATCATCTAGATAACTCTCAACTGCAACCTTTCAACAAATCGTTCAATTGAATTCAAAGAGGTTTTTGTTATAAAGAGACTGATATATCAATCTTTTTGCTGTTGTGGTTTTTTCTATTTCATAGAGGCAAAAAAAAATAAAGTACACCAATTTAGAAAGGTTATAATCAATTTTAGATCAATCAATCAACCATGCTTTCTTCAAGAAACTTACGTACAATCTCAAAGAGATTACCAAGCAATGCTACTACACTTGTCAGCTCGCAATCCAAAAACACTATAAAGTTGGGCTCTCAATTAAGAAATTTGTCATATAAATCTGCATTAACTACATCATCTGCATCATCATCATTATTAAGAAATACTGTCAGATCAAATGTTAAATTCCAACCTACTTTAGCATTTGTTCGTTTGAACTCTCAAGTTGTTAAAGTCCCAGATATGGCTGAATCATTAACTGAAGGTACTTTAAGAGAATTTAACAAACAAATTGGTGATTTCGTTGAACAAGATGAAACTATCGCCACTATTGAAACTGATAAAATTGATGTTGAAGTCAATGCTCCATTCTCAGGTACTATCAAAGAATTTTTAGCTCAACCTGAAGATACCGTTGAAGTTGGTCAAGATTTATTGAAGATTGAACCAGGTGAAGCTCCAGCTGGTGGTGCTGGTGCAGCTGCTCCAAAAGATGAAGCTCCAAAAGAGGAAGCAAAGAAAGATGATGAAGCTCCAAAGGAACAACCAAAGAAGGAAGAAGCTCCAAAGAAAGAAGAACCAAAGAAAGAATCTAAACCAGCTCCAAAGAAGGAAGAATCTAAACCAACACAACAATCTCAAGAAACTACTTCATTCACTAAATTCCCAAGAACTGAATCTCGTGTTAAAATGAACCGTATGCGTACAAGAATTGCAGAAAGATTAAAAGAATCTCAAAACACTGCTGCTTCATTAACAACTTTCAATGAAGTTGATATGTCCTCAGTTATGGATTTAAGAAAATTATACAAGGATGAAATCATAAAGAAAAACGATATCAAATTCGGTTTTATGGGTTTATTCTCAAAAGCTGCCACTTTAGCTATGAAAGATTTACCATCAGTCAATGGTGCTATTGAAGGTGATCAATTAGTTTATAGAGATTATGTTGATATTTCAATTGCAGTTGCCACTCCAAAAGGTTTAGTTACCCCAGTTGTTCGTAATGCTGAATCATTATCAGTCTTGGAAATTGAACAAGAAATTGTCAACTTGGGTAAAAAAGCTCGTGATGGTAAATTAACTTTAGAAGATATGGCTGGTGGTACTTTCACAATTTCAAATGGTGGTGTTTTCGGTTCATTATATGGTACTCCAATCATTAACTTGCCACAAACTGCTGTTTTAGGTTTACATGGTGTTAAAGAAAGACCAGTTGTTGTTAACGGTCAAATTGTTTCAAGACCAATGATGTACTTGGCTTTAACTTATGATCATAGAATGTTGGATGGTAGAGAAGCTGTCACCTTCTTGAAGACTGTTAAAGAATTGATTGAAGATCCAAGAAAAATGTTGTTGTTTTGAATATTCTTAACTTATTTTTTTTATATTATGAATTAAATTATTTTTATTATTATATTGTTATCCCTTTTCGTATACTAGTTATATTATTGAAGTCATGATGCAGTTTAAGTATTTATTGAAAATATACACAAACAAACATTAACATTAATCTCTATATGGACAAGCGTAATTATATATCTCTATATTATGAATGGATTAAATGTCATAAAACTTTGCAGGTAATAATTTAACTTCATCTGGCTTATTCAAAGCATCTTTATCAACTAATCCAAATTGTATCAAATCACCCCAGAAGCATAAAAGTTTATCTTTTGAATACTTCAAATATTCAAAATTATCAACATCGGCACTACTAGCACCTGCATTCCCACTACTTTCATCTTCATCACTATCGACAACAGTAACTTCACTTTCTTCATCTTCAGGGTCAAAGACAATTTTGTACATTTCACCATTTGGACCCATCTCCACAATTTCATGATCTTTTGTTGCATTATTATCACCATTTTGAATAATGGCCCATAGTCCCCAAAATATATTAACAGCACCTCTCCATGCAATACAATCGTTGAATAACTCTTTAGCTTGCTTTTCTAATTTAGTGACATCTTGAATATCATTATAAAATAAGATGTATGAATAGATTAAATTCAATTGTTCATCTAATTTTGGATAATCTTCTTCAAAAATCTTCCAGGTGTCGGTTTCATGGTTATAATTATGCATCCATTCACAAAAATGGTTGGCAATGTCATATGAGGGAACATTTGGACCTGAATATTCAAAATCAATAACAACTAAATTTCTATCTTGTTTCTTTTCTTGTATTGAAGGTTTGATTTCATTTAGGTTCTCTAGTGAAAGATTTGAGAAATTGGTGGTTAATGAAGTTGTTGAATTGTTTGCAGTAGTGTTGTTGTTTGTTTTATCTGGCGGTGGAACAACTGGAGATGTGAATAATAAATTACCATATTGAGTATCATTATGACAAAATACTAAAGCATTATTGAGAGCTTCTGGAGATTCATATCTTTTGTATAACCAATCTCTATAAGCTTTGGTATATTTCTTAAAAGTTGCGAAGTCAGTTTTGAATAACTCTTTATCGTCAATTACAATTGTCTTGGATTCGATCAATTCATCAACATGCTTTAACCATTTATCAATGATTTTCCAAACGCTTGGTCCTTCTGCCTTTTCAAATTTTGATAGTTTGATACCCTGGTGCAATTCTTTCATTCTTCTAGCTATTCTTGCACTTGTTTTTTTATCATGAATATCTTTTCTTGTTAAAGTAGTAGCATTATCTAAGAACTGTTCAACACGACCATTAGTAAAACAGCCAAATAATCTAGGACCAATGTTTTGTTTAGATAATCTAACCAAGATCTTCAATTCATAGTCTCTATCAATTAATGATTCGACATTTGGCCCATATATTCTTAACAATAAAGTTGGGAAATGATAAGTGTGTAAATTTAAGTTCTTCAAAACAACAACAGATGGAGGATCAACTTTATAAATAGCATTAGTTAAAGCACCAGACATCTTATGGATCTTTATATCTGAGTAAACATGAGAAGGTAATCTATGCCATTTGGAGATTCTCAAGTTCTGAATAACACTTAATAAATCCTGTTTAAAATATCCTATTGGTAAAGTATGATCTAAAGTGGCATTAATGAAAGGGATATCAGTTTCAGTGAATTGGATATTTGATGAGGAGTTAGATGAAGGTAGCTGGCCTAGGCCGCCTTGGTCATTCTGTTGAGATGAGGAAGTTGGTGAAGGAGTGAATGGTTCCAACTCATTCTTGATGGATATGAAGGATTTAGCAGAGTTTCTTCTAGAGCCCAGACTTGGTCGTCTTGGTTTTGATCTTGATCTTGAGCGGGAGCCTGAAGTTGTTGGGGCTGATCTAAGCGAAGAGCGTCTATGGTGACTATAAGTCTCTGCGCTCATTGGGATGTTGTTTGGTTGTTTTCTTTGTTGATGATGTTTTTGTTGTTGTTGTTCGTTTGTTGAAAGAACAGATTGGAATAATTTCAGAAAACAGCAAGAATATTCGGTACGCCCCACACAGGCATTGGCTTGACATGTGAAAGAATTTGGATCCTTAACTATGAAGGAAGTTGAAGGTTGATTATTTGATATTTGATCTTACCAGTTGGATCTGCTACTTGTATGTTCTCTAGTATTATTCTTTTGCCCTTAATAACATTCACTTCGTTTACCTGATCAATACTTAATCTCCAGTTCCATTTCCTCGAGAATAGGCTCGGTGTTAAAAGGCTTTAACAGCCATCGATTCAACGGGTTTAAGTCGTGTGACACTGTTGTTGTTGTTGTTGTTGTTGTTGTTGTTGTGTTACACCTGTTTACTGTTCATTGACTTCCTTTTTCATGTTGTTTGTCATGTCTTGATTTATTCAAGTTTTGTTGTGGGATCTGGGAGATTTTATTTTTCATTGTGGGATCTGGGGCACTTTTTTGAGTATGGGTACTGGGGCATTATCATTTATCATTTATCATTGGATTTTTCATTTCCTTTTTACTTTTTTATCCGGGTTTATTAGGTTCAGTTCTTTATGGTGATTTGTATTCTTTTTGAATTATTTTGAAATAGGGGAACATAATGGAGATTCTTGCTACATGTTTTCATTTTAAAGGTTTCAATGAGTGAATAGATGTTGAAGGTCAATTGGGAGGGCTACATTTAGATGTACTTATGATTCCTGGAAACTTGTGAGAATTGATGAAGTTATGATTTCGGAATTTTTCAGCTTTTGATGATGATGTTGATTAGAATTCATTGCTTGCTTCATTTTCCTGTGTAGTGCGGGAAAAGTATTGAGTCAGTCAAGATGCCAATTTATTGGTGGAATGATGTTTTCTTTGAAACTAGTCAAAAGTCATAAGAAGTTTACAATGAAACCAAAAAAAAAAAAAAAAAAAAAAAAGAAGAAGCAAAAGCAAAAGCAAAAGCGAAAGCAAAAGAACTTGAAACCTAATACTAATAGATCAGTTGATCTCTAGTTGTTATTCCATTTAAACAAATGATATTGATGATTTCAATTGATGATGAAACTGAAAGGCAAGGGCCCTGTCTGATGTGGAAGATGATTCGGTTGTTATTAGATTGTCGTTTGGGGATAATAACAAAGGTGTTTTTTATGGCTGGATCTTTCATTGATAGTTTGTATTAGATTGGAGCATTTGTGACAATTGACTTACTGATTGATTGGTCTCAGTCATTTTCACCTATTTTTTCATCTAATTGTCATAAAGGTTTATGGCATGTAGTTGATATTAATCACGTTCTTATTCTTTTTATATATTCTTTTTATTCTTTTTGTATACGTTTTCTCTATTAAATGTCCTGTCCTGTACTCTCTGTAGCTCGACGTTTGTCGACGACGTTGATTCGTTTTGACTTATATTAGCTGTGGCCCTATAATTAGTTTAAGCAGACTTAATTATGATCTGCTTTACTGTCAAATTGATGATAAATTATAAGCTAGTAAGCTGTAATATCAAGACATACTCTTTCTTTATTTAACGTAGAGCCATTACCTAGTAATCTTTACTCCACCGTTTATTACAACAATGGAAAGTCAGCAATAAAACCTCAAAATGAAATAACAAGACAAACATAAATGGCTGTGAATAAAAGTTAGTAATTGAACATAACAATGATTGATCATGAAAAAAAAAGAACAGGTAAGTGATAATACCAAAAAGCAAGAATTGGAAATGAACAATGAATGATAAATAAAGATCTTTGAGGAAAGTTAGTAATTGAACATCACAATGATTGATCATAAAAAAGAAAAAAGTAAATGATAATACCAAAAACCAAAAATTGGAAATGAAAGATGAATGATGGCCTGGGGTAGATGTCAACGAAACAAAAGAACACCATTGGGGAATGATATTTTGAAACACGAATTCAAGAACAACATATGAGAACAATCATCATTGATTTTATAGAAAAACAAAGAGGCTGGGGAAAAAGTTCTTCAAAATCATCAGAATCAAGTAAACATAATAGTCATCCTAGGTTATTTGGAGTGAAAAGTTATATTTATTTCATCAAGAATCCTCCCAAAGCTGTTGATATAAGTTCAAGGTAACAATGAAACCCAAATACTCAACTCAAAAGAACAAAAAAACCAAATCAAATCTTTCAATGGGGTAGTGAATCAAAGTACTTCCTATCAATCAAACCCACCACTGGCCTTCATAATAGTAACTCATCAACAAGGATAACGTATCCCGAAGGACACTAGATTCAAATGACAAATAAATAAATTCTTTCTAACCATCAAAGTGAACTGTGCAACCATAAAAATATCAAGGGTCTTGAGAACATGAGCTGTCTACCTGGAAATAAATAATGAATGGAATAATGGAAGTGAATGATGAATGGAAATGAATGAAGAAACCAACAGTGAAGTAAAAGTAAGTGGTAAAAGAATTAGAGTGAATTGGGATTCGACCTTCTTTTAACCTTTTCCAGAGCAGTTGACACAAAAGCCAAAGCAACCACAAAACACAAAAACACAAAACACAAACACCATAGTAATTGAATTATTCTCCTAAGTAATTCATCTTTGTGTACGTAAAACAATATAAATTTCTATAGGCAACCACAAAAACGGTACACTTCAACCGTTTAACCACAAAAACAACCAATTTTAGCTTTTGTGTCATAGAACCAACAATGCACCACGAAATGCAAAACCGTCTTCTGGAAGCAAATGACCATCAACCAAAAGCACTTCAAAACATCACGTCAACCGTTAACAATAAACAAACACATTACGCGTCAAACAGTCAGCAAGCATCCACAAAGTACCTTTATTCGAAGTCATAACAAGTCCATCAGAAATTTAAAGCACATGTGACCTGAGACCCAAGCAGAAGCACAGGCACGTTTCAGAGTTATAAGCGCTATCAATTCATTTTCAATTTTGTGTACTAGCTATCCTTAAATTTGATTTCATGTCAATCTTGAATTTGATTTTCTCCAGTTTTCCTGTGGAATTTTTTCCCCTTTCCAAACACATTCGCGAAGTATAGATGTTTCAGATACAAGATACAAAAGTTAACAGCCAAGAATCAAGATATGGAAAAGGTTTTAAAAGAGAGCTATAATCCGAATTATACATCTTCGTGATGGTGATGAGTAACTGTAAAGTTAAGTCAAGGCAACGATGATTCTTGTTGCGTTGTTGTTCTTCTCAGCATTAGTCTCATTCATCTGCTTACCACAATTGATCAAAGCTTTAAACTTATCAACAACTGCACCAAATGATCAACTCTCCAATCTTCTTAGAAGGCTATTAAACCTAAGATTTTATTTCATTGCCAAAATCTTATTCTTTAAAGCCCCAACAAGAGCTGGTAAGATTGATAAGATCTATGTATATCCATTAAAATCAGTTTCATACATCTCACCAACTAAATGGGAAATTGACGAACATGGCTTAAAACATGATAGGCAATATATGATTGGATTTTGGGATTCAAAGGCAAATTGTTATCAAGCTTACACTTTGAGAAATGCTCCAAGATTATCATTAGTTTCAATTGATTATGACCTTGAAGAGAATTGGTTTAAATTTACTTATCCAAAATTAGATGGTTCAAAATCTTTCTTCAAATTACCATGTAATGTTACAGATGAATTTTTGGCAAAGCACATTGTTAATATTGATGAATCAGATCAACCATCTCGTAAGATTACAGATTTATGGGGGATAAAATTTGATTCGATAAACCTTGGTTCAAATTTAATTCCACAAGATTTTTATGATTCAATGGGATTAAATAGAGATGGTACAACTTTATTATATTCATCAAAGGATAGAACTGTTAAAACTGCACATCCAAAAGATTTAAAACAAATGCGTAAAGTTTTATTCCAAGATTATTTCCCGATTCATATTATTTCCCAAAGTTCAATTGATGAATTGAACCAACGTATGAAGAAATCTGGTGTTAAAGATAGAATTGTCGAACCTTTACAATTTAGACCAAATGTTGTTATCGATGGGAATGCTATTGAATTAGACTATTGGTATAAAGTTTTCATTAATGGGCACTTATGGTCTATTGTACAAAAAACTCCAAGATGTTCAATTGGTAATGTTTGTTTAGATAAAGGAGAATTTGATAAATCAAATTCAGTTACAAGAACATTAAGATCATATAGAAGAATTGATCCTGGTGATAAGAATGGGTTTTTCTTAGGTGATGATGCAATTCATCATGATTCTGGATATTTTATTAATGTTGGTGATGAATTTTATTTGAAACAACAGAAAATCAGCACAAGTTTACCATTATTATAATGAGCTCACAACAAGCTTCTATTGATATAAACAACTATTCAAATGTAGATAATATTTCAAATTCTTGACATCTTTCGAACTATTTTCATCTTTATCAAATTTTGCAAAACCAAGAGGTCCTCTTTCACAATCTGCACAAACGATTAATCTTTCCACATCATCATCTTCAATAGAATCAGCTAATGCATGGTTTTTGATATCTTTTGAAACACCAATATTATCAAAATCCCAAGCATCTTCAATTCTCAAGAAAATCCCATCATGTTTATTATCTTGTATTTCATTCTCATCAATTTTTAAAAAATTTAAACCAATTTTAAATTCATGTAAATTTGCCACTTTTGGTTTGATGATTCTTGTATTACATTTAGAAAAGGGGCATCGTATGATTTTTGTAGTTATATCTTCTTTTGGATCAAATTTTGTATATGACATGATGTGAAGGTAGGTTGAATAACGAGTTTGATGTTTATTCAATTGAAAACATGATTTGATGATTTTTGAATTTTCAAGTTGGCGGTTATATTGACACTGTACCAATGACAGACTGAATGTTGCTTAATAAGCAGCTTAACATTAATTTCAATTATATCCATAATCTCTAAATATCCAATATCAGTACAAGTTATATAAGCATGAGATTCTTTTCACTGCATATATTTGTCTTGCTAGGCTCATTACTTTCATTTTAATGTATATAGAATCCGAAAGAAGTTGCTACAACTGAATCACAATATAATACTCATAATCAGTATAGAAAACAACTATTCTATTACTTATTATCACCACATCTCCTTAACGTCTCTTCATCTTCTTTTTTTCCATTTATAATTACAAAATCTATCAATTATACTCTTTAAAAAACCAAACAATTAAAACTCAAAAATGCAAATTGGTAAAAAATACTATTAAACGTCCTTTTAAACACCGCCACCATCTTGATTCAAATCATTAGGGAAATTCAAACTTAAACTTCTTAGCGGAGGTAAATTGTTATCATTTTCATTTCTTGGGTTCAGTCTAGGTGAAACAGCAGGAGTTTGTAAAGGTGTTGCATCCGGGGTCTTTCCCAAATTTAGTTGGAATTTAGCACTACCACCATGATTTAATGAAGTCATACCTAATGATGAATGTAATGCACTATGCAGGTTTGTAAAACTGTTTGAATTTGAGGATGGTAATGAAGGTGATGTGAAATGTGAAGATTGTTGTTGTGCCAATACTGGGGAATTTGGTATTGATGGAGAATTTGGTCTTGATTTTTTATAACGATCATGATTATAAAAATAATCATCTTCTAAATTATCGTTATATGATGATAAAGATACGTTTGATTTTGATTTATTTATTGGTGGTCTCATTGGATGTTGTTGCTCCGGGGGTGAATTCAGTCTTAATGGAGTCATCCTTTGTAATGAACTTAGAGAATTGAAAGGATGTGGATGATGTATTTGAGCTGTATGTAAAGTTGGAGAAGTTGTTGAAGATGAAGTTGTTGATCTAATGATTGGTGGTGGTCTTATTGTTTGGCCTTGAGTCGGTGTTGATGAATTTGAAGGTGATGATGATAATGGAGTTGATACATTTGAATTTTGATCATTTGAAGGATTAAAATATGAAGTCAGAGAAGGCAAGGATTTAACTGATTGGATTTGTTGTTCTCTTTCCAGTTCTAATGCTGCAGCTTTTGCTAATATGTTTATATCAAATGCATTATTATTGTTATTATTATTTGATTGGATTGAAGTTGTTGAATGACTTGTTGTTATTGGAGTACTTGAAGAATTCAAAGGGGTAAATTGGAAATTAGATTTTGGTGGAGAATTAGGTAAAGATGTAGTTTGAGCTATGATATCTTTTTTAATTTCAACTTCTTTTTCATTAACTTCATTTTCTTTCTTAGTCTTTGCAGGTTGATTCTTCTTCATATTATAAGTTCTTCTTCTTGAATTTGGATTTGTATGAATTCTTAAATGTCTTGTTAATTCATCAGATCTTGAAAATTTCTTGAAACAACCAGGATAAGTACATGAATGAGGCTTTTCACCAGTATGAGTTCTTATATGTCTTGTTTGATGTTCTAATCTATGAAATGCTTTATCACAAATGGGACATTTATAAGGTCTTGGTAATTCTTGTTTATCAGATTTGTTAGCTTGTTTCTTTGGCTGTTTAGTCTTTGTATCATCCTTGACTGTTGTGGGTTCCTGACCAGGGTTATTTGATTCAGTCATGATGCTTTTTGTTGTTCTTGTTCCTGGAGTAGTAGTGTAACTAAAGGGGGGTGTAATCTGACACAATAAAAGAATAGCACACAAGTGAAGTTGAAAAGACTTGAAAGAGTAATGATAAATGTAAGTTCTGGTAATGGATAGCTAATAGTTAAAGTTGTTGTTTGAGGATGGATGTTGAAACTTTAGAGCAAAAGTCTCCTGTCAAAAAGTTGTCCTTTGCACCAGAAGTTGAATTTTTTTGCAAGCCGTTTTCTTCAACAGAGAAAATGGAGTCGAAACACAGAAAGCTGGGGGTAATAAAAGCGTGGCTAGGTTGTTTGTGAACTTGTATGGATGATGGAATGGATAGTGCAATGGGTCTATTGAGCTGTGGCCAGAGTGTAATAGAGAAGAAGACGATGGATGTATAGCCAGGTTCCAGTGTAATTTTCAAAATTCCATTTAATTGTAACTAAATTCAAATTGTGTGGTCAATAAATTTTTTGTGTGGTTGAAAAAAATCCGGAGAAACTTTGAAGAAAAGAAATTTGTAGCGTGGAGTGGGGCCCTGGATTTCCCAATGCGGTAATGAAAGTGTGTATCAGTTGGTATTGGGTAGGTTGGTTAAGGGCACTTGGCTGAGGATATGAAAACACAAAAGTGTAGCGCTAAGATTGAAAAAGCGAAGAGAAGTTGAATGGCGAAGGCATTTGGAGGTTCTACGTTGGTGATGATGGTGATGTTGATTATGGTTACTATTATTACGATGACTGCTGGTTAGTAGCTGTTGTGGACTTGTGATGAGTCTGAGGGTCAAGATGGAAATCTGCTAATGAAGGTGTTGATCTGTTGATGAAGTTGATAATGTTAATAATGTTACTGATGTTCTGTTACGCTCTCATGCTCTCATGTTCTTGTCTGGCTTCAAAGTCTCATCACATGTTCCTTCCTTTGTTCTTGGTCTCTGTGGTGATGGTGCTGTCCAGAAGATTCTCTTGATTGATTAATTTAATTAGCCGCTGAACTATTTCCTTAAGGCATTGTTCAAGTATAAATACATCTGAATATTTGCCACTGGCTACGTTGACAACAATCCATACAACCATCACCATCACAATGCTCAAATCAATTAACTGGTACTTGATCGCTTTATCATGGCTATACCTGTTGTCATCAACAGTCAATGCTCAAACCACTACTCCAGAATACACTTATAGACCAAACCCTGACTTCCCAACTACTGGCTTGATTACAACTCCAGAGTCTTTACAAGGAACTATCAACACTGATACTAGAGTCACTTCCACTGCTAGGCCGCCTGCTCCTCCTTCAACAACTAGATCTACAACTTCATCAACCACCTCAAGATCTACACAACAGCCGCCAACTCAAGGTCCTCCTACCCAAGGTCCTACCCAAGGTCCAACTCAAGCTCCACCAACACAGGGTCCGCCAACACAAGGTCCAACTCAAGAACCGCCTGCTCCTCCATCACCACCAACAACTACTCAAGCACCACCACCTCCACCATCTCCACCAACTCAACCAACTCAAAATCCTCCTCCTGCACCTCCACCTGGCGAAAATGTCTATTATTCAACTTCAACAATCTATACGACTCAAAATATTCCACATGTGGTCCATTCAACTCTCTTTTCAACAGTCACCTTCAATGTCCCTGTCACTTCAACTGCTACTGATTATGTTACTGTAACCGAAGTTGAAAATACTCAAACAGTCAATACCCCATCAACTTCATACTTAACAATTACAACGACAATCCCGGGCTCTACAACTACATCTCATTGGGAAACTCCATCAGTTCATTGGTCTGAATCACTAACAACAAGTAGCTTGGTCATCCCATATCCAAGCTTATCTGTTGATATAAGTACAATTACAAATACCCAAATCCACACATATTATGAACCTGTTGAAACAGTAAATTCTGAACTTTCAAGTTCATTAGTTGTCTCACCAAATACTACCTTCACAACCACATTCTATAATTATTACACTCAAACTAATTTTCAACAATTTTTAACCACTGAAACTTTGTTTGACTATTCTTCATCCACTCAAACGGGTACTCAGTTTGCTACATTATCATTTACAAATGGGTTATGGATTGGTGTCACTGATATCTTAAGTTATGCATCAACTTTAGACTATCCACCAATTACTCAAACTTCAACTCAAGCTTTTGAATTTATTCACGGTTTAACTACAAGAACTAATTTTAAAACTGTCACAAATGAAATTGCTAGAACAACAGTTTATTCCACTATTAGTTCATACATTACCACTACAGTTACTGAATATTTACAAAATGGTGAAACCGTTTATCCAATCTCCACAGTAACTTTTACCTTCACATCTAGGGTGCCAACATCAATCACAATCACTTCAACATTCACACCTCCAGCTCCAACCCCGCCACCAGCTGTTACACCAGTGCCAACACAACCAACTATCACTGTTAGTGTTCCTTCACAAACTGCAACTGTCACCTCAACAACAAGTATTATTCCAACTGATTGTATTGTACCTTCTCAAGCTATTGCTGCGCCTTTTGCGGTTCAAGAGACAAATGCTGCCACTAAGAGAAGCAGTGATAAGAAATTGATTAGTGTTTTCGTTGGATTTGTTTTAATTGCACTAATTTGAAACAAATGGTTTGCTGATCTTATCTTTTGGCGTTTTACTTACTTTTTCAAGGGTATATTCATTGCATTTATATATTAATTATTAATTTAAACCTGCAAAGGTACTTAGCATTCGCATATCTATCACATAAATATTATAAAAAAACATCCATAGCTGGTTCAAGTCTTGTAGAACTAATCATCAAATTCAACACTAGGGAAAATGTTTGCATAGCTATATCCAAACCTATATTTCTTTGGAGCTGTTGGAGTACTGTCACTCTCCTCTCGTTCACCACCATCTGCTTTTTTCTCTCCATCACTTGTAGTTGACATCCATTTTGTTTTCAACTGTTGGTATAGATTCATAAAACTATATGAAACTGCACCACTTGAAACAAGAAACACAACAAACCCTAAGAATGAAACACCAATTGAAGCTTTCTTAATATAACAATCTTGACTTAGTTTAACCATCAACTCACTCTTGGTTAACTCTCCACTTGCATTATATCTCGAAATGTTTATAGGTTCAGAAGTTAAATTCCACAACTGTCCCAATAACTCGTTAATCTCATCATCACTTGTGGCATTTTGTAACGATTCATCTTGTCCATCATAACTCACCCCTAAAAACTCATTCAAATTTTGCTTTGAAGCATCACCAGTTAGATTATACTGAGATATTAAATTTTCAGGGTTTGAACAGTCCCAAGATCCATATTTAGCAGTTTGATAAACAAACGTTCCAAACCATAAACTTACTGATCCAATTTCACCACCTGAAATACCAGCCAAGTATGATGTTTGTAATTTATCAATACCAAATCTTGCATTATTCAATTCTGGTAACTCATGTTCAATATCTGTTGTGAAAAAACGGACTAAAGAAAAGAATGGTTGAGAAGTTAAAGTGAAACCTGATGAAGTTAATGAAAGTCCATCTGATGCTGTGTTATGGAGGATGGATAAAGATGAATTGGCATTGGAGTTTAGGTCGGAGACTAATGATGATAAACTTGATTTATTTGTTGTTAATTTACCATTGAGTGCTAATGAAACGATTGAGAATAAGAGTTGGAAAATTCTTGCAGAACCAGCAACTGTAGAAGTTTGAACCATTCTTGAAACAATGATGATATTTAAAAAGCAAAAAGGTTAAAGGTTAAAGGTTAAAAGCCATTTCCAATAGCGTTTTATAATATTTTCATTAGCCGCTGAGTTGGTTATATGATTTTTGATTGATTTTACGTCATGGTGAGCTCTAACAATATTTAATTCAATAGACCTAGGTCACATGACTTTATCAGTTCTTAGACATATCCACACTAAAACTAACATGAGCAAAAAGTACTTCAAATGGGTAAACCACAGCTTTAGTTAAATATTTGGTATTGTTTGTTAGATTCGCTTCATGATCGGTATATTTTTTTCTACTACGCGTGTTCAGTGACACGGGCTATTTGGCAGACGTTCCAGAAAAATATGCACAGTGTAGGTTATAACTGGGCTTGATTAACAATTTTGAGCGGTTGTACATATACACAGATAATTTAAAATTACTTACCATCTATTAAGAGACATATGTACTCAATTAACCAGGGTCCAGCACTTTGATTTATTGCTCGAGAAACCAGTCACACTAAAATCCAGAATTTACAGACCCTTGAATTATTGGCAGATCAAAAAAGGGTAACAAAGCAATTGGTTCCCGCACAGGCGGAGCCTCTAGGCGGACAAGAATACGGCAGGCTTGAAAATTTCAGAAAACTCATGGGGAGCCTTTCAGCGGGTTTGGTTCCAGGCTCCAGCTCTTGAACAGCTTTTATTATTCAAATAATCTCGCCGATAAATCTGGCGAAACAAAACCCACAACCAAAACTAATACCCCAGACTTGAGAGCTGTAGCCTGTTACTATTGGTCCTTGGATTTACAATCCACTCAACATTGCGAGATTCAATTCAAGAATGCTGGTGTATAAATAGACGTTGTCCCTCTCTGGTTTAGAACCTCAAATTCACATATGGTTCACAACCACCAGCTACACAATGACAGTTTCAACTTATCCATGGTGGAAGGACTCTGTGGTCTACCAAATCTGGCCAGCATCATATAAAGATTCAAACGGTGATGGTGTGGGTGACATTCCAGGTATTATTTCAACTCTTGACCATATAAAAGATTTGGGAGCCAATGTTGTTTGGTTATCACCTCATTATGCCTCTCCTCAAGATGATATGGGTTATGACATTTCAGATTATGAAGCTATTTATGAAAAATATGGTACTATGGAAGATATGGACCGTATGATTGATGAAGTTCATAAACGTGGTATGAAGTTGATCTTTGATCTTGTCATTAACCACACTTCCTCAGAGCACGCTTGGTTTAAAGAATCAAGATCTTCTTTGGATAACCCAAAAAGGGATTGGTACATTTGGAAGAAACCAAGATATGATTCAAATGGCAACAGAATCCCACCAACTAATTGGAAATCTTATTTCTCTGGTTCTGCATGGGAATATGATGACACTACAGGTGAATATTATCTACGTTTGTTTGCCAAATCACAACCTGATTTAAATTGGGAAAATGAGGAAATGAGAAACGCATTATATAAGACATCAATGCAATTCTGGTTCAACAAGGGTATTGATGGTTTTAGAATCGATACTGCAGGTAAATATTCCAAAGATCAAAACTTTGAAGATGCTCCAATTGTTTTCCCAGATCAAGAATGGCAACCATGTCATAAGGAGGTGAATAATGGTCCTAGAATCCATGAATTCCATAAAGAGATGTTTTCAAAAGTCACCTCTTTATATGATGCTATGACTGTTGGTGAAGTTGGTAACTGTACTAGAGAAGAAGCTGTTAGATATGTCAGTTCTAAAGAAAAAGAGATGAATATGCTTTTCCTATTCGACGTTGTTGACGTTGGATCAAATAGAGCTGATAAGTTTCGCTATGAGGGTTATACTCTAAAGGATTTCAAAGATGCTGTTGCTGCTCAATGTGAATTCATAAAAGATACAGATGCTTGGTCGACTGTCTTTATTGAAAATCATGACCAACCACGCTCAGTTTCAAGATTCGGTAATACTTCCAACAAACTACTCACTTTCAAATCTGCCAATCTGTTGACATTACTACAAACCACATTGACCGGTACTTTATTCATTTATCAAGGTCAAGAAATTGCCATGACTAATGTTCCAAGATCATGGGATATAAGTGAATACAAAGACATTAATACAATCAATTATTGGAATCAATTCCAGAAAGACCATCCAAATGATAAAGAAGCTGCAGAAAAGTTGCTCGATGTCATTGCTCTACAAGCAAGAGACCATGCTAGATCCCCAGTTCAATGGGATGATTCTCCAAATGGTGGGTTTACAACTGGTGAGCCATGGACAAGGGTGAATGATAACTATAAGGACATTAATGTGAAATCACAAGTCAATGATCCAAGCTCGGTATATTCGTTTTGGAAAAAATCTTTGAAATTAAGACAGCTACATAAAGATATTTTCGTATTTGGTGATTTTGAAATAGTTGATTATGCTAATGACAAAATCTTCAGCTACTTGAAAACCTCGGGTGATAAGAAGGCCTATATTGTTTTAAATTTTTCCAATGAAACTGTTGAGTTTGAGCCTCAAGTTGAAGGTGAACTGACCTTGGTTTCCTCAAATGTTGATGATGTTAAAGACAAGGTGTTGAGTGCTTATGAGGGTAGAATTTATCTTGTTCAATAGGTTTCTCATAGTTTCCTTTTGAAAGAATTTTACACTTGTCTTCATGCTCGTGTTGTAGACCACAAATATGCACTATTTCCAGCTCTTGAGGTTACTAATCAAACGTAATCCAACCATAGGCTAAAGCTGATATTTTAAGCGCTAATATTTTCTGTACCTTACATGGTGAAGGTTGAGACGGACCCAATGTCACCCAAATCACGTCTCCGTGCAATCAACTACAAGAAGAGACCTAAAAGTAAATAACGTAAAATTCATAATGCATCAAATAAGTATAAAGTAAAACTATGGTTTCTCAAATATTTCATTCTTGTTTGCTTCAACAATGTTTCTAATTTCATCTTCACCCATCTTGTCAATCATTTCTTGAGTATTGAAAGATTGAACTTCACGGCCTTTGAACTTTCTTGCAGAAACACCTTCACGGAACAAGATATCCAATTCAGCAAAAGTTCTACCTTTTGTTTCTGGGAACTCAAACCAACACCAAACAATACCAGCTAAAGTGAAACCAGCCCAGAATAAACCAGTCTTAGCCTTCCAGTTCCAAGCAGTTGGGTTCAACATATATGGTGTTATGATTGCAATGATAATACCTGCAATGTTGTAAACATTTCTTGCAATAATGACGGTCTTTTGTCTTAATCTAACAGATGGCATTTCAGCAACAGCACAATAAGTGATTGGACCCACAGTTGAGTTGTAAACAAAAGTAAACACTAATAATAGTGACCCAATAGCCCAGGATGCACCAGTTGAAGAAGCAAAACCTAAACCACCAGTGATGATCAAGACAGCAAATTGAGTGCATAACCCACTAAAGAAAATTGTAAAACGACCCAATCTTTGAGAAAGTGACCATGAAACTAAAGTACCAATCAAACCCAAGACATATTGAATGATGGAGAAGGTGAAAGACATTGATTCAGCTAAACCAGCTTGTTTATAGAAATAAGTTGAATAACCCATGAATGCTGAACCAGTGATGTTTTGGAATAACCAAATCATAGCTGCAATTCTTGTTCTTCTGAAATCATCACCTTTGAAACAATCAGCATAGGAAACACCAGAAGATATGGATTCTTCCTCCTTGATTGTCAATTGCATTTTGTTGAACATGGCATCTGCTAAAACATCAGCATCAGGAGTGTGTTCATTCACAGTCAATAATCTTTTGATGTTCTTTTTGGCTTCAGCTGCTTTACCCTTTCTTGTTAACCACCATGGAGATTCTGGAGCAAGGTAAATACCAATTATAATTGGAAGAGGCCAGACCCATTGGACTGCAAATGGAATTCTATAAGCATGAGGATCACTTGAAGAGACAATACCACGTAAAACACCAGAAGAAATCAATTGACCAATAACCCAACAAGCATTGACATAAGTTGTCAAGTAAACTCTCAACACTAAGGGACAAACATCTGTAGCATAAGTAATGACTAATGTCTGTAGCATACCCCAGCACACACCTAACAAAATTTCACCAGCTAATAGCATTTCAACATTAACAGAAAAGAAGACAATAAAGATAAACCCTATGATAGTAGTCAAAGCCGATATCAAAGTCTTTCTGAAACCAAATCTATCAGCAACAACACCGGCAATAAACAACCCAATAACTTCACCACAGTACACTGCCATAGATAATGATGTTTGCCATTTAGCTGGCATTTGATATTCACCAAGATCTTCATAGTATTGACCATATTTTTTATTGAAACCTGGTAGGGCAAAGAAAGAGTTTAATAAATTTGTGTCATAACCTTCCATGATAATAGAACTTGAAAGGACAATAGACCACATGGCAGCTTTTGGGAAAGTTTTCAAACCTTCTTTCAAAGTCATACTTTTTTCAGCACTTTCATTACCTTGAGCATTATTTGAAATATCTAAAAACTTTGCCAAATATTCATCAATTTGATTATCAGAGTAACCAATATCAGAAGAGTTATTTGATAGTTTTTTAGCTAAGTTGACCTGTTTTTCATCAGGGTTTTTGACGTCCTCCACGTATTCAGTAGACATCGTTGTTGATATTTGTAGTTTGGTATAATCGATGATTCGTAAACTGAACTTCACAACACGTCTTAAAAGAGGATATCTAATGGTCTTTATATACTTCACTTCGCCTATGCTCTCATATTCCAAGACGTCGTGATCCAGCTATCAGCAATATCACTTGGGACGCGTCATTTCTGAGGGTGCTTGTCCCGCTTTTCTGGTTAGATTTCGAAGCAGCCTTTTCCCAATTACAACATCTACATGATGGAACAACATTAAAAAATAATTGGAGTCTGGCGCGCCTAAACGGGAAAACCCAAGCGCATACGGAGCCTAAAATTGCACAAGTTGCACAAATTGCGCAAAAATGTAAATAAAAACTGGGGGTGTGATTCAAAACAAGAAGATCGCAAATGACTACGATGAAACACACCCAGTGAGTTTTCAATCATAGAATCATCCGGGGTAGAAACCAAAGGCTGAAAAGTATGAGGTTTCTCAAAAGACTGTCTGTATGAATAGCCTATAGCTTCAAAAGTCTTGAATCGTTCCTTGAAGAGCTTGTTCATACAATTAACCACAATGTTTTTACCAAAGGTCAGCTTGTGGAGTTTCAATACTCGCTAAAAATCTTGGTTAATTGAGCCCCAGCAACTCAACCAAAAAACACTTCATGGCTTTCAAATTACCTGTTTTATTGATTAGAACGACTTGTTTGTCGCAAAGACTCTCGCTACATACAACGTCATGAACAAAATAGCCGGTTAATTAATTCTAGGTACACAATCACGGAACTGGGAGGAAATCAACAGAATAACATACTGGCTAGTCTGCTGGACGCTCAGCCATCAGCCTATTGAACCAGCTGTGTAGTCTATGCTTCCATAATGTTCCTTGCCAACTACTCAACTCATCATCGACGCACTCCAGGCTCATTTCAATTTTTGCGCAACGAAATGATCGGAGCCATACATCGTAAATTTCGTTCACGAAACTAGAAACAAATCACAGCTTCTGTCAAATTTATCAATTGAATCTTGTTTTACAAATAAGACACTACAGACAATAGCAGCCTTGAATAAGTCTAAATAGGTATAAGTTTTTGCTTCTGGTTTCTGCCTTTTGTCGCCTCTTTGCTTTACTAGTTCATGCAATAAGGAATGAAGGTGAAATCAGGTGTTGAATCTTGATGTTGAAGAGCTTCAGCTTCTTGTGCCTACATCATCGGATTAATCCTCGCTCGAATTGTTAGACACTTCCCCAGATCATGATAGTCGAGTATGACTCGTGCTCAACCAACAAAAAAAATGATACACTGTCATACAATTTACAAACAAGAAAATGGTGATACGAAATGGACAGAACCAACAAGAAGAATGCTGCAGAATTGTATTTCCCCAAAAGCATGCGTTTCCGATCTAATCCATATTGTAACCACAAATTAGTTGAGCAAATCTACGAGATTTTAGATTGGGTAGCCCAAGCGCTACGGTCAATTAGTTTACTATCAACTCTCGTTATCTGAATAGCTCGTGACTAGGCGCCAGTGGTAATTACTCAGATATAAGGCTAGCTCAGGCTATAATTATAATTTATTAATATGTTGCCAACTCAATAGTTCTTAAGTTTTGATACTAGTCAGGTTCCTATCAGCTCTTTGGTCAAATATTGCGGCTGGTTGATAATTGATAGCTAGACATCTATAATTCCGCGTTGGTCCAAGAAACCTACGTCACGACTCGCAAGCACTTCTGAATGCTGTAATTGTAACTAACTAGATCTGTTACTTGATATTAACTATCCCATGGTCACTCATCCTAAAGAGTCTTGAGATTCTCGCGTGAAATGTTAATGATCAACCTCTGTTACCATCATCAACATCAACAATTGCGAGCACCTGAAAAAAGAGCCTATTTGGAAAAGCACAAGCAACCCACTACCCAGTTCTTAACAATAGAGAGGTAATTGAGGAGTGCGGGATGTGCTTGTGTACAATTGGGTCACTAGAGGCTAGCCGCTAAAGTGAATGTGATATTTTTTAGCCTAAAATCTTGAGGTTTTTCCGTTGATTGGACACTCCATCAACATATATCGGTTGAAAGTTGGGAAGCAAGTGGCACGTATGAATAAAGTAAATGTAGCTTGGGTTCATGCCTGGTATCTCGGGCTTGGATCTTTCAATATCTAAGTTGAATGTTGGATTGTCCATAGACTTATCTTGTAGTTGTAGCTTTCCATGATGCTATACTTCAGGATTGTTCAAAGATCTCTTGATCCCTTATTTCTTATCTCTAGTCATTGATCTGATCAGTTAATCACCAAGGGTTATTAGCATCACTTTCATCGTGCTGTGTTGTATTGTTGTTCAAAGGAGCGTACCTAAAGGCTAATGTTTGAAGAAAGTACCAGGGCGACGCTCAAAAATATTCGCGAGCCGCGAATTGAATCTGTGTTTTTGTGGAATCTTCGTCGGTGAGGTTTTGGGATCCAAACAAAAGAGCACAAAATGGATATTGCTTTGTTAGGATCATGAACTCTATAGCTACACAGTGATAGTGGTATCATGTATTCAAAATTAATCCTCTTTACTGAAGATTCTTCACTGAGCACCATTCATTCAGGTTGAAAATCTGGGGATGTTGAGAATACCCTGAAAGTGATGTCCCCTATCGGATTAATACTCGCAAAGTTTATTGTTTTTGACCCCAGATTCTGAGATTTAAGACAGCCAGCAAGAAGAAACAAGAACAAAAAGTGCATACAGTACAAATGCTCCTCTATTATTGGGCACACCCGCAACAACATCATCGGGAAGATCCACATTCTGTGGTATCCTGGAACTCATCAAGAATCGTTACGAAAAATGACCAAAGAATAGATCCGAATCAACACCATATATAAAGGGAAAGGCATAACCTCATTCCCATTCACATTGAACAATAAAGGCACCTGTCATCAAATAGAACACTAAACTTATACATTATGACAATCGCAACTTATCCATGGTGGAAAGATTCCACTATTTATCAAATTTGGCCAGCTTCATATAAAGATTCAAATGGAGATGGTGTTGGTGATATCCCAGGTATTATCTCTACTTTAGATCACATCAAAAATTTGGGTGCTTCAGTCATTTGGTTATCACCTCATTATGATTCTCCACAAGATGATATGGGTTATGATATCGCAAATTATGAAGCCATTTATCACAAGTATGGTACTATGGATGATATGAATCAATTGATTGATGAAGTTCATAAGCGTGGCTTGAAATTGATTTTGGATTTGGTTGTTAATCACACTTCTTCAGAGCATGCTTGGTTTAAAGAATCAAGATCTTCAAAAGATAATGCTAAAAGGGATTGGTACATCTGGAGAAAACCAAAATATGATGAACAAGGTAATAGACATCCTCCAAATAACTGGGTTTCATATTTTTCTGGTTCGGCTTGGGAATATGATGAAGTCACTGATGAATATTATTTGTGTTTATTTGCTAAATCACAACCAGATTTGAATTGGGAAAATGAGGTTACTAGAAATGCCATTTACAAATCAGCTTTAGAATTTTGGTTCAAAAAGGGTATTGATGGTTTCAGAATCGATGTTGCTTCCATGTACTCCAAAAATCAAAAATTCGAAGATGCTCCAATTGTTTTCCCAGATACAGAATGGCAACCATGTGGTGAATATCATGTTAATGGTCCAAGAGTCCATGAATTTCACAAGGAAATGTTTTCAAAAGTTACCTCAAACTATGATGTTATGACTGTTGGTGAAGTTGGTCATTGTTCAAGAGAAGATGCCTTGAAATATGTTTCTGCTAAAGAAAAAGAGTTGAATATGATTTTCTTATTTGATGTTGTTGACGTTGGTTCAAATAAATCTGATAGATTCCGTTATGAAGGTTTCAGCTTGAAAGATTTCAAGGATGCAGTTACAGTTCAATGTGATTTTATCAAAGGTACAGATGCATGGTCTACTGTCTTTATTGAAAACCATGATCAACCTCGTTCAGTTACTAGATTTGGTAACACTTCCAACAAACAATTATTAAACAAATCAGCTAAATTATTAACTTTATTACAAACCAGTTTGACTGGTACATTATTTATTTACCAAGGTCAAGAAATTGGTATGACTAATGTTCCAAGATCTTGGGATATTAGTGAATATAAAGATATCAACACAATCAACTATTGGGCTGATTTCAAAAAGAAATATCCAAATGATGATAAGAAAGCTGATGAATTATTAGACCTAATCAACTTGTTGGCTAGAGATCATGCAAGATCACCAGTTCAATGGGATGATTCTCCAAATGGTGGCTTCACAACTGGTACTCCATGGAGTCGTGTTAATGATAACTATCCAGAAATCAATGTTAAAGCTCAAACTGGTGATCCAAACTCTGTTTTATCATTCTGGCAAAAATCAATCAAATTAAGACAATTTTACAAGGATGTATTGATTCATGGTGATTATGAAGTTCTAGATTATGAAAATGAAAAACTATTCACATACACCAAGACCTCACCTGAACAAAAAGCTTATGTTGTTTTGAATTTCGCCAATGAAGATGTTGAATTCAAACCTTTGATTGAAGGTGATTTCCAATTGGTCAACTCAAATGTTGATGATATCAAAGAAGATGTTTTGACTCCTTATGAAGGTAGAATCTACTTGGTTAAATAGATCTCCAGCTGATAATGATTTGCTTTCGTTCTATAAATGTTAAATGATTTTTAATTTCGTATCTTTTAGTAGCCTATCTGCGATATGCTGTTTTGGGACCCGCGAAGTTAATATAGACCAATCGGTCCTACAAACTGAGATTGAATACAAGATAATGGGCTTCAAAATATACTTTCAACTTCTTCAAGAAGCTATCAGGATTGGTTTTTACTGAGTTTTAAAGCCAATTTTCTGTGCAAATTGATCATAACAAAGAAAGCGCCTATTAACACGGTGCTTATTGCTCCGCGAATTCATTTTGTGCTGTAATCCTCGAATCTACAGAATTTTCTCAACATCAAAAATTTAATTCGTTAGAAGCATTAGTTTTGTGGGTATAATCATGATTGAGCTTTCTTGTTCCAAGTGAACTATATATCTTCAGGCTTTCTCAACTTCATGGGCTTTTTCCACCCCGGCGGCGTCGACAATTTTTCGGATACCATTTTCACCAATTTTATCAATCATCTCCTGAGTGTTGAAGGATTCAACTTCAGTGTATTTGAACTTTCTTGCTGGTACACCATCATGGAATAAAACATCCAATTCAGCATATGTTCTACCTTTTGTTTCTGGAAATTCAAACCAAGTCCAAATTGCCGCTCCCAAGGCAAAAGCAGCCCATAACAACCCAGTCTTTGCCCTCCAGTTCCATGCAGTTGGATTCAACATATATGGCGTAACAATTTGAGTAACAATACCAGCAATATTATACACATTTCTTGCGATGATGACGGTCTTTTGTCTCAATCTCACAGATGGCATTTCTGCAACAGCACAAAAAGTAATTGGTCCCACAGTCAAGTCATAGATGAAAGTAAACACCAACAACAACGAACCTGCTGCCCAAGAAGCTCCTTCTGAATTTGAAAATCCAATAGCTCCAGTAACTATCAAAACAATACATTGGCAAACTAATCCACCAAAGAATATACTGAATCTCCCCAATTTTTGTGATAAGAACCAAGAACCTAGAGTACCAATCAACCCTAAAACATATTGAATAATTGAAAATGTGAAAGACATGGTATCTGGTAATCCAGCTTGTTCATAGAAATAGGTTGAATAACCCATGAATGCTGAACCTGTTATGTTTTGGCAAAGCCATATTAAAGCTGCTATCCTTGTTCTTCTGAAATTTTCACCTCTAAAGCAATCAATGTAACTAACGCCTGCTGTCATTGTTTCTTCTTCTTTAATGGTCAGTTGCATTTTGTTAAACATGGCATCTGCTAAAAGGTCCAAATCAGGTGTCTTTGAATTAGCTGTTAATAATCGTTTGATGTTTCTTTTGGCTTCAGCTGCTTTGCCTTTTCTTGTTAGCCACCAAGGAGACTCTGGAGCAAGATAAATGCCGATAGATATTGGAATCGGCCAAACCCATTGAATACCAAATGGAATTCTATAAGCATGTGGATCACTTGAAGAGACAATACCACGCAAAATACCAGATGATATCAATTGACCAATGACCCAACAAGCATTAACATAAGTTGTCAAATAGACTCTTAAAACCAAAGGGCAAACATCAGTTGCATAAGTCACCACAAGAGTTTGCAACATACCCCAGCCAACACCAAGTAATATTTCACCAGCTAAAAGCATTTGGACATTGATTGAAAAGAAAACAATGAAGATGAAAGCAGTCACCACACTCAATGCAGAGATCAAGGTTTTCCTATATCCAATTTTATCAGCAACAATACCAGCAATGAATAGACCAAAGATTTCACCAACAAAGACCGCCATTGATAATGAAGTTTGCCATTTTGCTGGAATTTGCCATTTACCTATACTTTCATAGTATTGGCCATACTTTCTATTGAAACCATCAAGCGCATAGAATGAATTCAACAGATTGGTGTCATATCCTTCCATGATAATTGAACTGGAAAGAACAAATGACCAAGCTGCAGCTTTTGGAAAAGTTTTTATACCATCTTTTAATGACATTTGTTTCTCTGAATGTTCATTTCCTTGGGCGTTGGATGATATATCTAAAAATCTAGACAAATATTCATCAATTTGATTATCAGTATATCCACCAGATGTACTGCCACTTGTTTGTTTGTTTACAATAGGTTCTTCAGTTATTTGTGTGATTAATTCATCTTTTTTGTTATCCAGCTCAACAAAGTCGTGAGTGAAATTCATTTTCAATAGTTTGAATGATTAAATATTGGTTGTCTTCTTTTGAAAAGCTATGATGAATGGGCAGTCTAATTAAAAAATTAGCAATATTGAAAGGTACAAGTTGACGGTTATATACTTCAGTGGGAAATTTTTTTTAGGGCTGGAGAGCCGAACAAAAAAGCACTGTTTCATCTATTGTTGGAAAATTTTGGTGTCTATAGTTTTAGTTTTTGAAGAGAGCGAATATTGCGGCGCTCATATGTACCACAGTGTATTAATGGAATGACTATATAGTCCAAATCTACTACATTTCATATTTTGTAGTTGATAATTTCAAGTTGGATCTGAATTTCAACCAGATTGACAGTTTCATTATGAACTACGTTGTTGAATCTTGTGACGAGCTCGTATAAATTTCTCTGTTGATCAAAAAAGAGTTGAACTTGGCTTTTCGTGTGAATATTTAATCTAATAGGATAAATACAACTACACCCAACAAAAGCTGTGGAGAAGGGAATGTGTGTATTTGCTGACTTTGTAGCACAAAGGTATACATAATTACAAGCCTTTGGGTCTTGGGCTACTCTGTTTTTGGCGCTAAAAAGACGTTTTTCCAAATCCGAACCTAATTCAGATGTGCAACCTTAAATCCAACATCATGCTAGATCATTGTAGGCTAAACCACTGCAAGTTGACAACGTTTTATGTATTAACGATGAAACGAATGAAGATCTGGCATATAAAATCGCATCGTGAATCATGATTCATTTGTTTACGGTGTTTGGCTTGAATCTGAATAAAGTTGGGGAAATCTCACTATATTATGCATAGAAGGGTATTGTTTAGAGCAGTGGCCTGTATGTATGGTGGTTGGTGTTGGTACCATCAAATCTCGCTTAACATTCCTTCTTGTTGAAAAATCTACCTTAGGTTCTCCATATTCAGGATTTGACACTTCTTTCACATATTTCATGCGTTATGGTTATACGCGTCGACTGTTTTTTTGATGATCCGTCAAATTTTCCTGAAATGTTTCTCAATTAATCATACAGACGAGAGACGAAAGAGATCTGGATATCTGGAAGATTCGTCTGAAAGGTTAAAATAGATCAAAAAGGAACAAAATCCATGACCAGCGAGGACGAGTAGGGATAACAAAATTAGTAGGCCACATGAGTACTTCAGTACACAATCTAGCTATTGTTAGTAGGCTATTAGTCGCTCGCAATCTTAGCCATGTCGACAGAGTGGTACATATTTCATTTTGTTGGTTTTCATATGCAAAAGTCTCCAAGTGTTCAACGAATATCGCTTTCATGTTCGATCATTAACGTAGTAGTTGGCTCAAGAAAAAATGAGTTCATCACTTTTTTGGCAGTTATACGGGTGAATATTGCTAGGTCCTTTTCAAGGTCTGATCTGCTACAAAAGGTCCTGAAGTCTATGTTTATTAGACTGAGCTTCTATCCTAGACTGAGTTTGAGACTAACTTCATCAAAAATTTTGATTTGGATAAGTCTGGCTTCTACAAAAAGAGTGCAAAAATACAAAATAACTGGTTAAACATATTCAACAGGTACATTCAGAGTCAAGAGTAGTGAATAGCATACAGGTGTACTATATCAAGTTCCTGTTATCAGACCTTCTCAGGTTTTTCAACTTGATCAGCCTCAACAATTTTTTTGATTTCTTCTTCACCAATCTTTTGAATCATTTCTTCAGTATTGAATAACTCAACTTCAGTATGCTTGAACTTTCTAGATGAGACACCATCACGGAATAATACATCCAACTCAGCAAATGTTCTTCCTTTTGTTTCTGGGAATTCAAACCAACACCAAATTATACCAACAAAACTGAAACCTGCCCACAATAAACCTGCTTTAGCTTTCCAATCCCATGCAGTTGGATTCAACATATAAGGTGTGATGATACCAGTGATTATACCAGCAATATTATACACATTTCTTGCAATAATGACTGTCTTTTGTCTCAGTCTCACTGATGGCATTTCTGCAACAGCACAATAAGTGATTGGTCCAACAGTAAAATCATAAATGAATGTGAATATCAATAGTAATGATCCAATAGCCCAAGATGCACCACTTGAAGAAGTAAAACCTAACCCACCAGTGATTATTAAAACTGAAAATTGACCAATCAATCCACAAAAGAAAATGGTGAAACGACCAAGTTTTTGTGATAAGAACCAAGATCCAATAGTTCCAAGTAATCCCAAAACATATTGAATAATTGAGAAGGTGAAAGACATTGATTCCGCTAAACCAGCTTGCTTATAGAAATAAGTTGAGTAACCCATGAATGCTGAACCAGTAATATTTTGAAGTAACCAAATAATAGAGGCAATTCTTGTTCTTCTAAAGTTATCACCTCTGAAACAATCAAGATAACTAACACCAGATGTTGAGGCTTCTTCTTCTTTGATTGTCAATTGCATCTTATTGAACATTGCATTTGCTAACACATCTGGATCTGGTGAATTTTCATTAACAGTGATCAAACGTTTGATATTCTTTTTGGCTTCAGCTGCTTTATTATTTCTTGTCAACCACCATGGTGATTCTGGTGCTAAATAGATACCAATCATGATAGGAATTGGCCAAACCCATTGGATTGCAAATGGAATTCTATAAGAATGTGGATCTTTAGATTCCAAAACACCACGCAAAATACAAGAGGAAATCAATTGACCAATAACCCAACAAGCATTGATATAAGTTGTCAAATAAACTCTCAAAACCAATGGACAAACATCAGTCGCATAGGTTATCACCAACGTTTGTAACATACCCCAACAGAAACCCAAAAGAATTTCACCTGCTAACAACATTTCAACATTGATGGAAAAGAAAACAATAAAGATGAATCCCATGATAGTACCCAATGCACCAATCAAAGTTTTCCGGTAACCATATCTATCAGCGACAACACCAGCAAAGAATAAACCAAGAACCTCACCAACATAAACAGCCATTGATAATGAAGTTTGCCATTTGGCAGGGATTTCCCATCTACCAAGTTCTTCAAAATATTCACCATATTTCCTGTTGAAAGCTGGAAATGCATAAAATGAATTCAATAAATTGGTGTCATAACCTTCCATGATAATTGAACTTGATAAGACAAAGGACCACATTGCAGCTTTTGGGAAAGTTTTTAGACCTTCTTTCAATGACATCTTCTTTTCTGCACTTTCATTACCTTGGGCATTGTTTGAAATATCCAAAAATTTAGCCAAATATTCATCAATTTGATTATCAGTGAAACCACCTGAGTTGTCCGATAATTTTTTCTGTAATGGTTCTACTTGGATTTGTGTCTTTTCTGGTTCTTTGACGTCTTCAACAAATTCAGTTGCACTCATGATTGTTGATTGAAGTCTCTGTTGATTTGATCGGAGTATGGTTAGGGTCTTCAACAGGATGTTATGCGCAATTTATATGTTTTGATTTCAAACAAGAGGTCTTGTTTTTGTCGATGATCAAATGAATTGGAGACTACATGTTTAGGAAAGAATAGTCAGATGAATCAATTGGTCTTGTTGGCGAGGTACATGAAATGTGGAGCACAGAGACTTACACGAGGTTTATAACTTTTAATCCGATAAAACATCACTAGTATTGGCATTCTTTCTTGGTTAGTTTTGAGATGATTTGTGGGTCCATATCCTACACATTACTACCAGTTTAACTCAAGTTCTAGAATATGACATTGTCTAATCGATAACATAGATGAGAGCTCAGTAAGAGACACTTGTACAGTATACATTATCTAGCAAACGGTGTGAGTTGTGCTTGATATTGAATAATAGTAGATACACCTGTGTTTTCTCAACCCCAGACCCCAGACCAAATCTTACATTAAACCAAGATCTTCAATCATCACTGGCTTAAACTTCAACCCCAAACTCGATGCATCAAACTCTTCTTGGTTTATGTTTTCGAAAATCATTTCGAATATGAAAATCGCTAGAATTATCGTTAGGTCTAAAACTTTGGCTCAAGATGCTTTGTACACTTTCAAATGTTGAGCTACCAGCTCATTGATTGATATAGAAGGATTGCGCTTAGAAAAGTATTTTGAAGGCTAACGCTCCAAAAAAATAAAAAATGGGTGGAGGCTAAACCCTTTCCATTTAATGATGGTCAGATAGTTTTCAACCCACCAAAAAGAGAGTTTGAATCACAAAGATTGCTTCGCTCAATTATGAGACGTGTATACTGGATAACATTAATCAATTTACAAAATTTTGTTTTTCAGCTGGTTCATTGGCTTTACAATCGCTCAAACTATCGCCAAAATACGTATTCACATCTTGACGCCAAGTTGTAGAGGCTGAAGGCTAAGTAACCCAACCCAACTCACTCACTTTAAAAAATCATTCTGTATTTGGAGCTAAAACGTTAGAGGTCAGTGATCTCCCGCGATTTGGCCTTCTCTTTGTAGTTTGAAAGTACAGTTTTAACTAGAGGATGCATCAGACGTATTTTTATAGCATATTTCATATACCGTAGCTTTCAACAGGGTATGGAATTCATGAGGGCACAGTGTCAATTGAGGGCTATGTCTTTGGAACCATATTTTATAAGTCTGTTACGACTTCTTTTCAGTTCTGAGTATAACCATGTTCATACTGCAAGCTTGTGAGGGTTTTGGGGCAGTCGACGTTATTCGTTATTGATGAACGATATAAGTATAGGTGAATCGAATTGTTTTTCAATCTTTGTTAGCTACTGCTCAAATCCATTTTGCACTACAACCAGCGATGAATATCAATCTTGATTTGTTAAATTTACGAAATGCAGAAAGATAATAAGAGCTCGAAAGAATGGTTATGTGACAAGTTACAACCTTGACGGATATTAGCGGTGATGTGTTTTCGCGAAATATTTGCTGTCCATAACGAAAAAATAGCCTACGAGAAAAAAAACAGTTGAAGCTGTTCTCTTCCATTTAATTTCAACACAATTGAACAGGGCAATTGACATTGGCCATATGCAACTCATTAATTTGAAATAGGCGAAAGGCTATTGTTCAAGCTGGCGTATTTTGGGACTTGGTCAACCAGATGTGAACTCAGCGTTTTGAATTGAGCGTTAGGCGTTGATAATAGGGCCTTTTTTGAACAAGTTTGTGGGCGGTTATGCTAGGATAAAATGTTGATCTCTATCATGATCCCAGCTTCTACTTCTATGGCACCCGTGTGCTTAGCTTTGTTATTTGGATAGGGTTTTTTGTTTGGTGATTTGAGACTATCTTCATTTAGTGGATGGAAACACTAAAGCTTTTAAAGTTCATTCTACCGAAGTTTTCACATTGCAAATAATTTTATTAAGGAACTTGAACTATAAAATAGACTGCATCTAGCAGTTTGTTAAAAATTAAAAATAAAAAATAAACTGTCAATTAAACTCAAGAAACATCTGTTAAATTGAACGTCGGAATCGTTAACCTCATTAATTTAGACTTTAACAGCCTTTTCAACTTGATCAGCTTCAACAATATCTTTGATACCATCTTCACCTAATTTTTCAATCATTTCTTGGGTGTTGAAAGATTGAACTTCAGTATATTTGAACTTTCTTGCAGAAACACCATCACGGAATAAAGTGTCCAATTCGGCATATGTTCTACCTTTTGTTTCTGGGAATTCAAACCAAGTCCAAATACAAGCAATTAATGCAAAACCAGCCCAGAATAAACCAGTTTTAGCTTTCCAATTCCAAGCAGTTGGGTTTAACATGTATGGGGTGATAACTGCAATAACAATACCAGCAATGTTGTAAACATTTCTTGCAATAATGACAGTTTTTTGTCTTAGTCTGACAGATGGGATTTCTGCAACTGCACAATAAGTGATTGGACCAACTGTTAAATCATAGATGAAGGTAAAAATCAATAATAAGGAACCAATGGCCCAAGAAGCACCAGTTGAATTTGCAAAACCTAATGCACCGGTGATGATCAAAACAATACATTGAGCAACTAAACCACCAAAGAAGATAGTGAAACGGCCCACTTTTTGTGACAAGAACCAAGAACCTAAGGTACCAATCAAACCCAAGACATATTGAATAATGGAGAAGGTGAAAGACATTGATTCAGCTAAACCAGCTTGTTTATAGAAATAAGTTGAATAACCCATAAATGCTGAACCAGTGATATTTTGGAATAACCAAATCATAGCTGCAATTCTTGTTCTTCTAAAGTTACCACCTCTGAAACAATCAGCATAAGTAACACCGGCGGTGATTTGCTCTTCTTCTTTGATGGTCAATTGCATTTTGTTGAACATGGCATCGGCTAAAACATCAATATCAGGAGTGTGTTCATTAACAGACAATAATCTTTTGATGTTCTTTTTTGCTTCGGCTGCTTTACCCTTTCTTGTTAACCACCATGGAGATTCAGGAGCTAAATAGATACCAATCATGATAGGAACAGGCCAAACCCATTGAATAGCAAAAGGAATACGGTAGGCATGAGGATCTGTGGATTCTAAAACACCACGTAAGATACCAGAAGAAATCAATTGACCAATAACCCAACAAGCATTAACATAAGTTGTCAAGTAAACTCTTAAAACCAAAGGACAAACATCAGTTGCATAAGTAACAACCAAAGTTTGCAACATACCCCAACCAAGACCTAACAAGATTTCACCTGCTAATAACATTTCAACATTAATAGAGAAGAACACAATGAAAATGAAGGCAGCAACAATTGTCAAAGCTGAAATCAAAGTTTTTCTGTAACCAACTCTGTCAGCAATAATACCAGCTGCAAATAAACCAACAATTTCACCAACATTGACAGCCATGGATAATGAAGTTTGCCATTTAGCTGGAATTTGCCATTCACCAAGATGCTCATAATATTCACCATATTTCTTGTTGAAGGCTGGGAAAGCATAGAAAGAATTCAATAAATTGGTATCATAACCTTCCATGATAATTGAACTTGATAAAACAAAAGACCAAGCTGCAGCTTTTGGGAAAGTTTTCAAACCTTCTTTCAAAGACATCACTTTTTCAGAGTGTTCATTACCTTGAGCATTGTTTGAGATATCCAAGAACTTGGCAAGGTAATCATCAATTTGATTGTCTGAGAATTCAAGAGAATTATCAGATAACTTTTTGGTTAAGCTATCAGTCACTTGGACGACGTGTTCAGGTTTTTGAACGTCTTCAACAAACTCAGAAGGCATTGTAGTGGATGTTGATGTTAAGGATTTGTAATAATAATAATGAGGATTGTGTTGTGTGATGATTTACAATACATATACGAGAGTCTTGAAGAAGAGGGATTAAGCCAACTATATATAGTTGATGGATTGAAGCATAAGTGATGAAGTGTTGGGAAAAATGGGTGGAGCTTGATGGTGGGATCTTTTCTTGATGCACTAAAAGACCTTGTTCATAGTTTGGTGGATCGATACAAATGGAGTGATAGAACTAGGTCCGCTTTTTTGGTGTCATTCGAATATTCAGGTCTTGATTGAAGATAGTTGTGGTCAAGAAATAAAGACTTATATGGTTGGTTATTCCATGGACTTTACCCCTCGAGGTGTTTTAATTGGCTGGTTTCCATAAAATATTTTGCTGCTACAATATCGCTTTGAATCATCTTGTTAAAAATGAGTCGCAAAGATTAACTCTGTTGTGCATTTGGAGTCTGGGGTAGATAATAAAGTACCTAAACTTGATCTAATAAAGTTTTGTGCGTGACACTCTGTCAAAATAATAATGGTTCGGAATTTAGCAGCCATTCGATGGATCATCATGGGGAAACTTGGGTAAGAAATAACCCTAAAATACATGTTGTCTTTGTGTTAGATAGACACTCTTTATATGTATTATTTGCATTGATCTTCAACATCCAAGTGTGTAGCTATGCTAAATTTAAGCAACCTTTCAAACCTTTGCAATCCCATGACTCCATTACGAAACAATCATGATTACGATCCAAAACCTGGAGAATACGTGACTCTTGGACGATTTCCAGAGTACTTTGAAGGGGTTTCCTCGAAAAAGCGAGCATCTAATGTTGATTGTTCCGAGAATTCAATCAAATATACTCGTTCAGACTATCGCTTCAATTTTTAATCCAAAAGTGGGCTTCAAGTCTGAGTTTAAAGGCCTAAACCCTCGCTCCAAGCAATAAACAAGGTCATTAAGGGACTCGAGTGACGCACCCCAAAAAACCTAAAAGTACAGCATCTTCGCGACAACTTTCGTGAAGATTCGTGGAATTTGAAATCTCAAGATCCATACCCAGTGGTAGAAGATACAATTAACGGCTTCCCATTTGGTGTCCGGCTACATTGGCTATTGGCCATTCTTCTCATAAACTCTCGCTTTGTTTCTCTCAAAGTTCTCGTAAAAATTTTGAAAGAGCTGTTCTTTGTATCGGAAAAATCTAAAATAGCCTATGAAGTTCGGAACCCCAGATTTTGAATTTTTTGTTGATCCTTTCCGAGAAAACTGGAAGAAAAAAGCGGCGATTCTTGTCAAGCCATCCAACGAAAAACCTTTTGCAACCCACAATCACACCGAAAAACTAAACAGCCTTACCCAAACCCCCCAGTATTTAAACATTTGAGAACGCACTTTCCTTGAGTACAGTACTTTGAGTTCTACTTTCTCTTTTGTCTACACAACAACTACAAAGAATAGACTACAGAATGACAATTTCAACTTATCCATGGTGGAAAGACTCCACTGTCTACCAAATTTGGCCAGCTTCATACAAAGATTCGAATGGTGATGGTTTTGGTGATATTCCAGGTATCATTTCAACTTTAGATCACGTCAAAAACTTGGGCACTTCAGTTATTTGGTTATCACCTCATTATGCCTCTCCTCAAGATGATATGGGTTATGATATCTCAGATTATGAAGCTATTTATGAAAAATATGGTACTATGGAAGATATGGACAAGATGATTGATGAAGTTCATAAACGTGGCATGAAATTGATCTTTGATCTTGTCATTAACCATACTTCCTCAGAACACGCTTGGTTTAAAGAATCAAGATCTTCAAAAGATAGTGCAAAGAGAGATTGGTACATCTGGAAAAAACCAAGATATGATGAACAAGGTAATAGACACCCACCAAACAATTGGATGTCTTATTTTTCAGGCCCAGCTTGGGAATATGATGAAGCTACAGATGAATATTATCTATGTTTATTCGCTAAATCGCAACCAGATTTGAATTGGGAAAATGAAGCTACAAGGGATGCTATTTATAAATCAGCTTTAGAATTTTGGTTCAAAAAAGGTGTTGATGGGTTCAGAATTGATACAGCTGGTATGTACTCAAAGGACCAAAGATTTTTAGATGCTCCAATTGTTTTCCCAGATCAAGAATGGCAACCATCAAATGACTACACCACAAATGGTCCAAGAATTCATGAATTCCACAAGGAAATGTTTGCAAAAGTTACTTCAAACTATGATGTTATGACTGTTGGTGAAGTTGGACATTGTTCTAAAGAAGAAGCTTTGAAATATGTCTCTGCTAAAGAAAAAGAAATGAACATGATGTTTTTGTTTGATATTGTTGAAGCTGGTTGTGATACTAAAGATAGATTCCGTTATCATGGATTCAAATTGAAAGATGTCAAAGATGCTATTTTCAATCAATGTGATTTCATTAAAGGTACAGATGCTTGGTCAACTGTCTTCATTGAAAACCATGATCAACCACGTTCAGTTACTAGATTTGGTAATACTGACAACAAATTATTATTATTCAAATCAGCTAAACTATTATCTATTTTACAAACTACATTAACTGGTACTTTATTTATTTATCAAGGTCAGGAAATTGGTATGACCAACTTACCAAGATCTTGGGATATCAGTGAATACAAAGATATCAACACAATCAACTACTGGGACGCTTTCAAAAAGAAATATCCAAATGATCCAAAGAAAGCTGAAGAATTAATGGATTTGATTAACTTGTTGGCTAGAGATCATGCAAGATCACCTGTTCAATGGGATGATACCCTTCATGGTGGGTTCACAACTGGTACACCATGGACCCGTGTTAATGACAATTATCCAGAAATTAACGTTAAAGCTCAAACTGGTGATCCAAATTCTGTCTTATCATTCTGGCAAAAATCTATCAAAGTTAGACAATTTTATAAAGATGTCTTCATCCATGGTGATTTTGAAATCTTGGACTATGAAAATGAAAAAACTTTCACTTATGTTAAAACCTCACCAGATTCAAAAGCCTACATTGTTTTGAATTTCAGTAATGAAAATGTTGCTTTCAAACCTTTGATTGACGGTGAATTCAAATTGATCAACTCTAATGTTGATGATGTTAAAGAGGAACAATTGACTCCATATGAAGGTAGAGTTTATCTTGTTCAATAGATCTTTAGACAAATTTGGGTATAACTACGACGTTCTTTTATTTGATGAAAATGATGACTCTCTATAGAATCTTTTAGATCTGGTTAGATCTCTATTTATATTACACATTGGCTAATATATTTTATGGTTAGATTAATTACAAAGATTGTAGTTTGTCTTTTTAGCGTTTAGAAGATATAATGGAGTAACCTACGCTATTCACTACACGCAAATAACATCACAATTGTAGTAAAACTTGCTCGTACAAGATCATCTCAAAATCAGGCTTCAGACATGTTTTCGGCTAAATAAAATCCGATTCTCATTTAACCGGCGGCGCGCGATTTCGAAATTAAATAAACCAAATATATTATATTTATCAACTTGACTAGAGAAATGTTCTAAAAATTATTATGTATGAATAAAAATCACCTAAGCTTTTTGTGGAAAACTTTAAAACTCGAAAATTCGAAAAAAAAATTAAAAAGTGATTTTGTGTCAAGATTTTTGAAATTAATTTAATTTATTGCATGTAGTTAAAACTTCATGAAATTTAAGTGATTTTTTAAAAGATGATTTTTGAAAAAAGTAAAAAGCTACCTAGGAAGTATGTATCAAAAACATAATATTAAGTGTAAGTTCTGGCTGACTAGTTGTTCATTTGTTGTACAGTCCGTAAATATTATGCTATCAGGTCACGTGACTCAAAATTACATAATCGATACAACCAAACTTAATATTAACGTAGCGTTATATTCGCAGACCTTCATCTCAGATATAAAACTGTTTAGTTTTCGTAATCGACAATAAATACGCGAGATACAATGATAACAGTATAACTTAATAATGGATAATATAAATAACGTACATAAATCATAAACACCACTTCCCATAGCAGATTCACAGATGAAAGAAAACATTAAAGTTTCAACTCACAGCTCTGTTATTTGACTGGATTGAACAGCATTTGAGGAATTAGGGGAAGGTATATAATAACACATTGTAAATTGAGTATAAGGTGATAAGCTGTTTTTCATGTCATCATTGATGATTGGATCATTTCTTGGGTTCAATGATGATTCATTTGTTTGAGTTTGTTCATCGTTAATTTCATTCGTATCTAAAAGTAAATCTAATGGATCAGGTTGTCTAAATGTTATTCTTTTAGCTTCAATCAAATTTTCAATTTTGCTGAATAGTTTTTTCGGTAGTTGAACTTCAGAGCTTCTGAATTTGACAATCATCTGGAAAATTGTATTTAATTGATCAAATGCCATTGTTGATTCTGGTTGGTGCGGTGACATTATTGAAAAAGAGTATAAGGAGTCCGCGATTTCCAACAGTTTATTACATACACCTGGTGCACCATTTGATTCAAATGCAAATACTGGCAAGTCTTTTGTTTCAGTAAGGAAGTCATGGGCAATCTTTAATGGGAATTTAGCACTAAAGCAGCTCTCCATTGATTCATTTTGATTGATCAAGTAGTTTTCTGATGATATTAACCAACCAAGACTTTGAAACCAAGACTTTGACAGGACAATATTCAATTTTTGAGAATCATTAGAAATTCTATTTTGCTCAAACTTCTTGTTCAGCTTAGTTTGCATTTGTCCAATCCATTGTCTTTTCATATCAGTAGATTGATTTTGTAAGAAATCTTGAAACATTGACAGATCAGCATCAATTTTATCGTTATCAGAGTCAGATAATAATAGTTTGTGATTGATTTCATGGAAAAATTGTTTTTCAGTAGCTGCAAAAACATCAACCAATTCAGTAAACCCTAAAAGTAATTCTGGATATTCTTCATCTTGTAAAGATGGCATATCAACTGTTGGATCCAGCAAGACAGGTAGTTTTTCTTGAAAACAAGTATATCTTTCCGTTACCAATAACATATAATATATTTTTTTCCATCTATGAACTTCAGCACCTGATTTTCCTTGATAAGATTCTGGGTCATGCAAACCCAACATTTGAGCCATCGAGATAGCTTCTCTCAAGTAGACAATACCACGCTTACTTCCACCTGGGACGTTTCCATAATACATATGCAAAAAGAAACTTGAAAGCAATGTATCAATAGATGGATCTATTCTATCTTCAAACAAAAATCTAATTCTCTTAGCTTCTTGAACATATTCTTCAGCACTTAGAGCATTTTCAACATTGATGACACCAGCAGCTGATTTCAAAAATTTTACTTGTACGGATATAGTTGCACAAACTGCACAACATAACGTATAAGGTATGGCATTTCTTTCATCCAAAACGATTTTCCCATCAGATGATTGTTGACCTGTGACACTATTATCAATGATTTTGGAAACAAGATGTGCAACTGAAAGAACTGGCCACAAACCATAATACCAAGTTTGATAAATTTGAAGGTAAGGTAGTAATTTGTCCAATGGTATATTGCAAGTTATCAAATTCTGGTTGTTGGTTGATGCCAAGTTTGGACTAAACTGTTGATTTGGTAGATTGATTTGAATGTTTGACTGCGTGTAATTGTTGTGGTTGACTACTGATACTTGGTTATTATTATTGCTTATCATGTTGACAATATTATCTCTAGTCTTTTGCTGGATTCTTTTTGGACCAGATTTATGACGGACTCTAATATTTGTACATTCCAAATCATGGTTAACACAATTTGTACACCTTCCTGATTTACTAGTAGCAACATCACAACGAACCCTTCTAACAGCACAAGCATCACAAGGACGTGTATTGGTGCGTTTTTTGGAAACTCTACCACTTGATGCGGAACTGTTGTTGTTGTTGTTGTTGTTGTTGTTGTTGTTGTTGTTGTTGTTGTTGTTGTTGTTGTTGTTACTAATCATGTTGTTTGATACCAGTTGTTGAGGTTGTTGTTGGCTGTAAACGTGTTGTTGATTTGGGGCAGACATGATAGCAGTGTTGTTGTGGATCTGGGTGTGCTCTATTGACGAGTGAACCTTCAGATCTTGATATCCATTCTCCAGATCTCAGCGTGTATGGTTTCTTAAAAGCTGCCAAAGGAAAAACCACGTCCTTTTATCATGTTTTTTTCTTGTCATGATCATTTCTTTCTCCAAGTCTCCAGTGGTTCCTCTGGGGGAATTCATGCTGCTGCCCAACCAGTCCTTCCAAGTTCCAACTTCCCAGCCTAGACTAGCCGCTCACGCAAGCACTGTTCCGCCTAGAGGCTAAGGGGAAGCCGCAAGCCGCTCAGCTCAAAAAAACCTAAAACTTTTTTTTGTATACAATAACGTTTATTTAAAACGTCACGTGACTAAGGAAAAAAATGCACAGCAGAAAGACCCACAAAAATTGAAATTTTGTAAACAGGATCTTTGGCCGAGTGGTTTAAGGCGTTCGACTCAAGATCGAATATCGTAAGATGCAGGAGTTCGAATCTCCTAGGATCCATTATTTTTTGATAATTTTTTTTTCTAGCGTTTTGATGCCACAGTGTCAATATAAAGCTTTTTTTTTACACAATAAAGGAAAAAAGCAACTAGAAGTGATAACCGTTTGCTCAATTTATGTTTTTTGACCTTGTGATGGCCATAAATCAACAATTTGTCCACAACTAGCGCTTGCGTAATTGAACAGTATGATTTTGACAGATTCTGAAAATTCTAGAGAGATGGGCTGAACGAGTTAACAATCATCCAGATTTGTGATAAGAATACAGTTTGAAAGTAGATTTAAAACTCAATCAGACTACAGTTTCCAAATGAGCTTTGAAGGAGAGATTGCTTGAGATCCTTTTTATCAGGAAATAGTAGTTGGAGTGAACTATTCGGGTCGGCTGATATCAAAAGTCGCTAGAAAAGATTTCACGTGAAATTGGCACATTCGCACTATTAATTTGACAACACAATCCAAAAATTCATAACAGGACTCCAACCAAGGGTGGAATAATATGGTACGTATAGAGGGAGGATTTTTTACAGCCTACCCTGATCAATTGGTGATCGTATAAATAATCGAAGAATGCCCTGAAAGCTTTTCCTCAGCTCCATATTTTATTCAATCAAGATCAATTGATCCCTTTTCAACAACATGCCATCACATTTTGATACTTTACAATTACACGCTGGTCAGCCAGTTGATGGACCACATAACGCTAGAGCTCCACCAATTTATGCCACCAGTTCATATGTTTTCAATGATTCAAAACATGGTGCTCAATTATTTGGTTTAGAAGTTCCAGGTTACATCTATTCAAGATTGATGAACCCAACCACTGATATCTTTGAAAAAAGAATTGCAGCTTTAGAAAATGGTGCTGCTGGTTTAGCTGTTTCTTCAGGTCAAGCTGCTCAATTTGTTGCATTGACCGGGCTAGCTCATTCAGGTGATAATATTGTTTCAACTTCATTCTTGTACGGTGGTACTTATAATCAATTTAAAGTCGCATTCAAAAGATTTGGTATCGAAGCAAGATTCGTTAATGGTGATGATGCAGAAGATTTCGAGAAATTGTTTGATGAAAAGACAAAAGCTCTATATTTGGAATCAATTGGTAATCCAAAATATAATGTTCCAGATTTTGAAAAAATTACTGCAATTGCTCATAAGCATGGTATTCCAGTTGTTGTTGATAACACTTTTGGTGCTGGTGGTTATTTCGTCAAACCAATTGACCATGGTGCGGACATTGTCGTTCACTCAGCTACAAAATGGATTGGTGGTCACGGTACCACCATTGCAGGTGCTATTGTTGATTCTGGTAAATTCCCTTGGAAGGATTATCCAGAAAAATTCCCACAATTCTCACAGCCTTCAGAAGGTTATCATGGCTTAGTCTTGAATGAAGCTTTTGGTAACTTAGCATTCATTGGTCATGCTAGAACTGAAATTTTGAGAGATTTAGGTCCATCTATAAATCCATTTGCTTCATTCTTGTTATTACAAGGTTTAGAAACTTTATCATTGAGAGTGGAAAGACAAGCTGAAAACACTTTGAAATTAGCACAATATTTGGTTGAATCTCCATATGTTTCATGGGTTTCTTATCCAGGTTTAAAAGACCATCCATATCATGAAAATGCAAAGAAATATCTACAGAATGGGTTTGGTGCTGTCTTATCCTTCGGTGTTAAACCATTAAAAGAAACACCAGAAGATGTTTTCAAGGCTTCAGGTCCACAAGTTGTTGATAATTTGAAGATTGCATCCAACTTGGCTAATGTTGGTGATTCTAAGACTTTAGTTATTGCTCCATATTACACAACTCATCAACAATTAAGCCACGAAGAAAAATTAGCATCTGGTGTTTCTGAAGATTTGATCAGAGTCAGTGTTGGTACTGAATTTATTGATGATATTATTGGAGATTTTGAACAAGCTTTCAAGACAGTTTTCAAAGATAATTAGAGAGATGATATACAGGTTATATTAGAATTTTTGGTTTCAACGAGTAACTTTGTAGCTAAAATGCGGTTGTAAACCCAGTTTGTTATAAAAAAGGCCAATTGATGTCAAATTTATATGCTCATACACAGTCGACGATTATCAGTTTCTAGGGCGATTAGAAACTCGAGGGCTTTGTTTGGCTAACTATTGGTACGTCCCCGGATAAACTGTGCAAAAAAGAATCAGCTCATTTCTAAAATCGATCGATTTTTTTTGGTATGTGCAAACAAGGAACAATAAAAGTTTGGGTTGTATAAATTGAAGAGAAGCTGCTGAATCTTTGGCTGTTTAGCTTTATAGTTGTATTTCCCGAAAGTCTGTTGTACAATTTGTTACAATTGAGTTGAGAATAAGCATATGTCACTGGATCTCAGATTATAAGTTCGGAATCTGGCTTGAATTAAAAGACAACTAGGAGAGCTCTGGGAAGACAAAAATGCCCTTTGGAAGGTGAAGTAGGTATTACAAATTCATCACAATCAAGTTGCTACCCATTCAGTTGGACAAAAAGCCTCCAATTGAACCATTATTCGAGTTCATTCACTTTATAGTCACGTGAAATAAATTGAGAAATTATTTCAGATACCCAAAGAGGAAACTAATCCCAAAACAGTTCAACTCTCAGAAGAGGAGAAGATAAACTTCAAAACTAGGAGGGATCTTTTCTATTTAAGGCCCACTTTATGCCCCTCGAGCAGATCTGGTTTGTGTCAAAATCAAATTAAAGATCCAAAAGGTATACAGACAATCATGAAGATTGAAAACCCTAACCTTCAACTCCCATACACAACTTTCTGTTCAACCAATATTTGTCTTCTCCCAGCCAACGTCCACAAAAACAATCGCAAAGCTGTGTGAAATTTGTGACGGTCCAAGCTCGGGCCAAAAGAAAAAATATCGGGCCCACCCAAAAATTGATTGACCACAACCAACGAAGCTTGAATGGGAATTGAGGAATACATATGAAGGCCAAAAGACAAACCACAATACAAGATTGAGTTTGCTTCTTTCAGGAGAAGGAAAAGATTCAAATAGTCCATTTCTTATTCTAATTATCCAAGGCCTATACCAAGTGAATTGATTTTGTGAGTACTAAATTACTAACCGTTTTCCAAAGTTTATCTTGAACGTTTGAAATCAAAAAAGGGACAGCTACAAATGAAGATCCAGTTGCCCATATCTACACCAACCAACCAGAGACGTTATCCCTTTTGTCAATCGTTGTTCCTCAGTTTCAAAGATTATGCATTTGGTGGGACATTTATTCGTGATGCACAGAGTGAAGGATGACCAAGTTTAGGAAATTTCAGAGTGAAGAATTGCAATTTTGCACAATCCTGGTCCCGTTTCGTATGTTTTGGGTTTTTTTTGGGCGGTTTTGCCATAATTTTTTTTTCAGTCCACGGATTTTGCAACAGAGAAACTCGGACAGATCATGCACTGGTATCAACAGAGGGACAGAAGATGGATATGGGTTGGATGGGTATGCTAGATTGATGATTTCAACAACAATCAGAAAGATGTGGTTCTTCTAGTGGTTTTAGACGAAACTTGTTAAGTATCAAAGCATCAAAGCTGTTATTTACACCCAAGTTCTTAGACTTTGAACCAATTTCCAGACGTTTAAACTAAAGTTGTTCACTGTACAAATTTGGACTTTTACATTTGACAATTGAGATTTCAAATTAGGTGAAGAAAACTGTGGTCATCAAATACGCTAGCACACTATCCTATGAAAAATAGGCTGGAATGAATAACCGAAAGGAAAGTTTCTTCTTCGCTGTTAAGTGACTTTTTCTTAACACCTTGAACTCCATTTATGGAAGAGATCTAAAGAAGTATAGAGGACTATACCTTCTAGTTCAACAAACTTTCATGATTGATTCTTCAATAAGGATTTGTGAGTACAACAGACTTTTATTGTTCAAGAACTTTTTTTTTCACTTCAAAGTTTTCTCTCTTCAAAGTGTTTTCAAAGTTTTTCCATCAGATGGCATTCCACGTTACCGGTTTTGGGACATCTGCAATTTTTTTTCGCCACTGTCGAGAAAATAGACAAAAACCTGCTGGCAGACGCTGGAAGGAAGTCTGCCTAAAATTGAACAGAGAACTGGTAGAAACACGCACAGAACTTTTGGCCTGGGAAATTTAGGGCTTAAATAACTCCATTTGTAGGAACGAATTTAATACAAGTTTTTCAATGCTTTCAAAACACAAATTTTATAGAAACAAATGTAGCTAAAAACTACATCATTCAAGGACTAATTACTAGAATTTCGTTCTGCTCTAATTTTTACGAGATTATGATAAGGATTCAGTGATGATGAGGCTGTTGAATCTTCGAGACACTAATTTTTGTGTCAATTATCACACCGACGTCGCGAAAGTGTATTGTGAATGTAACGTACAACGTAGTTCAAAGTTCCCCATGTTTCATGAGCTCCTAAACAAGGCTGGATCTTTCAAAAAGATAGCAGTTGCTCAAGTTAATCAATAAGAGTGCTACATCTATAAGGATTACAGTTTCATGATGGTTGGGTGCTTCTACTAGGTGTCTTTAGACGTTGAAATTGAAATGCTGAATGTGCTGAGTATACTTGACAACTCGATGGATTGCTGTAAACTATCAGAACGTGGAAAGTTTGAGCCAATCCCCTCCTAATCCTTATAGTAGCTTTCAGATGAATGTTCAACAGAGAGAGCATCAATTGGTATAGTTTCAAGCTGTCAGGGTGAGAACGAAAATTTATCTATTCCATCAGTAGAGCTAAGTGTACAACTCAACATTATGAAACTTCTGGATGATTCAGTGTCTGGAGATTTGAGAACAGAAACGAAAACTCGTGGGACAAGGGGCAAAGTTTGACACCTTTAAATTTTCAGCTAGATGATCAATTTGATCCAAAATAACTTCTTGTGTAGGTTTGTTTTGTGCCAAAACTTGTTGAAAAAACAGGTGCAAAATAATTGATCCCGGGAAAGGAGGAGTGCGAGTGCGCTTATCACTGATCGTATAGATAAGTTCTTTTAAGGGTTGTGGCTACGTCGATAGAACATTGGAATAAAGAGCATTAAATGGTAAGAAAACAGCTGTTCCAATCATACATTGAAATGTAGTAGCTAAGTTATCTATGACTAGTATCCACTATCGTTTACTTGTCCGTTTTGGTAGTTTCTTTCGCATTCTCTGACGCTTTTTAATTCCGAATTTCCTGCCAAAGTTGCCTTTTCGGGACAAACGATAGCGCACTCGTTTCTTTTTGTCCAGGACATTTTTTCTATCTGCCTGTTGAAGCTTCTCTCGAGACGTTTAGCTCTTGATGAGCTCTTGAAGAAAATTTCCAATATTCCATATAAATGATTCATATTCCCAAATTCACGTAGTCGACGTTTGATAGATAACTTGAACTTATTTGAATCCCACCTCTAGTTCACCACACTGAAAAGGGAGAACTTATTCTAGTTGAGAAGAAGACTTATTGAGACAAAGAAGCTCAGTCTTGTACAGATTTGTCCATAAAAAAGTCCCCTCCATCAACGTTTTAACTGCTATCAGCTATACACTATCTATTTATTTAAACACTATATTATTATTATTATGTCCTGGACAGATTATAACCAATATCAATTTAATCAATCCATAAATACAGGCTCTACAACTCCATTATCATCTATTTCTTCAGTTCAATATCAGAATCAAAAGAATAATAATTTGGTGCAAGAGTTGAATTCAAAGCTAATCAACTCTTCAGCCTTGAATAATATTAATACTAGCTCAACGGTCTCATCTGTCTCATCAGACTCATTAAATGAACAGCAACAACAACTATTGAATAACAATAATAACAACAACAACATGGGTACTCAAATTGACCATTATTTTGCCAATGAGAACCCAACTCAAGTCTCTAGCTCTAATTTTTGGAATATTCAGCCTAATAATAACGGCTCATCAAATTTCAACGATCAACAATTTCACAAGACATTGTCAAAAGAGGACCAATTTAAGAACAACACCATCGAAGAGGCAAATTTCCTACAAAATCAAATCAACTTATCCTTAAACCATGATCTTTGGACAAACACAAACTACCAAACATCACAACAACAGAACAACAACAACCACTCACTCAACCAGTTCTCAAACGGTTCGAGCTTAAACCACTCAAGTAGCGATCAAAGCCTATTTGACCTCATGAAATACGGCCAACAAAGCTACTCTCCAAATAATGATAATAACAACATCAATAGTATCAATCAGATGATTCAAAACAATAACAACCCTACCAGCATGAATAACACCCAATTCAACAATAATTCCAATAACGGTAATGTTTATACTGCTTCAACTACCCCTGTGCCATCAACTCCATTATCAAATACCTCTCCTGAACAAATGGGTGTATTTCAAGGTCAAGCTCAACTTCAACAACTATTACAAATGCAACAACAGCAGCAACAACAACAGCCAATTCAACAAGAATTACCTTTGAATAACACCATGAACAATACCCAAAATATGATTCAAAATTATCAACAACAACAATTATATTTGGAACAATTACAACAACAAAATCAACAATTGTTGCAAAACCCTTTATTCATTCAACAACAAGCTCAATTAGTTTCACAACAATTACAACAATTACAAATTCAACTTCAATTACAAAAACAGCAATTGGAATCAAATAATTTACATTTATTAAATTTACAAAATGGTTCCACTACTACTGATTTAAAATTACCATTAACTGAAGAGAATTTGATCAAATTACAACAATCTCCAAAAGAACAACAACAACAGCAACAACAATCCACAATAGCACCATCAACAAATTCTTCAGGAAATGATGATAATAAATCAAATGTTAATACAGAATTATACAAGACAGAATTATGCTCAACTTTTAATAAAACTGGTTCATGTCCTTATGGTAATAAATGTCAATTTGCTCATGGTGGTAATGAATTGAAGATTGTTAATCGTGGTTCAAAATATAGATCAAAACCTTGTGCTAATTGGACTAAGACTGGTGCTTGTAGATATGGGAATAGATGTTGTTTTAAGCATGGGAATTGATCAATTGGGGGGAGTTCAATTTATTATTATTTGTCATTATTTGTTTTATTATTGTTCTGTCATAGAAGGTTTTCAATTATTGTTGGTTTGTTAGTTAATATTGTCAAGTGTTAATGATGTTTATTATTTGTTATTGTGAATCAATTGGTATTTTATTATTATGATTATGATAATGTCCTGCTTTTTTATTTATATCTAATTATTATTTTTTATTTTATTTATTTTATTAACGTCTCATGACTATTTATATATAAATATTCCATCTATTATAAAGAATTTGTGTAGCACGATTGTTACTACGGCTGATTGATGTTCGCGCTATTATAGCTGTGACACAAAATCATTATGCGCTTCAGCTTTTCAAGAACTATTACTACCCTCCTACAAACCTGAGCTTTTTTTCGTTTTTCGTAGGATTTCTTTTGGTCCGGCATGTGCATAAAAAAAATCCTACTCGCATGAAAAATGGCGAAAAGCGCGGCTGACACATGTGCAAAAAATCCTAAAAGTCTTGGCAGGGACGCCCAAAACGACTGACTTTTGACACTCATATCCCAAAAAAACATACAGATTTTGAACCCAGTTTAAAGGACGATATATAGTACTTCAACTATTCAAAAAAGCTACAAACTTCGCCATAAGGTACTTTTGCATAAGAATCATATAACTATGTAATCATTTTGAACAAAACAAGAGGTATAAAGCTCTATTTTGGCGTTTTAAAAAGGGGTGTTGAATTTGAGACATTTTTCGGAATTTTCGCGAATATCTCCACAAAACGCATTCGCGATATTATTTCCTTTGTTTACTTTTCTGATTCAATTCTTTGTTTACACTACAAGGAACTTGAAATAGCTCTTTACATTCATCAATCATCGCGGAAAGAAGCACCATGGCCGGGGTAAATGAAGAAGCAGATGCTGGTGGACAATTTGATACCATTATTGAGAAAGTTTTTGCAGCTCAGAGGTAGTTTGAAATGGCTTTGTTCATTAAGTTCATTTGGTCTTTTGGAAGGACTAAGCACGTTTCCAGTCCAGTAAAAGGGTGGTTGCCTGTTCTCTGCTGGCGCTTGTGAGTCTTGGTAAATATCACTGGGATCGAAGTGTTCTTGATTCATTGGAGCGTTGATAAAGGTCTTCTACAAGGTGGTAGCTTCAATCCAAGTAGCTCCCGTACGTGTTTGTCAACAAATCTGTGGAGTGACAATTTGTCTGACAGTTAGGTTCGTCCTGTCGTTCCTAAAAAGGAAATTCATAGGATTTCCTCACACTATGCGTTTAGCCAGGCCAACACGCTTTGCGCCGTTATGCAATATTCAAAAAAAACTCGGGTTTGTAGGAGGGTATACGATTTAGATTAATCTTGTGATATTAAAAGAATGGTTGGAAGAGAGCTAACATTTTGGACTTAACAGTGAACACTCACAATCCAACCATTTCAAAGCTATTCCCAACACTTTAATCATGGCCTTTCTAAAGTTGTTGAAATGAGACCGCTTTTCACCGTTTTGGGTCTGCCTGATCTGTTCAACTGTGGCTCTTTTGCGGATATGAGCAATCTCTCAAACTTTTTATAAAAGAGAAGAACGGTACAGGAAATTAGTGAACAATGGGAGAATGATAATAATTTTGGTTAAGAATGGCTGATTCAAAACCATCAAAGATAGAAGAACACCAAGTTCTCGAGCTTAGCGATGCTGTTGAGAAATCAAAAGATTTCGACATCCCTGAAGATCTTGCCAATGAATTGACACAACAAGATTATGAGTTCTTACAGATTGAACAAATCCCCCAAAGATGGTATCAATGCTTTGCCAAATCAGATTCCAAGGCTGAAAAAAAGCTCATTATTAAATTGGATCTTTTGATACTGATTTATCTCTTCTTATCATCATTTGTTAAAACTTTGGACTCTTCAGCGGTTAGTTATGCTTATGTTTCTGGTATGAAGGAAGATTTGAAAATGTTTGGTAACCAATTGACGTATCAAAACTCATGCTATATGGCTGGATTTATCGTTGGTCAAATTCCCTTAACTATGTTGGCTACTAAATTCCCAATTCATTTGTATTTACCAATAATGGATTCAATTTGGGCTGTTTTCACTTTTGTCATTTTTAAGATAACAAATTATCACCAATTATATGCCCTAAGGTTTGTTATTGGATTGTTGGGCTCTTTTTTCTTCCCAACTGCTAATTATATCTTGGGTTCTTGGTATACTAAAAATGAATTGGCTAAAAGATCTGCCTTATTCTTTTGTGCTTCACAAGTTGGTGGTATGTCTGCTGGTTATATACAAGCTTCTGCGTATAAACATCTGAATGGACTACATGGGTTAAAAGGTTGGCAATGGCTTTATGTGCTGGCTTTCATTATAACAATTCCAATTTCCTTGTATGGGATCTTTACATTACCTGGATTACCAGAGAATTGTCATTCAAATTTATTAACCAAAGAGGAATTGAAACTAGCTAGATTAAGAATGATTAGAGAAGGTAGAAGTTCAAAAGATAGTTTCAATGTACAAACCATAACTAATATTTTGAAAGGTTGGAGATTTTGGGTTCTTGTTATATTTGCCATTTTTTTCAGTCAAGCTGACGGTATTAGTTCAAATAGTGGATTACCATTATGGCTAAAAGCTAAGAATTATTCAGTTTATCAAGTGAATACAATCACAACTGTCATTCCAGCAATTACAATATTCTTTTCATTATTGAATGGGATTATTGTGGATAGTTGGAAAGATTCTCATCCTTATATTATTGCCTATGTTGCTGTGTTAAATCTTGTATCAGGTATTTTACTGACAGTTTGGGATATAAGTAAAGGTGGTATAATGTTTGCATTTTTCTTATCAGGTACTGCAAATAGTATAGCAGCAGTGCTATATTCTTGGGCAAATATTATTTGTTCAGAAAATTCCCAAGAAAGGGCTTTAACATTAAGTACTATGAATACTTTGGGTAACACTTTTAGTGTCTGGGTCCCATTGTTTGTTTGGAAAACTGTTGATGCACCAAGGTATTTGAAAGGTTATGCTTACAATATCGGTCTTGATTCAATGATGTTGGTCTTGTTGGTTCCTTTGACTTACCTTTATAGAAGAAGTCAAAAGCAAAAAGAATTAGAGTTAGAGTCGGAGTAACTTTGCTACAGCTGACATAAATATGCAATATACCTTTTAGTTTTCCCTATTATCATGTCCATAGAAGCATTAATTCATGAAAGCTTTTCTTTTTCTTGCAAGCTCCTGATAAGTGTTCTATAATTATTTCTAATCTTGATGCTTTGACAAAATCTTGATGATTTAGTGAAGCTCAAATCTTTGTAAATTCTCCCATAATCTTTTGTGTAGTTCATTCTTCTATCTTCATCATAAAATAATGGATTATCATAATTTATCAGTGTTGGAGCCGGTCTATATGTTTTGTACAAATGTTGTGAAGTGACTTGACTCAGACTTTTACAAGTCAGTGTCAGACTTAGTGTACTGGATTTGTCACAAAATCTTAATAGTTCACTTGATATGAGTTCATTTGGTAGTTTGTCTAGCATGTTTTCTTTGAACCAGATATATGAGACACTCGACAAATATAAAGGAAGAGCATCTTGCAAACTATTTATATGACTCTAACTTTTGAAAAAACACAATAGCATAAAGGTGCCTCGAGGATAATATTCGATTCTCGGGTGTTTAGTTCAAAATTTTTCATCGTTCGGAGCAGTTTAGATCGATCTGATAACTTTGATACACCTAGACACCGTACGCCAAACTCTAGACCTGCGAGCCCAAAGTAAAGCATTGACAACCTTAGAAACACTGAATTGGAAGACCTTTTGCCTTTTGCTGTTGAGGTAACTGGGAAATGATCACGGCTCTCGTGAATAATGAGCCTGATTCCTCAACTATTTGTCCCACATACGCCTGTCACCATTTCCCATAGCTGTGCCAGAACGACCGTCTTTAACAACCAAAACAAGCGTTTACTAGTTAGGATCTTGTGAAGATTTCTAGATATGCATCTTAATATTCTATGAAATACTATAAAACTTCTTTCTTAGATGATTCAATAACCTTTGTGAGTGTTTAATGAGCCCAACACCTTCACAAAACATCACCGCACACCGTCAAAAACAGAACCACACACCAGGTGCGCTCGGTGCGCGACACCGACTAGAATTAGGAAATTTGCAAGTTTTTTTTAGGCTATTAAGAAAACTAGTCTAATTTTATGAAAAGACTTCAAGCCAATAGTTCAGAGCTCAAACAATATGCATAAGCTATAATTGGATATATAGAGCATTTAACTTGGTGCTTTCTTAGCAATTGAAGTTGGTAAGATTACTAATAACACTTGAAAATGATTAGTCAGCTTATCTAATCGTGGGTCAATTTTCTTTCCCACACCGCAATTTGTTCAGCAGATATCATGGATTTCCGGCTGCATCCAATTTTCCAACAGTTTCTGTATATTATTGAAAATATTCTTACAAAATTAATATCATTGAGATCAGTAGTTATTAGTGTATTAGTTATTAATTATTAGTTATTAGTTTCATTCATTATTAGTGACCGATGATGATGTATATATCCTGAGGTACAAATTCTTCAAGAGTTTTGCTTCATTATTTTGATTAATGAGCCAGATTATAAAATGCTGTCTTATTGCCTTTCCACCCATGGGTAACCAAATAAGAGTTTTGTTCTTCCTCAGTGAAATTGCTCCATTTGTTAACTTTCATTCTGTTTCTAACAACATAGTAAACTTTGGTCAAAATTAAGACGACAGTTGTAATAATCATAATAATGAAAAGGTTTAAACTGCCTTTTTTCAAAGTTGGTAGATATTTTGTATGATAAATACAACTTGAAATCATATAACCAGCATCAATGAACATCATGAACATTGCAGCTGATATTGCCCTTTTACCATTTGAACCAGAATTTCTTGAAACCCAACTTTGTAAAATTGCGATAATATTTGGTGCAGCTAACGCTAAAGAAACAACTAATGCCGAGCCCCATTCATCATAAAGAGTTTTCCTCCACCAAGTCATAACACCTAGTAAAGGTAATTGCCATAGTGGGAAGATCAATGAAACAAGTGTACGTTCATTCAAATTTTCAGAAATTTTTGTGATTGAAACCAAAAATGCCATGTATAAAATCCTCCAAGGCATTCTAAACGAGAACCTGGCTATTGACTGACGAATTGTCATGAATTGTCTTATGCAAAGTAGTAAATATGTTTCATAAGTGTCAAATGGGATGAATGCAATTAATGCAATAAAGTAAATTGGATATAAGTCAAAATCGAAGATAGATTTGATAATCTCCATTAGTGAAACAGCTTTATGACGACTTGATAAACCTTTTGAAGGATCGTCTCTTAACACACTATTGACTTGAATTTCCTTCTCATGCTCAGTTAAGATTTCACGTTGCCATTTTTTCTTTTCAGTTAAAGATGGTGGTAAGAAAAATGCAATAATAATAGCACCAAGTAATGGAACAAGACCCTCTGCAACAAATAGTAACTGCCAGCCATCAATAGCAGTAGGTTTTGGTGAATATTCGACTCTGTCAGTTGCATATGCTAGATAGCCAGAAAATATATCAGCAACTGTTTTAACTATCCAAAGACACGCCAATCTCATAGCTAATTGATCTGAAGTATAGAAATATGACAAGTATAAGACGCAGCTTGGAATGAAACCAGCACCAACACCACCCATAGCAGCTCTAATACCAATAGCAGTTGCAGTTTCATTAATCAAACTTGAGAGACCACCTAAAGCACAATAAATACATAAGATAATAGGTAACCAAATATGAGGACCAATCTTCTTAGCAACCAAGACTGATGGAATAGCCAATATTATTTGACATGCCCGCTCTGCATACATGACTCTTTGGGCATCAGTTTGAACAGTTAATGCAGCACCATATGAAGTATCACCACTGTTATATCTGACGATATCTTCATCATCACCATAATCAAAAGAATCACCATTCATTGAATATCTTGAACTTTGCATATCAACATCATATGCCATTCCGCCTCTGAGGGCATCACCAAAACTTGCCTTATTGATATGGAATCCAAAAAACATTAAAGAAACCATCAACATAACAGTCAGGTTCAATTTTGTTAAAAGTTTGTTTTCTTCCTTCTTTGTCCATGTAAGCTCTGGATTATAATGAGCAATATTTTCATATTTAGCCTTTGAGAAAGAGTCAAACCACCATTCTGATGTTGTTGGATCTAGAAATGGGTTAACTGGCTTGTTTCTGTTGTTGTTGAAGTTGGAATTGTTAGTTTCCAATTTTGAGATTTTGAGGTCTTCTTGAGAATCGCGACGTTTAAATCTGTTAAAGAACTTCATTGTGATGATAACTTGTACAGTAGAAAAAAGTTATGTTCGATGAGGAGTCTGGGGTATTACAGTGTAGTTATATATTCTTTCGATCGAAACTTCTTCAGCAATGTGTTTACGTTGTTTCTGACGTTTTCGTAAGTACAACTTAATGATCTTGAGATTGGCTACTCTTGGCCACTATTATTAGGATTTCAACAGCAATAAAAAGGGCTAAGTATGGCGTGTAAAGATATATGTGACACAACTGACCCCTTTTTTAAGATCTTCCAATATGCAGGGTCCGTGTAATTGTCATTTAATATGATTACATGTACTGCCAGGTTTTTGATAATCTATGTGGTTTTTCATTGAGCTTCTCCATGATTGGTTCTGTTGAATATTGAGGTACAGCCAGTTTACAACAATGATAGACATCAATAGGAGAATATGGTTTTTTGGATCTGCTAATTAGAGGTTTTTTACACTGGCAAAATCCTTAGCTAGCTTCTTGCATAAGAAAGAAGTTTTTTTTTTGTTTTACACAAGAAATATCCTAAATGGTTCCTAGTAGCTCAGTATAGCGTCATTTTGCAAATCCAATCGTTGTTGCCATATCAACGATTCAACGATTTGGCTGTGTCGAGTGAAAATGGCGTAGCGATTTACCAAGATCGTACCTAAGCATGCTTAAAAGTCTTTTTGCTTAGCTAGGATACATATAACTATTCTCCTTAACTCGATTGCATCAACTTGCGCAGATTTTCATCGCGGTTACCCAAAAGGTTAAGCATTTTGCTTGTGTAAAAAACCTCTATTACGTTAATAGTAGACACAGTCTTGAAATTTCAACAGCCTCTAGTTCAAAATTGCCATATAGCACCTATGTCTTTAGTTAGCTACTTTGCCCATGACCTCCACGCCAACTTAGCAATATGCAGAGCTGGTAACTGGTAACTGGTAAGTAGCCATCAAATATCGTTATCCACTGGTATCTCATAACTTATTTTGCCATGCCCTTGATCACGCAAGTGTAGCTGCACCGTCAGTTATGATTCTCGTATTCAATAGTTCTATTTCTGAAAGTACAACACATATTTCTAGACTTCCTAATAGGGAAACAAAAAAGTTGTAGAATAGTCGGCTAAATGAAATTCAATTCAATTTAGGGGTTAAAGCTCAAAGCTCCATTTCTAGTATCTAGTATAGGCAGGCTCAGCATGTACCATAGAAAAGACACATTAGCCCTTGTACCAGCCGTACATGTTTTCTTCATCATGCGTTTCACGAGAAATTCACAAAATTACTTGCCCAGTGCTGAGCCCTGAGATGTAAAATCAAAATATTCCATCAACATTGACTTTCACTCGAAATTCAGAACCTTCCTATGTTCAACCTGATTCAAAGTCAAAGTCAAAAGAATCCAAATGGCACAGAGATACAATATCCAAAGTCAAATCTGGTAGTTAAAACTTAATACCACACAAAGGAGCCCGAAGTCCGCAACGGTTATTATTATTTAACAGCTATCTCATAGCACCCAGCGCAACAGAACCAAAAGGGCTACCTGACAGTATACACTTTCCTATTTCAATAAGCTTATTAGTGACTCACTAAAACAACATTCATCATTTGGTTGTCATATAAAAACGAACTTTTGTCTGATAAAGAATCGTTTGATTTCATCTTTGATTCGTACGTTTTTCATCAAGAACCACAACATAAAGGAAAATGCCTGTCACAATCCGCCCAGTTGAGGAATCAGATCATGATGAATGGTTCAGATTATGGAGATTATACCAAGTTTTTTATAAAGTGTCATTGTCCGATGAAATAGGTGAAGCAACTTTTAAGAGAATCTTAGATCCTTCAGTAAAGATGTGGGCCGCGTTAGCTATCAATATTGACACAGATAAGCCTATTGGACTAGTTAATTACTTTAGTCATATTCAAACCTGGAATACAAAGGACAAGATATTGCTCAATGACTTATATGTTGATGAAAATGCCAGAGTTAAAGGGGTTGGTAGACAATTGATTGAATACGTTTACAGAGAAGCTGATAAATTGGGTACACCTGAGGTTTACTGGAACACAGATATGGATAATCATAGAGCACAATTATTATATACTAAAGTTGGTGTCAAGACCGGTAAAGTCTCTTACAAAAGACCTTTATAGTGGGTTAATATGATTGTATCGACGATTTTGTTGTAGAGGATTTTCATTGATTTAATTTGTCATCTCCACCTTTGGTATACAAAGCAAAGAATTAGCCCTTTTGAGGTCTCAGAGTATCCTTTTCACTCCTGGCAAGTGATTCAACTTATTAATAATGTGTGCTACTATACGCTCCGTCAATGATTCGGACTTTGATGAATGGTATCGTCTAAGCAAAACTTTCCTTAAAGCCAATCACAATATTGATCTCAGCAAGGAAGACGCTAAGGAAACTTTTGAGAGGATTCTTGATCCAAAGGTGAAGATTTGGGCATTATTAGCTATAAATCCAGAGACAAATCAATCCATTGGATTCACCAACTACCTGAGTCTTCAACAACCATACAATCCACAAGAACGTATCCTTCTCAATGGTATTTACGTGGACCCTGATGCTCGTTTGAAGGGCACAGGAAGACGTTTAATCGAAGCAGTCTACAAAGCCGCGGACGAGCTTGGTACCCCAGATGTTTATTGGAATACAGATATAGATAATCATGCCGCTCAGCTCTTGTATTGCAAAGTCGGTGTTAAAACTGGTCAATTGTCATACAAACGAGTTTTGGATGGTTAGACTACAAGCAAGAAAATTCAAACCTCATGCATTCTATGCTCTAAATCTTTTTTTCCCAGTATCTAATGACTTACCTTGTGTCAATCTCCATTCATTTTGATCTTTAGCAAATTTGTTAAATAATGGAACAATCTTTTCATTCTTCTTCTTCTTTGTAGTGGTGGCACCGTTGACTTCAAAAAATTCTGGAGATACTTCAACCAACCATTGAGGTTCAATGACAGTAACATGAACTAAGTACTCTTTTGTAGTGTTTAAAATGGAGTTATAAACAACATATTGTGGACTGTTACGTAAAGAACTTGATGGATGAATATAAACTTGAGTTTCTTCAGCAAGTGTTTTATAACCATCTTGTGCATCTCTTTTGGCAATATTCTTGAAAAAACCTGCACATAAAGCTTTTCTAACAGCATTTGTATTAGCACCACAGCTGATTATTGGATATTTGAACCTTTTAAAAATCTGGATCAATTGATTTCTAACATCTTGAGCCTTCTTTAAACTTCTTTCTTGGATGAAATTATCTTGACACCATTGTTTGGAATAATCATTGTTTACCCATGCATTATAAACATTTAGATAAGTCAAATGGTCACCATGAGGATGATGAAATCTAGCTTTCTTTTTATCAGCCAATTCTTGTTGTTGTTTTGGTCTATTGAAAATATTAGGTGTTGATAAAACTGCAAAAATAGTAATCATTTCATCTGAACATTTATAATGAATTGATTCAATAAGTGTTTTGGAAATCGTTGGGTGGGCAGGAATGTTGACCAAATTTCGACCAATAGTAGTAATCCTTGATTGATCATCAACAGCTTTCAAGTAATAAAGTTCATTTAGAGATAACAAAATAGATTCTTTTGGTGGCGGATCCATGAACTCAAAATGTAACAAATCATTGATACCAATAGCTTTCAACATCAAAATCACATTACTTAGGTTTTGTCTTTGGATTTCAGGAATGGTATTTGGCAACATTTCATTTTTAAAAGCCAACTCTGTATATAACCGAAAACATTTCCCTGGTCCAGTTCTACCAGCTCTTCCTGATCTTTGATTTGCTTGTGCTTGAGATATTGGCTTAACAACCAAAGAATCCATACCCAATTTTGGATCATATGCATTGATTTTAGCAAAACCAGGATCAATAACATAATAAATACCATCAATTGTAAGTGATGTTTCTGCAATATTTGTAGCAAGGATAACTTTTCTTGAACCTTTTGGTGTTGGTTCAAAAATTCTGGATTGCATTTCAGAAGGTAATGCAGAATAGACTGGCAATATGATTAATTCAGGAACAGAGGGACCTAATGCTTTCATCCTTTCTCCAAGAACCTGAACTGATATTTCAATCTCTTCTTGACCAGTTAAAAATACCAATATATCACCTTCAGGTTCTGATATATGGATTTGAACAACCGAGTCTAAAGCAGCAGCCAAGTAGTCCAATTCTGGCTCTTTGGTATACAAGATTTCAACAGGAAAAGTTCTACCAGGTATCTCCACAATTGGACAGCCATTGAAATATCTTGAAAATTTGGTAGCATCTAAGGTTGCTGATGTAACAATGATTTTCAAATCTGGTCTTCTTGCAGCAGCTTGTTTTAATAATGCAAACAAAACATCTGTGGAAATAGTTCTTTCATGTGCTTCATCAAGCATAATAACAGAGTAATTTGTCATGTTCGGATCCATCAAAGCTTCACGCTGCAGCATACCATCAGTCATATACTTGATCTTTGTTCTAGGTGAAGAGGTATCGTCAAATCTCACGTTATAACCAACTTCTTGGCCAACACGGCATCCAACTTCTTCGGCAACTCTTTTTGCAACAGATATTGCAGCAACACGACGTGGTTGTGTACACCCGATGATACCACTTTTTGAATAGCCATCCTCATATAAATATTGAGTCAATTGTGTTGTTTTACCAGAACCTGTTTCACCAACTATAACGATAAATTGATTATCTCTGACGGCTTGCATCAAGGTTGATCTCATACGGAAAACAGGTAATGACTCTCTTTGTTCTTTCATACTCATATCAGTTCTCTTACCATATGAAATATTCTTTTCTTTGGGTTTCTGCCAATCTAATGAGCTAGCCTCTTCAAGATCTTGGTCTTTAGCTAGTGGGTCATCAGTACTGGCCTTGGTTTTGGAAGCCTTTTCCTTCATTTTGCGTTCTCTTTCTTCCTTCATCTCTTTAATCTTTTGTTCCCTTCTTTCCCTTGCAAGTGCAGAACCACTCATGGCAGCTCTGTTCAATGAACCCTCAGGAAGTTTCACAACTTTTGCAGGTGTTAATTTTTCAGTTTCAATATTCATACCGGCTAAGAAAGGAGGCACAGAATGTTTTAACTCAACATTGATTTCTTCATCTGGTTCAGCATCCTCATCTTCATCACTATTATCATCTTTTCCTTCTTGATCAAGGTCAGGGTAGTCCTGAGCTGACATTGCACCTGAAGCTATCAGCTGCCTTATTTCCCATCGCTCTGGTGATGTTAATTTTCTTTTGACATTTGCATTTGTTTTAACATGGAGCTCTCTACCTCTGCGCTCCTCTCTTCTGAAATCCTGATATGCTTCACCAGTAGTTTGATCAATATCTTTCATAGACAATCCAATTCTATTTCCGTCATTCCTGAGTACCTTTGCATATACTTCTTGATCTCTTTTCAAGATATCAGATGGATGCTCTAGTCTGGATTGACTTATAGCTGAAATGTGAACCAAGCCATCAACTCTTCCCTTCACTCCATATAGCCTCACAAAGGCACCAAAATTTGTCAAATTCATCACCCTTCCTTTATAAATTTTATCCTGGATTACTTGATCATCCAATGGGCCTCTTTCCCTGAAATCAGGCTTTCTTTCATACCGTGTTGGACTTCTGGACCTTTGTCGTATCGAAGGTATAATCAAATCAGGAGTTTCTTCTTTTTTAAAATCTTTCCACTGACTCAAAAGATGGCTTCCGTCATAATCATCTTCCTTTTTAATGATGTTGTCATCATTTGGTAAGGATAGAACGTTCATAACTTTTGAATCTTCTTCAACTTTGGGTATCACTTTTGTGTCATCCTCTGGCTTGATAGAAGGTACTTGGGAGCCCTTTAATGTATTCAATGACGTGTATATATGATCTATGAAACTTGGTTGAAATTCAGCGCCCATTTCTTCTAGTGAAGATTTGAATTCTTGAAGTGATTTTGATTCACCATGAAGGTTTATGACAAATTCTGCAATCTCTTCTTCATCAACACCAGCATTTTCCAGAATCTCATTTTTGATATCTTGGAGCGATATTTTCTTGGACATTGTAAAAGCGAAGTGGTTTGATTTTGCCTGTATTGAGTAGAAGTATACCTTGTGAAGTGTAGACACATTTTTTTGAACAAGAATTCGCGGATCGCGAATGATTAGTCATCACACACATTAACCTAACACCACAAAGTGAATACATTTACTACAATTCCAATTGAGAAACATAACTTTATAATTAATTTATCGTACAGGGCATCCAAACTTTACATTTTAGATATCAACATCTTTTATACCATCTTTACTGACAACTTTGACCTAAAAATAACACAGTTAGTAAACAGTTTGAAACATTTAAATATGATTTAATACATACGAAAACTCCTTTAAAATCAATTGGCATTCTTGTCTCTAATTCTTTGAGACATTGTTTCAACAAGTCCAAACCTTCTTCTTCTGTGAAATCTGGTCTATAATGACGATCTAATAATGAAAAAGTATAGAAAGCAGCGTAACCATGCGCAGCATATGGCAATTCAACATTTGTTCCTAAGTAGTCTATCCAATTTAATGATGGTTCTTCTTTCTTGTCATCGTAACCAGCGATTAAAACATTAACTTGGTATGGTTTCTAAATGGTATCTGTCAGTACTTGTGATCGTTCACCTTAGTAACCATTTCAAACTTACTCTTGATCTTAAAGATTTTGCCAATTCATTTCTGGTGAAGCTTGCAATTGCCTTAGGACTTAGCTCATAGTTCTCACGGATTCCATATAGTTGTATATTAGCTTGAATGTATTCTGCAAATTGGACTAAACATGAATGTTAGTGTTTTCTTTCGCCATCAAAGTAAGTCAAGTAACGACATACCTGTGTCACCGGATTCACCAGTGTAAGCAATTAAAGAATGCTTGCTTAGAGCTCTTGTTTTGTCATCATTGGCTTGTAAAACTGAAATACCTCTAGTAGCAGCCTTTGAAGTGGCGATAATTACTGAATCTTGAACTTTGATACCTAAGATAATATCCATTGTGTTTAAATTTCTTCGATCCCAATCTTTCTTGACTATTAAATTGAGGTTATGCTGTCTCCAAGATCAATGTTAACAAAGTTTGGTGTTCCAATTGATGTCAATTCTGGTGCTTTAGATCTAAGTCAGGTTTTCCACACACCAGTTCAAATTTCCTTTGATGTTGATTTTCTGGGATATCGGTAACGACAGCACAAAATATTACATAATATATTCGCGAAAATGTGGGTTTACCAGTAAATGTTTTTTCGCGTTACAGTACGCGTTCTAAGAACCAAAATATAATAGAACTTCAAAGTTTATACATAAACATTGAATCCTGCGGACGAACTAATCATAACATGCCAGCATTCAAGAGTGAAATGGCAGGAACATTACCACAGCCAACCACATCGTCCACATCATCTTCACCTGTGAACCCAAACTTGTCTTCAAGAAATAAAGATTTGGTTTCATCTCCAACACGCCCAACTACAATTCCTTTGGTCAAAAACCTTGAGCAATCAACTGATGCTTCAGAAAATGACGATAAAGAAGATTTGTCAAGGCTAATTCAAAAGCCAGCCGCTGTTAAAGAGGAGGAACCAGTGTCCCAAAGCAAAACACCATCTTCATCTGATATGATTTATTATTATGAAAGATTACTTCCATTCAGATACATTTTCCAATGGCTAAACCATTCACCAAAACCATGTCAAGACTTCACCATGAGGGAGTTTGCCTACGAATATAGATCAGGGGCATATCAACGTTACAATTCATATAGTTCATTGGATGAATTCAAACAATCTGTCATCAAAGCTAACCCAACCAGATTCGAAGTTGGTGCTGTTTACGCCGTAAATCCAAAAGATAGAAAAACACTTCCGAAATCAGCCATGAAGCCATTAGAAAAAGAATTGGTTATTGATATTGATTTAACTGATTACGATGATATCCGTACATGTTGTTCCAAAACACAAATTTGCACTAGATGTTGGAAATTCATCACAGTTGCAACTAAGATTATCGAGCAAGCTTTGAGAGATGATTTTGGGTTCGAACATATGGTTTGGGTCTTTTCAGGTAGACGTGGTGCCCATTGCTGGGTTAGTGATAAAAGAGCTAGAGTTCTTGAAGAACCAAAGAGAAGAGCGATCGTTGAATATTTGGATGTTTTGAAAAATAAAGGTAACAAGAGATTGAACTTGCGTCGTCCTTATCATCCACACATTGAACGTTCATATGAAATATTGAAACCACATTTCCTAGATATAATATTAACAGAACAAGATCCATGGGCTGATGATGAGAAAGCAGAGGAGTTATTAAATTCATTACCGGATAAAAACCTAAATGAAGCTTTGCGCAAACTTTGGAAAGAACGCCCAGGTAGATCAAGTTTACAGAAATGGAAAGATATTGATGAAACAGCTAGAAAGATTTCTACAAAGAATTTTAATACCAAAGTTATAGTGGAGGCTAAGCAAGATATTATCCTGGAAACTATGTACCCAAGATTAGATGTTGAAGTTACTCGTCAAATGATCCATTTATTGAAATCTCCATTTTGTATTCATCCAGGTACTGGTAATGTTTGTGTTCCATTTGATGCTTCAAAGACTTTTGATCCTACAAATTCACCAAATTTGCGTCAAATTCAAAAGGAAATAGAAACTTGGGAAGTAGAACACAGCGGAGTTCCACAAGAGAGGAAAACCTCTGATTGGGAAAAGACTTCATTGAAACCATATGTTGATCTCTTCTCTAAATTTGTTGGTGAAGTTTTGAAATCGGAAAGGAATGGTAAGCGTGATCGTGAAGAAAATGGAGATGAACTAGAATTCTGAAAAACAGTGTATAATATAAGTATTTATTAATAGTTGCATAATTTCATAATCGTAAGTACATTCTTCAACAGCAAGAATTGATGATACTTGAAAAACAAGAACTCCACCCTTGTTCAGCTTCTTTGACATTGAGGTTTTTGATGACAATAGTTTGTTCTCCACCCAAATGGGACCACTCAAGAACTTCAAGCTCTTCATCAATCGTAACACTTCCGGAGGTAATATCAATATCAGTGTCACCAGAAGGAAAATGCCAATGAGGTAAATAAATCCTTGTAGATGACTGTGAAACATCTTTTCCATTCAACTTCAAAGTGTATTTAACTTGTTGCAGATCAAAGTCAGCATCTAAAAAGGTACCATTCAATGCTAAAGGATATGGCCGTATTATGGAGTCAATTGCCCTCAATCCTTCGTGACTTGGTTTATCCGATGAGGAAGAGTATGTGGTACCATATTGACTTCTCAAGGCAGATGAGCTTCCTGTCAATGTTCCAGTATCAGAATCAAAATCTGTAACACTAGCTGAATGTTCTTGGAATGCCAATTTTTTCTTTTGGTTGATGGATAAAGTCTTTGAATCAACTAATGTGCTAGCATCAAGATCATCATCTTTAGACCAGAATGAAAAATCCTCATTATTAAACCTATCACCCCATTTATGACAATTATCAGATGTGTAGCACCACCAAGAGTGTGATAAATTATTTCCTTCCAAAGCGAATCCTAATGCATCTAAAGCACTTGTCTGAGAGGAGAAGTCGTCGTCATTATAGGCTTTCTTGTCATCCATATCAAAAGGCATACCTATTTCAGTAAACATAACGGGAACATCTTTACCTAAGTTATCCTGGCTTTCAAGTGACATTTCAAGCAATTGATTCTTGAAGCTTTTTCTGATATTAGCTTCACCAAGGACAATTCCAAAGACTGGGTTTGAGTAACGACCTCTCATTATTCCCAAAGTATCAACATTATATTTCTTATTCCATGTTTTGAACATTAATGACATACCATCATAATAATGAGGACAAAACACCGTATTACTATCAATCAAATCAGTCCCTATTAACCTTGGTGGAATTTGAAGAGGTGGTGACTGTAAAAATATAAAAGTATCAGGTAAAATATCTCTCACTGCCTTTCTAAATTTCTTGTAATAATCAATATAATAGTTATTGATGAAGTAGTCCTCATCCACTTTAGCGCCTGTTGATGGGTCTGTCGCAAAATAGTCAGGTTCAAGTAATGTCGTAGTTTCAACATCCCACACACCATGTTGAGCCCATATACATTCTCCTAATTTCCATACAGAACTTCTTTTGAATCCATAATGTTTGTCAAATTCATCAGAAGTTAACCATGCAATTGTCCCATCAGGATCAATAAGATTTGTACCAGTCTTTTTAGGACCGAAAACCGAAATTTTGTACTCATCAACTTCTGTAGGTATACCAACACCAAGCTTTACTGACTGGAACATAGTTGGACAAGTCCCCAACCTCAAGTTCTGATTATCCGGTATTTTGTCAATCTCTGGAGTTCCAATGTATCCTGGGTTTGGTTCATTCATTGTCTCCACTCCTATAATGGTTTTTTCAAATAATTTGGGAGCAGCATCTTTAATTCTTTGCACCAAATACCCAACACTGGCAATAAAATGATCTTGTAAATAGTCTTGAATGTTCACACCATTGATAATTGCTTTTGGAGCAAGCGATTTCCCAGCAAAGAATAAGGTGAACATTGACCCTGCAACTAAACGTTTATAATTTGTTGTCCAAAGCATTTTAGGATACGCTTTAGGATCATGAGGAAAATAGTTCTGCAACACAGCAGCCTCAGTTTTATCAAAGGTTTTTGGATCAAAGCCAGCAGCGTATAAAGTCCACATTGGAGCACCGTCACCACCTGAATGTCTCGACCAAACATCTTGATGTGGATCAAGATAAACATACAGTCCTCCTATTTCATCAATAATCTTCAAAACTTCAATAGTGTAGTCTATGAACTGTTCATCATACTTTCCTGGACCTTCATGTTCAATCGCTTCCCAAGTGAAAATGTATCTGATGCTGTTATATCCCAAACTTTTGATTCTTTTAATGTGCTCAGGCGCTTCATCCAAGGGGAATGGTCTACCCACAAAAGAGACATGATCACCATCAAAAAACAGACCCTCATTACCTTTCACGGGTTTATGCGATGGGTAGTAGGGAGTCTTTGGGTATTTGGAGCCACCATCTAAGTTGATCCCTTTCAACTGAATGATTCTTCCAAGCTCATCAACAAATGAGCCCTTATGAGTTCTGATCTTGCCCTTGAGGAGTGACATTGTGTGGTTTGAGTTGATGTCTATGTTCTCACTTGAGCAGCCAACCAAATAGAGTTCAAGTAATCAAAAAGCGCCAACTATTTACTTCAGCACTTATGAATAACTGATTACACCCACAAATCAGCTTTCCCACAGCTTGTTTTGCTGAATAGTAATTAAATCAGATAAGCTGATTGTTATGTGCGATTCCGCGAATTCCATGGACCGACCTTTTGAAAGCAATCCGAGGGCTTGAAAATCAAAAAAAAATTTAAAGCTCATCTCAGAAACATTTCAAAGAGCCATTACTAATAGCTCCAAGTCACTTTTGTAAAGGAAAAGGTAGATCAAAATCAAAATGAGCGAAGAACAAGATGAATTCATTGGCGTCAACGAAGTTGACGAGGTTTATGAAGGTACTAATGAACCAGAACCAATGAGTGAAGATGAAGATGATGTTGAAGAATTGCAAAATGATCAAGATCAAGAAGAACAAGGTGAAGGAGAAGATAAAATAGAAATTGACATGTCTAATAACTCATGGGGGTATTTTGATAAACATGAAGATTCTGTTTTCACAGTGTTTTCACATCCAACTTTACCATTGGTTGTTTCTGGTGGTGGTGATAATACAGTTTACATGTGGACTAGTCATTCACAACCCCCAAAATTTGTTCAACAAATTAAAGGCCATAAAGAGTCAATCATCACAGGTGCATTTACCGGTGATGGTGAGTTTCTGATCACTGGTGACATGGCTGGTAAAATCATGATTCACCAATCAACCAAACGTGGTCAAGTCTGGAAGTTATATGCTGAATTAGAAGAGATTGAAGAAATTGTGTGGATTTCAGCTCACCCTAAACAACCAGTTTTTGCTTTTGGTGGTGCTGACGGTTCCGTTTGGGTTTACCAAATTACTCCAAGTGTTGAACAAATTATGAGTGGATTCGCTCATCAATCTGAAAGCACTGGTGGTGTTTTTGTGAATACGGATGACTTGGACGCATTGCACTTAGTCACCATCTCTACTGATGGTTCAATAGTTGGATGGAATGGATTCACTGGACAAGCTGAATTTAAATTAGCAGAAACAGAATTCAAAGGACAACAACTACCGTGGATCACGCTCTCACCTCAAGGTAACTCTAATATTTTGGCTGTGGGGTCAAATGAAGGAACTCTAGCTATCATAAATATAAACAATGGGACAGTATTGACTACATTCAGAGTTGTTGAATTGAAAGAGGATCAGGAAGAATTAGATGCTAGTATTGAAACTATCACATGGAGTGATTCACTGCCACTAATCGCCTTAGGTTTAGTATCTGGAGCTGTTATATTATTTGATGCAAAGACATGGAGGGAAAGACATTCAATTATATTAGAAGATGCAATCACAAAGTTAGAATTTGTTAAAGGAACACCTTATCTAATAGGTTCTTCCATGAATGGTAAAATATACAAATGGGACGCCAGAACTGGTCAAGAAATCTTTGCAGGTGTTGGTCATAATATGGGTGTTTTAGATTTTAGCGTTGTTGAAAATGGTAATAAGTTGATCACTGCTGGTGATGAAGGTGTCTCTCTAATCTTTGTTACTCCACAATAGACTAGTGTATATTAATAGAATGTGGTATAATTCGCTATGATCAAAATGTAATTGTCACGCGTGAGATTGTCAGATAAATGGTAAGTGCACTCCATCAACACTTTTTTCGCGCCAACATTCTGGAAAATTCTATGTCAGAATTGTATTTGTAATGTGTCAAATATTCTAGTACATTCCATGTAAAAGAGAGGCCAATTGAGAACCAACGCCACCATGTGTATAAAAAGAGTGGAAATTCACCTTGAATGGTGATATTTATTTTTTGTTGCATCAACATCAAGATTAAAGACAATTGATTAGAACAACTACAACTCATAATAGAAAACCATTAGACATGTTATCATTTGATTACGCCCCAGCTTCATTTTTCAACTCAGATTGCTTCATGAGATCTCCAATGCTCGACTCAAATATATTATTGGAGCATCAAAACCACTACCCCTTATACCATCACCATCAACAACAACAACCAAGAAGAATTGTTAGATCAAAATCTTATCAACCAAGACGCCCAACTCAAGAAGATTATTTTGCATCGTTGTTAAATCAATTAATTGAGCATTCAGGCGAAGAGCAAAAGCCATTGAAGCCAGAAGTTGAAGCGAAAGTTTTGAACGCTAGAGATTCATTCCAAATTCAAGTCTTCAAAGATAACAACAATTTCAATCATTATTCAATTCGTTACAAACTTTCAGGTCATGATGTCATAATCTATATTGAATCAGAAGTTGATGATTTTGCTAAAGGTTTCAGATTTGCTCAAGACAAAATCGATATTAACAATGTTGAATGGAAAGTTGTCAGAAACGTTTTGGTTATTAATGTTCCTAAATGCAAAGATGAATTCATCTTGAGACCTTCTGTCAGATTTGTTAAAAGAGTTGATCCACCAGCTTGTAACAATAAACCAATGGTTCAACAACCAAAACAAGCTCCTGTTTTAATCTCAAAGCCACAAAGAGAATCAACATCAACACCACCAAAAGAAGCACCAGCTGTTGAAACTAGATCATCATCACCACAAGAAAAACTTGTCACTGGGGCTTCATCACCAGTCACAACATCAACCGTTTCATCTAAACCATCACCAGCTCCAAAATCAAAAGTTATTTCAATTCCAATTGAATTTGCTGATTCTGAAACAGAAATCACTCCAAAATCAACAAGAGAAAGTTCAAGAAGATCATCAGTTACAGAGTCTGTTAAATCAAACACAAGAACTGAATCAGAAGCTGAATTAAGTGATGATGATTCTGCTCCTTCAAATAAATTGCCTAAACTAAAGAGAAAAGTTAGTATTGAAGAAGTTGAAGATGAAAGTTTACATATGGCTGATTTAGATTAACGAGTCATGAGATGAGAAATGTTTGTATATTACTTATAATACACCAAACTATAGTTTTAAAGTATACTTTTGTAGTCTATTATTGAATGAACTATTATTGAGGGTTCATGTACAACAGTTAGTTAATTAACATATTAAAGACATTCATGATTCTACTTTCATACTAATTTTAACGATATAATGACAAACCATTCGATTAAGTGTTATTTAAATATTGAATATTGATAAAACGTTCATGACCAATTTCTGATCATGGGCCGTGAATAAATAGTATATATAAGATACAACTCATATTCAATTCACAATCTCAGTAATGAAAAGAATAATGATGAACAAAAGAAAAACACCAACCTAAGAAAGAAAGAAAATTAATGACAATGTTATTTTTTATTAACGAACCCCTAATATCTATTAACCTATTTCAATCTCCTTATTTCTTTTTTTCAGCGGCGGCAGCAGCCATCTTGTTCAAAGCTGAACCATATTTGAACCATTCAATTTGTTCAGAGTTGTAAGTGTGGGACAATGGTGTTTCCCAAGCTTCACCATCTTTTGGATGAATTCTTAAAGTAACATTCTTACCTGGAGTTAATTCAGTTAAACCTAAGATATCAACAGTATCTTCTGGGTTAATTCTGTCATAAGCTTCTGGTTCAACAAAGTTCAATGGTAATAAACCTTGTTTCTTCAAGTTAGTTTCATGAATTCTGGCAAATGATTTGGTAATGATGGCGAAACCACCTAAGAATCTTGGTTCTAAAGCAGCATGTTCTCTTGAGGAACCTTCACCAAAGTTTTCACCACCGATAACAACCCATCTAATACCTTGGTCTCTGTAATCACGAGCAGTATCTGGAACACCTTTGTATTCACCAGTGTATAAGTTTTTAACACAGTTAGCTTTATCATTTTCAGCATTGATAGCACCAATCATATAGTTATTTGAAATGTTTTCCAAATGACCACGGTATTTCAACCAAGGACCAGCCATTGAAATATGATCGGTAGTAGTTTTACCTTTAGATTTGATCAAAATTGGTAAGTTTTCAGCATCTTTACCATCCCAAGCTTTGAATGGAGTTAAAACTTGTAAACGGTCAGATTCTGGAGAAATTTGAACTTGAACAGTTGAACGATCAGCTGGAGGAGCTTGGTAAGTGTTTTCACCAGCATCATAACCTTTAGTTGGTAAACCGTCACCAGTTGGTGGTTTCAATAAGAATTCTTTACCATCAGCACCTTTTAATTTATCAGTGATTGGGTTGAATCTTAAATCACCAGCAATAGCGAAAGCAGTGGTTAATTCTGGAGAAGCAACGAAAGCATGTGTATCTGGGTTACCATCATTTCTTGAAGTGAAATTTCTGTTGTATGATGAGACAATGGTGTTTTTGTCACCTTTCTTGATATCTTGTCTATCCCATTGACCAATACATGGACCACAAGCGTTAGCTAAAACGATACCACCGAATTCTTGGAAAGTTTTCAATTGACCATCTCTTTCAATAGTAGCTCTGATTTGTTCAGAACCTGGAGTAACAGTGAATAAAGATTTAGCTTTGATACCATGAGAAGCAGCATCTTTAATGATGGAAGCTGATCTACTCATATCTTCATATGAAGAGTTGGTACAAGAACCAATTAAACCAACTTTAACATCTAATGGCCAGTCATTTTCAATAGCAACTTCTTTCATTTTAGAGATTGGAGTAGCTAAATCTGGAGTAAATGGACCATTGACATATGGTTCTAAAGTGTTCAAGTCAATTTCAATAACTTGGTCATATTCAGCACCTTCATCAGCTTTCAAGAAATCATTCTTGTATAAGCTAGCAAATTCAGCAATTTTACCACGACCAGTAGCATTTAAGTAATCAACCATTGATTTGTTGAATGGGAAAACTGAAGTAGTAGCACCAATTTCAGCACCCATATTACAGATAGTACCCATACCAGTACAGGAGAAAGTGTCAACACCATCACCGAAATATTCAACAATTTTACCGGTACCACCTTTAACAGTAGTAATACCAGCCAATTTCAAGATAATATCTTTTGGTGAAGTCCAACCGTTCATTTTACCGGTTAATTTAACACCTAAAATTTTTGGAGCTTTTAATTCCCATGGTAAATCAGCCATAACATCAACGGCATCAGCACCACCAACACCGATAGCTAATTGACCTAAACCACCAGCATTTGGAGTATGTGAATCGGTACCAATAATCAAAGCACCTGGGAAAGCATAGTTTTCTAAAACAATTTGATGGATAATACCTGAACCTGGTTTCCAGAAACCAATGTTATATTTAGCAGTAGCAGTAGCCAAGAAATCGTAAACTTCTTTGTTGATATCAATGGCTCTAGCTAAATCTTTAGCACCACCGATTTGTGCTTGAATTAAATGATCACAATGAACAGTGGTAGGGGTAGCAACTTGTGGTAAACCGGCAGACATGAATTGTAAAATGGCCATTTGAGCAGTAGCATCTTGACAAGCAACACGATCTGGTCTCAATTTCAAATATGAGACACCTCTTTCGATATCTTGTCCATGAGGATCATCTAAATGACCGTATAAGATTTTTTCAGCATAAGTTAATGGTCTGTTTAATCTGTTTTTAACAATTTCAACATTTTCTAAATGTTTTTTGTATTGGATGAAGGAAAAATCTTCTAACAAGTTTTGACCAACTTTTGAGTCTCTTGTAAGATCAGAGGAGACGGTAGCTAAGCTACGAGCAAATCTTGGAGCCTTTTTTTAGATGTTAGTACCAAAGTTTTGAGATCAAAAAAATCAACAGCGGCAGAAACTCCCTTGACGTCCAACAACAACAAGTTGATCTGGGAATCAAAGCTATCTCTGTCTAGTTATCATTAAACACTTACTTTCAAAGAGTTACGAGCGGCCAACATATTGTCAATTGACTCTTTGAATAAAGATTGTTGTTGTAACAGCAAAGAAAATAAGGAAGAAGGAAAAAGAAGAACAATTGAAATATAAATAAGATTTGAGCATTCGATGATGTTGTTGATAAAAAAATGCTACCTATAGGCATGGTTCGGGCCCACACAGGGAGCGAGAAGGGGTCATTCAATCGATGAGGTTGCAGTTTTACAGGGAGGAATTCTGAGGCAGAACAGTATGAGAGATCAATGATTTTGGTAGGGAAGATACAAAATAGACAGCATAATCTTAGTTTTAGGCACCAAATACACCATAAAACATTTTACTGGATGGTTTTATCATCATTGTGAGCCCGTTTTCTATATATTCTCTCTCGTGTAATGCCCATTCATCATGCTCTGATTGGCTCTGAGAAAGACGTGGGCTCCCGGTTCTGGAGGGCCCGCCCAGCGCGACCGAGCTGTGGGCCTTCGCGGTACCGAAAGAAAATCAAATCTCTCCAGATGCCCTGATCCGAGCTCGGCCCAGAGAACAAGCTCCATATAAACAACACAAAATGGATCCTCTTGACCATTAAATCCACGTTTATTGGCTACAGGGTGAAACTTAGTAAACAATTACATAATATTGTCTTATCACATGACTGATCCTGTCAATAATCGGTAAGAGCAGAATTTTCAATATGGAATACCATTTGTGATCTTTTGGAATTTATCATAACCAACCGTGAACATACTCTCATAACTACTTTTGATCAATCCTTTCAGCGAGCTGATCACCTCTTTATCATCCTTGTTTAGGAAAAATCTTTGCTTCAAGTTTCTAATTGTCTTTTCCCCTTTGAAACATGGTAATCCACTATCCAACATTGGAATAACATTACCAACAATCAATTCATAAAATGGACGCACACTTAAGAAACCTTTGATAAATAACTCTTCAAACATCTTGAAAGATTCAGTCTCATTTGATCCTCCCATAACTTTAACCATTTCTTTTGTCAATTTGAATGGAACTGCTTCGAATTTAACACCACCTGGAACAATGTCAAAACAGAACCCAAAATCAATATGTAAAATGTGACCTTTATCATCATACATGATATTACCATTATGTCTATCTTTGAATTGTAACAAATATGAGATGATACTATAAGCAGCTAATGACTTGATGAAATTGTGTCTAGCTTCTTCAAATTCAATAGAATTTTCATTACCAAATTTACTCTTGAAATATTCATAAAGTCCATTAACAGCTTCACGTCCCAACATATCTCTAGAAATAGAATTTGGTAAAACATCAATAACACCACATCCTGGTGCAGTAGCTGTGACTCTATATGGGAAACAATACAAATCCAATCCAGAATTTTCCCAAATACTCTTGAAAATGGAGATCAATTGTAATGCCAAAACATCCTGACGACAATCATCACCAACTTTGAAGATAGCACTTTGCCATTTTTCATTAGTGATTAACTGACCATTATATTCTTCTTCCTTTTTGATTTTGAATGTTGCCATAAATGGTGCTTTAGCATGACTTTGTAATGGTTTACCTGAAGTTCTATTAATATCAATAACAACACCATCTGGATTTGAAGGTAAATAAACATTTTCTAGCACTTCAATCTTGGAAATTTCTTCATCAATCTTGATTTTCTTTTCAGCTTTAGTCTTTTTAATATATGGTTTCAATTTACCAGAAATTTCAGTAACTTCATTGAAGAACTTAAATTCAGTCTTGTAAAAGATCAAATCCTCTTCAGAAAAGGAATTAATCATTTTCGACATGATGAAATCCAGCTTTGGCTTAATACTATCCTCAATTGTAGAATCTTCATCTTTATAACTATTTGCAAACATGTTCCAAATGATTTGATGTGCGAATAATTGATCAATCTTACCAGTCTCAACAATAAATCTACCAACATATCCTAGAGAATCATTTCTCAGACTTTGAACAATCTGAGGAACATAAAAGAATGTTAAGTTCACATCGTGAGATTCCAATGATCTCATATTATACTGAATGATTGATGGATCTTCAAAAAATGGTGGTTGGAATAAGTTGATTGAATCAGTTGGTGAAATTGGTGGTGCTAGAAGTAAATATTTCGTTGCACTTGGAATTTTTAATAAAAACGGAACACCTTCATGGTATGCTAAAACTCTGGATGGATTTTGAGCAATCAACTCTAGTAAAGTCTTTTCCAGTGATGGGAAACGATCAACTAATGAAATACCAAGGATTGGTGAATAATAAAGATAAGCAAATCTAACGGTTGATGCATCTGGTTTTAAAAACTCAGCTTTGAATTCTAATGGACGACTAGGATTTAACCAAACCATAATTTTGGAAATTTCATCTTTGAGAAAAATCAAACACAAGTTTCTTTTAGATTGCAACTTATCAAAGCTTTGAATGAATGGCATTGTTCTAACCAATTCGAAAACTTCAACTAACAAATTCAAATCAGCTTTGATTTTTAAATTGTTACCTCCAAATGGATAATGATTCTTTTTTATGAACCATGATAAAACACCATCCAAAATTACACTAGATAAAGGAATGACAAATTTGGATTGTGTTTTGGAATGAACTTGTAAAACGTCAAATCCTAACTTTATTAATTCACTTCTGATCAATCTGGCAAATGGATGTAAGCTTGCAATTTTCAAATGTTCTAAACCAACGGAAACAATACGGGTGAAAATTTTCAATAAATGAGCACTTTGATATAATGTTCCTTGGAAATGTGAGGAAAACAACTTGATGATATGTAAATGAGTCTGTAAGCCATTTGAAACTAAATGACTGGTATAATCAATCTTGGCCTTATCAGATGGAGAGTATGTCATTTTCAAAAACCCTTCATCTTTCAAATCGTACTTTTTGGAATACAACCCTTGGCGTTTTGTGATGGATTCTTCCCATGAAATACCAATCTCAGACAACAGCAAAAATGATAAATCCTGACGTTCTTTGATGATGCTTAACCAAACAGTAGTTGCAACTTTCATAGAATCTGAAGTGAAAACATCAAATGGAATAGAGACCAATTCATGAACCAAGCTAGCAGTATCTTCATCCTCTTGAGGTAAAATCAACAAGCTGGCCAATAAATCTAAAACATTCAACAGTTCTTGCTCTGAAACTGCTTCACCGATTGAAATTTTTTGTCTCAGTCTCTTCAACTCATCATCTTTGTTGTTACGAAGGTCTTTAATTGGAACAATTGTTGCCTTTTCCGCAATATTTCTTGATCTCCAACTATATTGTGAGAGGAATCCAGCAATGGTATCTGGTTTTTCTAAAGCAGTTGATGGGATATTTGATAATTCCAAGTCGGTTGGTAAAATTGTACCTGCAACTTCAACTGCAAATGAAACACCAAATTCAACACTATTCAGTCTCTTAAAAACACCCAAATCTGTGATATAAGCCTGTAGTAAACTCTTCATATCCTGATTACTTTTCACCAGTGATAACAGACACCATTCTTTAGCCTTCTTGTGAAGCTTCTCCAAAGTTGAGCGTCTCCATTTTGATGAGTCTGATAGGGTTAACTTGACTTTTGAATGTTTAAGATAAAACTCTCTCTGTGGTGCATATTTATTTGTATCAGAGTCCACAATACTATCAAATAATAAGGTCAAAATGTCCAGTAAAGTGTATAAACTCTGATGGTGGCATAGACTTGATGGTAATTTTGTTAAAAACAATTGGACACCTTGGAAAGCTGCATCCTGCAGATCATAATCTCTATGACAGCACAAAATTAATAATTTGGTTAATTGAAGTGCAACATTATCAGAGCTAAAGTTTCCATCACCACCTCTCCCAGTTAATTTGACATATTTAGAAATAGATGACATTGCGATTGAACCAATAAATTTTTCAATGTTAGTCTTGATGATTGATGGGTCTGAAAAATAACGGAAAACTGTTGAACAATCACCGCAATTGACTCTCAAATTTTCAAGTAATGAAGTTGCAGACAAAAACATCAATTTTGAATATGACAAGGCACGAACTTCTAAAGCATTGGTATTCGAAACACCACTAATGATATGCTTTTGATCTTTAACATTATGATTTGAAGAGCCACGTCTCAAAACAGCATTCAACTCAAACGAGGTTTCTGTATGCAACCTTGGTAATTCTGATGCTAATGGAGGTGTACTTAAAGCGATGATTTCCAATTCTTTTCTATGTTCTTCAGTCATTGGAGACGTTTCATTGTAACCATGAACAACCAAATTATACCAAAAATTTCTGAATGAATTAATCAAATCAATATCATCATTCAACGGTAATGCTTTGAATTTTGGTAATAATGCAGCAATTGGTTTGAAAAAATAAGCAATCTCCTTTGCTACCTCAGAAATCTCAACGTGAGATCTATGGTGGTCTGCAGTTTGAATATCACCTCTAGCAACAACATTGTTCAACAATTCATTCAAATAGGTTATGTATAATGAGTTCTCTTTATCCTTGTTTAATTTTTTAGATATATTGATACGTGCATTGATAATAGCAGTAATGAATGAGAGGTCTTTTTTCTGACTAGAGCTAGCAACACCAGAATCAAACATCTTCATCATTATCAAAAATTCCTTCTCTGACAAATATGGAGCAATTTCAGCTAATCCGTGTAATAGTTGATAATCCAAGTTTCTTGAGACTTTTTGGAATTTTTGAGAAATGACTGTGACGGTTAGCACCATTATAGTTGGATCGTCATAGCTTTTAGCAATTTCAATAGCCGACTGAATAGCATTTTTGAATATCATTGTTTCACCGAGACTATTTGGACCTTCGCTAAGATTAACAGAAGTCATCGATCCATTATGTTTCAAAGAATTCATTGTGTTTGAACGTGAAGGTCTGAATTTTGCGTCCAAGGAATTAATTGTATTCTTGGTTGCACTTCTGATTCTTAGTTCTCTTATTGCTGAGACAGGAGCACCTTCGTTATCAACAGCCAATAAGTTGATCAATGAGTAGATTGTAGTGATAATAGAATCTTGATCCAATGGTTTCAATCCCAATGCCAAATTTCTTGAGACATGTTTGACAAAAGCTTCGGTTTGAGCGTTTGGTGAGACATTGGAAATAATCAGCGGAAAGGAGTGGATCAATTGACCACTTATACTTTTTCCTTCTTTGTAACACAACAAAGAACCTAGAGAAACCACAGTTGGAGCCAAATGAATATCCCAAATTTCATGAGGGTTAGACAAAGAATTCTTGACCAAATCCAAAACAGTATCAGATGAAACAATGTTGGCCAGGAGACCGGTTCCGATAACTTGGTAAGCTAAACTTTTGGTATACAGTGCCAGTTTAATTCTTTCTAAGGATGTCATACTGACGTAATTATTCCCACTATCCAACTCTTGGACTTGGCGTAATGAATTTTGAACTAGAGCTTCAACGTCCTGTAGACGGTATGAAAGTGATGTTTTAATGGCATTCAAGTTTGTGTCTTCATCTGGTTCTGCGTCATAATCCTTAGCTGTTGCTAGCAAGACAAAATCAATTAAATTTTCTTGGGTTGAAGGCAGTCTTTCAGTAACAACTGATTTCATAACTCTAGAGCTTAATTCTTGGATTAACTTGACAAACACCAGTGCACTGAATTCATTCCCAGATGATTGGTAAGCTAGCAAATAATTGTAGTCATGTTCATCTTCCAAACATGCAGACCCAACATGTTCAACGGAGTTCAAAAACTCATCATTGATTGTTTTAATCAACTTCGCATTCAGCCAAAAATCCATGCCAGATTCTGAAGCAATCAAAGCATTGAGAAATCCAATTAAACTGAAATAACTTGACAACTTTAGTCCGTCAATGTTTGTGAAACCTGAAATGAATCTATCAAAGAGTGTTTTAACTTGTTCATTTAGCTTTGGGAACTTGTTAGCCAATTCAATGATTGATCTAGTCAACTCTTGAGTCACATTTTCCCATGGTGAAGGACTCAATTGGAGACTTAAATGTGATTTGAATTGTTGATATGGTGATTCCAAGAAATATGGAGATAAAACATTCAACAGGTCAACTGCTTGTCCAAAGACACGAGCAGATGAACTACTCCTTGATAAGGCGAGCACAATTTCTAGTTCCTTGTGGGTCTAGTAAAGGTTAGTACCTTAACCCGTTTGAAATTAGCTTTTAATACTCACGATTGGGACACTTGAAATATCAGAAATTGAGACAGCTTTTGATAATCTGATGAAATCACTAGACTCTAAGGTCTTTTTCTTAGCATAGCCATTGACAAAACCATTAACTGTGCCATTTGTTGGAGGTTTAGTTTGTGAATTCTCCTCTGGATTTTCCAACGAGAACGCGGCTAACTTATTTAAAGCCAGTGACCGTATTGATCCTCTTTTAATCCTTGTATTTCGTTAGTTCTGAGCTCAATAAAACATCCCTCTCGAGGATACCTACCCTAGGAAATCCATTGCTGAGTTATGGATATATGGCTTTGTTTTTGAATCAACACTGTTTATCGTTTGTTGTTCAGCATTTTTGAATTTTTTTGGCCAGGAACGTTCCTGAAAAATGTCCAGTCGCGAACAGAAAAAAAAAAGTACTGGTCTACAATCAAAAGTAGAGAGACAAATTTAAATGATTAATTTAAATAGTGAAGCCTATGAAACAGTCATCTGGCATCGCTTAAACACCAAGCAGACTCATGAAACATTTCTCTCTTCACCAGCTAATTCCTTAACTAATTAATTCCATCTCATAAAAAAATGTACCAAAAAAAATTTAAAAACGTAACAGATTAAAAAACACCATGAAAATATATAAAACCTTTGCCCAGAAATAATTTTTGAAAATTAAATGTCTAAAACTTTTCAAAGTTCAGCTTATGACCTTCTAAAAATACATGAAAAAATGAGTAATTAATGAAAAACCAAATGACGACAACAAAAAAATAATGCAATTCATGAATAGGTTTCAATAAGGGTATCACGTAGATTACCTGAGATAGCTTCTGGTTGAGCATCTTGTAATCTGAAGATACTTTCAATAACACTCAATTCTGGGGCTGTTGTGTCTAAACCTGCAACGGCTAACCAATCGTTAACAACCATACCGGCACCAACAACAGCAGAACCACGATTCACAGTACCAGCAACTAATGGAACTTGTAATAATGATGATAATTCTTCTTGGTCAGGTATAGAGGTTTGAGGATGGACAATACCACCTTGGTTTGATAAAGAACAATAAGAACCAACCAAAACATTACCTGCAATGGTTTGTCTGAAAACTTCAACACCTAAAACATCAGCAATCAATTCTTCAGTTTCACGCTCGATATCTGGATGAACTAAAGCAACATAATCATTACAACAGATAACGTTACCTAAAGCTGATAATCTTTCTTCAACTCTTTGGATTTTAACGGAATCTGGTAAACTATTTCTTAAATGCATTAATTCTTGATCTGTAGTTTGTGTTGGAACTAATAATCCTCTTCTGTTACCAGCTGTCATTCTACCGACAATACGGGTACCAGCAATAGTTGTATGAACAATAGGTATAACATCACCTAATTCAGCTTCGAAAGCAGAATAAAAATTTTCCGAACCACCAACGGCAACTAAACAGTAAGAGTTTGTTAACTTGGAAAAGACACCAACTTCGTTGGAATTTTCAAATTGAGTTCTACTAGCCATTTTTGTTAAATTTTCTTGATAAACGCCTTCAATATCTTGATTAACCAACAATATGATATGTAGTTGTAAATTGAATTGAGCTTCAATATAGGTTTAACTCTACTCTATATTTTTTTTTCAGTAGAAATTTTTTTTGTACTAATAAAAAAAAAAAAAAAAAGCTTGCCATAGTAGCGGGTAACTGGTGGGGAATTCGCGAATTGGCTGAGGTGATGTTAGAGTTGCTGGAGCTGAAGAGCCAGGTGAACCTCCAGGTGAAGTGGGTGATGGCGATTGAACTTCTCCTTTGCAGATCGCAAAAATCCTTCGTTTTGAGGGATCGTTATATTTTCCAGCACTTTACCATGGTGTGATAAATCATAGTAAACTCTCTCCCAATTTCTGGTTCCACTAGCTTCTCAAGGCTTCTCTGCCTAGAGTGCGTCAGATCTAGGTGGCTTCTGACAAGTTCTGAGCCCACGTTAGAGCCGAATCTTTTTTCTCCTAGGCAGATCCCCTGCCAGGCCCACCCATTGCACCCGCCTAGAATGTTCTACAACGCTCCAGAAAATTCTAGCTAAATCAACAAACAAGCTAGAACAAACCAGAATCAAAGAGCCTTTGTTACCGACTTGTGCTTTTGGAGTGTGTATTTAAAGGGCGGTTCCCTCAAGTCAATTGAAACTCGACATTATTTTGATAACCAACTACAAATACAAGCAATTAGATTACATTCACAATGGACGAAACACAATTTACAGATAGAGCATTGGCTGTCGTTACCAATGCACAAAAGTTAGCTGAAGAACATGCTCATCCACAGTTACTTCCTATCCATTTGTTGGCGGCTTTCGCTACCAGACCAGAAGATGGCTCAGTTAGTTACTTGCAAACTTTGCTAGAGAAGGGTCGTTTTGACTATCAAGCTTTTGAGAGACTTGTCAACAAACATTTGGTTAGAACTCCATCTCAAAACCCAGCTCCATCTCAAATTACTCCAAGTTATGCTACTGGGCAAGTATTGACCAAATCTACAAAGATCAAATCACAACAGAAGGACAGTTTTGTTGGTCAAGATCATATTTTAATGGCATTGTTAGAAGACTCAAGTATTCAATCATTGTTGAAAGAAGCTGGTATACCTATTGAAGGTTTGAAACAACAAATATTACAATTGAGAGGTAATCAAAAAATTGACTCAAGAAGTGCAGATACAAACCAAGAATTAGAATACTTGACTAAATATGCAATTGATATGACTGAACAAGCTAGACAAGGTAAATTAGATCCTGTCATTGGAAGAGAAGAAGAAATTAGATCAACAATCAGAGTATTGGCTAGAAGAATTAAGTCAAATCCATGTTTGATTGGTGAACCAGGTATTGGTAAAACCGCCATCATTGAAGGTGTTGCTCAAAGAATCTTGGAAAATGATGTTCCAACTATTTTACAAGGTTGTCGTTTGTTCTCATTAGATCTTGCTGCATTAACTGCTGGTGCTAAATACAAAGGTGATTTTGAAGAAAGATTAAAAGGTGTTTTAAAAGAAATTGAGCAGTCAAAAGTTTTAATTATCCTATTCATTGATGAAATTCACATGTTGATGGGTAATGGTAAAGATGATGCTGCAAATATTTTGAAACCAGCCTTATCAAGAGGTAATTTGAAAGTCATTGGTGCCACAACAAATAATGAATATAGACAAATTGTTGAAAAAGATGGTGCTTTTGAAAGAAGATTCCAAAAAATTGATGTCAAAGAACCAACAACAAGAGAGACTGTTGCTATATTGAGAGGTTTACAACCAAAATATGAAATCCATCATGGTGTTAGAATCTTGGATTCTGCATTAGTTAGTGCTGCTCAATTGGCTAAACGTTATTTACCTTATAGAAGATTACCAGATTCTGCCTTAGATTTAGTTGATATATCTTGTGCTGGTGTTGCAGTTGCTAGAGATTCAAAACCTGAAGAATTAGATTCTAAAGAGCGTCAATTACAATTGATTCAAGTTGAAATCAAAGCTTTGGAAAGAGATCAAGAAGCGGACCCAACAACAAAAGAAAGATTACAAATTGCTAGACAAAAAGAGGCTTCATTGGAAGAAGAATTAGTTCCATTGAGAGAGAAGTATAATGAGGAGCGTCAAGGTCATGAAGAATTGACCTCCGCAAAGAGAAAGTTGGATGATCTAGAAACAAAGGCTATCGATGCTGAACGCCGTCATGATACTGCTACTGCTGCTGATTTGAGATATTTTGCAATTCCAGAAGTTAAAGAAAGAATCGATCAATTGGAAAAACAAGTTGCTGAAGAAGAAGCTAAATCCGGTGCTGGCTCATTGATTCAAAATGTTGTTGACTCTGATACAATTGCAGAAACTGCTGCTAGATTAACCGGTATACCAGTCAGTAAATTGACTCAATCAGAAAATGCTAAGTTGATCACTATGGAAAGAGAATTATCTCAACAAGTTGTTGGTCAAAGTGAAGCTGTCAAAGCTGTCTCTAATGCCATCAGATTATCAAGATCAGGTCTAGCTAATCCTCATCAACCAGCTTCATTCTTATTTTTGGGTCTTTCAGGTTCTGGTAAAACTGAGTTGGCTAAAAAATTGGCTTCTTTCTTATTCAATGATGAGCAGGCTATGATTAGAATCGATTGTTCAGAGTTGATGGAAAAACATTCAGTTTCAAAATTATTGGGTACAACTTCTGGTTATATTGGTTATGAAGAAGGTGGTTTGTTGACTAATCAATTACAAAGAAAACCATATTCTGTTATACTATTTGATGAGGTTGAAAAAGCTGCCCCAGAAGTTTTGACTGTTTTGTTGCAATTGTTAGATGATGGTAGAATCACCTCAGGTCAAGGTAAAGTTATTGATGCTTCTAATTCAATTGTTATTATGACTTCTAATTTGGGTTCTCAATTTATTGTTACTCAAACAACTTCTAAAATTTCAGATCAAACTAAGGAATTGGTTATGAATACTGTTAGAGGACATTTCAGACCTGAATTCATCAACAGAATCTCATCAATTGTCGTGTTCAATAAATTATCAAGAAAAGCCATTCATAAAATTGTTTCCATTCGTCTCAAGGAAATTGAAGCCCGTTTCGTTGAAAATGACAAGAACTACAAGTTGGATGTCTCGCCAGAAGCTATTGATTTCCTCGCAAAGAATGGTTACACAGAAGATTTAGGTGCAAGACCATTGAATCATTTAATACAGAGAGAAATTTTGAATAAATTGGCTGTTTTAATTCTAAAGGGCCAAATCAAAGACAAAGAAACCATACAAGTTGTCAAAAAGGGCGATGGTTTATATGTCGTTCCAAACCATGAAGCAAATGAAGATTCAATGGATGTTGATGTTGATGATTGGTCAGATCCAGATGAAGAGGATGAAGATTTAGCTGAAGAACCAGTCATTTTAGATTAAGTTTAGTTGAATTTATGTTTGTTTGTTTGTTTTATTTGGTATATTTTACATAGTTTTAATTGATTAATGATCATAATTTTATATATATTATTGAAGATATTTGTAGTTTATCACATCATAGCATCAGTAATTAGTGAAGGCTCATCCCTATTTGTGAGCTCATAAACTTTTATATGTCCATCACTGAAGGTCACATAAATCCAAAACGATTTTTCATCAGCGCGATAAACTCCTAAACCAATAATTGTCTCATCGGGTTGAACTTGAGGTCTGGGTATAAGATGCTCAATCCTCATTGTATGTAAACCCCTATGCTTCACTAGTCTAAATATGGCAAAGAATCCAGCTTGTGATGCAACAATAACAGCTGATAATTCTGGAATGACTTTTGTTATTGATAATCTATTGGAAAATCTCAGATCTTGACTCAATCTATAGCTAAATAGCCTATCTGATGTTGCATTACAAACCAAATTACCAAACCTGTATAATCCTATTTTAGAAGCAGTAGCAACAAATAAAAATTTATCGTGATAGGGAGGCTTGGGGATTGGTGACAACGCTTCATCAAATGATGTACTAAAATACAGCTTGCGTATCCTGCTGAATTTATCTGTAAACCTGTTGAGTCTGTTTTCTGTGGCTGTTCCCCTTTGAGAAGGAGTTTCTAATCCAATTTCCTCAAACCAGGCTCCTCCACCCAAATCTGAGGTCAAAAGATGGTCACTCATTAAATTCAATTCTTTAGAGTAGAGCAAAATCTTTTCAACATCAATATAATTTGCACTACCCAAGTAGTCTGGAGTGGTCACCTCTTTGAAGTATTTGTCATCAATGAAATGTGTAGCCCAAGCGTCTTCTTGGAGAACTGTCCGACTGAGTATTGTGCAGCGAAATTCATATTTGGAAAACATTGGAAGTAAAACGTCAACAATATCTATTGATAGGGAGTATTCATATGGTGGTTGAGCAACTGGCCCCACGTTTGTGAAAGTCTCAAATTTAAATATTATAAACTCACCTGAAATCGAAACGCAGGAGACATAAACAGTATTCCTTTCGTCTATATCAACAAATGAAACAGTAGGTATATTGTGAATTATTTGGTTTGAAGTACAGTGGTAGATCCCACTCTCTTCGAAAAGGAAAAGTGTAACTGTTTGACTATTATCTGAGACGGCAACCATATTTCTATAGGTATCAACACCCCAAACAGATGATGACAACTTCAATTCATATTTGGGAACAGAATGGGTACTTTTAATGAAAAAGTCATGTATGTCATAAATCAATACCCGACCATCATCAATGGCACACGAAAGAACAGATCTACCTGCTAGTTTGGAAACCTTCAAGTAATTGATAGTGTGTGGGGAACTAGACCAGGTTGCAGCACTTCTATGCCTAACTGTTGTGAAGCTGGGTGTAACATCAATTGTTTTTACCTGCAGCTCATCCTTGAAAACCAAAATTCTATATTTGGAGGCAATGAACAAGTAATCTTGATAGCTTTCAACCAAGTTGTTTTTGTACCTCATGGATTGAAAACGCGATACTTCAAGGTGTCTGATTTTTTTGAAACTTAAAGCATCATCATAATTAAGCTCATTCGTACAGCTTTCTGGGTCAAAATCATGTAACTTATGTGGAATATGAACATCAAATATATCATAAGCATTAAGTACACCGACTTCAATCCCGAGATCAGAGGAATTTGTTGTTCTTGGATAACTGTCTTTGAAATACGCCACATTTTCCTGACTTTCATTAATATTATCATTGTAGAAATCATCCGCATCTTCGCATCGACTGTGTCGAGAAGCATGCCCTCTGGTGTCCTTGAGGAACATATATTTGAGAAAGCGCCGTTCTTTATCAGCTTTTATTGTGCGAGCTGGTGAATCTTCTTCTGTAGCATCACTACCAGGTGGGAATGGTGATAAGCTAGGATCTGGTGGAGTTGAAAATTCATGTTCGATATATTGCCTCTGCCTTGGGTTGGTGTTGAGGAGTTCGAATGGATCCATAAGCGGTGTTCAGCTTGATAACATTGACCTTTTTTTGTTAAATAGTGGAGTTTATAATTGACTAACAATTGAGACCACCCTCGTTGTTCTGTTTTGGAAATGGTGAACTAGTTAGTCTATCAGTCAATGACGGAAGGTTGATACGTTCAAAAACTATTGTTTCCATACTTGAAGGTTTGTTCAATGGGATTGTTTTTATGCCAGTATCCTTTTTTTTTGTTTGTGGACCTTTTTGTTTTTCGCGATTAACAATTATCTACAACATGAAATCTATAATACAAAGCAATTTTTCTTCTGTTATATATCAAAAGTATTTATAATTTTTTTTCTATATCTTCAAGTTTTTCATTAGCATACTTCTCCAAAGCAACAGCATCTTCAAAAACACTTGACCCCTCCTCATTGTAAAATTTAGCATTTGTGAAAATCTTTCCTAGAGTCTCTTTGAAACCTTCGAAGTTTTTTATTTTACCTGACTTCAAGCTCTTTCTGATTGAATTGATTGAAACTGGTTGCAGAATAATTTGATAATAATCAGGATAAAGTTTTCTAGAAGGGAGGTCAACAAAAAATTCACTAAACAAATGGCCATTTTCTGATTTTAAGACTTCAATTTCTCCCAATAATGTATTGGCCTCTTGAATGAATAATGGAACTTCTTTTTTGGCTTTCTTTGGAGCAACTTCTTCTTCCTCAGGGTCAAAATCATGCTCATCATCATCTTCGTCTCTTACATCAGCAGTTCCTGATCTTGATCTTTTTGCACGACGACCTTGTGGCTCTGGAGAATTTGCAAGACTATCTCTCTCTGAATATCTTTTGTTTCTTCTTTCTTGAGCGGCCCTCTTACGAGCAATAGCAGCTTCAACTGAATCATCGTCATTATCCATAGCAAGCAACCACTGTTCTTCAGTCAAACCATCATCGTAATACACACGTTTCTTTTCTCTTGTACGACCTAATTCCTCTTCCTCTTGTTTCAAATGTTCTGTAATATCTTCTGTGAAAATAGGTGGTAGTTCGCTTTCAGGAAGTAATCTTTCTTTATAACCACCGGCTTTTCTTTGGGCAATTTTCTCATTTGTAGCTCTTTCGAGATCCATTCTGGTGAATAACTCCTTTTCAGCATCACCTCTAGCCAAAATCTCGTTCAACTCATCGTCATCCAACTCTTCATTTTCTTCATCATTTCTGGATCCTTCGCTTTCTAGCAATTTCTTCAAGAAAGCTTCTTGTTCTTCAGATGTAGATTTATTATCGAACTTACCAGCTTGGATAACTTTACCATCAATATCTAATTTTTGTAAAGCTCTTTCCAAAATAACTTCTTCAACGGTATCAGTAGTGATCAATCTCAAAATTCTAACTTCATTCTTTTGACCAATTCTATGAGCACGATCTTGGGCTTGTAAATCTTGGTGTGGATTCCAATCAGTATCAAAGATAATAACTGTATCAGCAGTTTGCAAATTCAAACCTAAACCACCAGCTCTGGTGGACAACAAGAAACAGAAGTATTCAGATTCTGGATCATTGAAGACTTTTAACATACCAGTACGGTCATCAGCTTTAGTACTACCGTCTAATCTTAAGTACTTCAAATCTCTTAATCTCAAATAATCTTCCATGATATCCATAACTTGAGTCATTTGAAAGAACATTAAAACCCTGTGACCACTCTTTTTAAATTTTGGTAAAACTCTATCTAATAATTCAAATTTACCACTAGTTCTCCAAAGCATATCACTTGATTCACGCACTGGATTTATGACATTTTCAACTTCTTCAAACACATAAGGATGATTACAAATCTTTCTAAGTTGCATAATCTTGTTGTTAAGACCTTTGATACCTGATTTAGTAGCCCCATGGACACCAGCACCAACAAATAAGGCATTGTGTTTCAACATTTGTTGATATAAAACATATTGTAAGCCTGATAATTTACACTTAATAACCTTTTCAACTTTGTCAGGTAAATCTTTTTCAACCTCTTTCTTTAGACGACGTAACAAGAATGGTCTCAAGACTTTGTGTAATCTTCTAATAATCAACAAAGTTTCTTCTTCTGATAGTTCCATTTTCTCTAAACCACCAGTATTTGCAAATGGAGTATTAAACCAATCATCAAAAGTCTTGACAGAGTTGAAAACCTTAGGAAGAACAAAATTCAATAATGCCCATAATTCTGGTAAATTGTTTTGCAAAGGAGTACCTGTTAAGATCAAACGATTCTTTGTGTGATAATATGTAGTCAAAGTGTATGACAATTTTGATTGAGTATTTTTCATACGATGACCTTCATCAATAATCATATGAACCCATTTTAGTTTTGAAAGAACAGGACGATCTTTGATAATGTATTCATAAGTTGTCAACAACACATTGAAATTACCACCTCTGACTTCATATTGTAAGTTCTTACGTTGATTTGGTGTACCCTTATAAACAATGGTCTTCAACGATGGGGCCCATTTTTCAAATTCTAAGGTCCAATTGGTTATGGTTGATAATGGGACAATAACTAAGAAAGGACCAGGTTGTTTTTTAACTTCAATCAAATAGGTGATCAATGATAACGACTGAATAGTTTTACCCAAACCCATTTCATCGGCTAAAATACCATTCAAATGATTGTTATATAATGAAACCATCCACTGTAAACCTTTCAATTGATATTCTTTCAAAGTACCACCAACTAAAATAGATGGTTGTTTTGTGATTTCCTCTTTAACTTTATGAGCAACTTCATAATAATCAATCTTTTCTCTATCTTCATCAGTGATTTCCTCTGGAAGAATTTCACCATTTGATAATTTTGATTCTGTTTGTTGAGCTTGAACAGCTTGAGCTAAGGAATCCAAGAAAGAATTGGTTTGTTTCAACAAATGTGTAATTCTGGTATCTTTAGTTTGATCCAATAATTTAAGATAGGCTTCTTCATCATTAGATTTCAAAGCTTGTAAACGTTGTTTAGCAGTCTTTTCAAGTTTTTTACCTTCATCTTTTTCAATTTGAGAATGTAATTGAGCAATGGATTTGGCAAATTGATGTCTTTTGTTGACAATCTCTTGTTTGTCAGCTATTATATCATTAGCTCTCATGACAATATTTTGAATTCTTTGAACATGACGAGCGTGTTCAATTCTTTGTTTTTCCAATTCTTGCTGTTTTTCTAACTCTTCAGCCAATCTAGCTGTTTGCTTTGTAACAATTTTTGGTCTGATGTGTAATGATCTTTGAGCAGAAAGTGTGATTGGATGTGTTTTCAAATAATCAACAGTAGTATGAGCTTTCGCACCAATTGAAAATAAGAGACTTTGTCTTAGAGATTTTTGTTTTGTCAACAATCTTAATGATTTCAATTCAACGAGGGCCTTGACCTTGAGTTCATCTGCTTTTTCTGGTAAATCATCTGGTGATTGTAGTTGTAGCTCATCATGTTTGAAAGTACCCAAGTTTGACGGTAGTCTTTCCAATTCTGCGATTCTGGATGAAATCTTATTAGAAATCAATTGCTCAGCTTCAGGGTTGCCAGCAAACTCAGTGTAAAGTTCTTCCAATGGATTTGTGAATCTATCTTCAATTCCAAGTTCTTTAACTCTTTGAGCAAAATTGAGTGATCTTTCAATCGGTTCAACATCACGCACTTCATTTATTGATTCAGGCTCTTTTGGGTTCAAATTTTGTTGCAAGTTTTCCGGAAGGTCAACATCTTTAGATAGGAGTTGTAAAGTAATAAGTTGATCGCGCAATAAACTTTGATTGTATTCATGTTTCTTCTTTTGAGCTTGTCTTATTCTTTGTAATTTAACCTTGTAAGTATCTTGATCCTTGCTCACGCGAAATAAAACTTTTTCAATTGCATGTTCTTCTTCTGGATTATTGTTGGTCATGTGCAAAGATCTATATCTTAGAATCAAAAGTTCCAATTCCTGTCTTGATTGAGGGTAAGGAATGTCTAAACTTGATTTTTGGTCATCATGGTTGCCACCATTGATAAGTGAAGCTCCAGGCACTGGAGATTGTTCAGAAGCGGCTGGGGAAGTAGCTAATGACATTGTTGTTGATTCTTTGAACTCACGGCCTTGATGTTTTGATGGTAAATATTGATCTTGGTGAGCGCGTCTTTCAACAACAAAGGGGGTTGTCCTGGAAAGAAAGAGGAATTCCTTTTTATGAAATACAGGACGTTGATACTATACTGTCCCTTAACAGCTGTAAAAAGATCTAGTTTCCACTAATTCTTGACGGTGTTGAGCTTTTCAGGATCTTGAACAATAGCTTTCACGATGATCAGTATTGGACTTAAAATGAACACAAGTTGAAATTTAAGGTGTCGACAAGGGGATATTCTAATGAGCTTCAAACCAGTCCTTCGTGAATCCAGAGTCTATACTATTCAAAAATTCAGTTGGGTGGTTGAGGGTGGGAATCCAATGGAAACTGTTTCTCGATGTGTTTTAATTGATTTTTCACCTTTTAGCGTTGTTGATTTCGGATTTGGTGTTTTCTTTGATGTTTTCATTTTTTTTCCTTCAATTTTCAAAAAAAAAGAATTCGTGAACGTCAGAAATTCTTATGTAATTTTTATACGGGTGATTAGTAATCCTTATACTCTATAAACCGCTATTGGCCTACATAATGATGACAACTTAATAAATTTGTAATAATGAAAGTATATAAATGTTAGATTTAATAATAAATAGTGTACTCATCGTTCCCCATTTTTTGGATCTTGTCAACTGATCTCACAAATGCCGGTCTCTGTTTAATCTGTGATAACCATTTGGAAAGATAGACATATTTGCTTCTATGTATTGGTTTGATTAGTTCTGGATCACGGAAGGCAAGACTAGCGTTGAATTCAAGTATGATATCTGCAGCACTCAGTTTATGGCCAACAAAGAAGATTTCTTTGGAACTCGAAGTATATTCAAGTTCCTCACATCTCTTTTTCAATTTCTGCTCCAATGAATCAAAAGCTTTAGACAAATTAGGGGTGGTATATGATCCATCCACCCTGTCAAGAAATGTATCAATTGCAGGTTTGGCTGATTCTCTAGTTCTTGAATATGCAATTTCGTGTAACAGAGTATATGTTAAAAGTGGTTGCAAGGTACCCTCCGAAAAATGTAGGTAATATTCAGCCTCCTCTTCATCTTCTTCATTGATTGGTTTTAGTTTACCATCTGTATCGAAATGTCTGATGAGATAGGTGATAATTAGACCACTTTCAGCAATCTTCTTGGTCTCCTTACCATCCCGATAATCTAGTTCCAGCAGGGGACTTTTACCTAGTGGATGAATATCGCTCAACTCCTTGGGAGCAAGGCCTGTGGCAGGATCTCTATGATAAAGCTTTAGTTCATACTCAAGTTCTAATTCTTCTAGAAGCCATAAGATTCTATGAGCTCTTGATTTCTCCAGCCTTAAAAGTTGTTAGATTAGTTTCTGAAGGTGAAACGAATGAACTCACCAATGGAGCGTGATAATTGGTTGCTTTGAATGAATCATTGGACTATGATCTGGTGTTAAAATGGGTTGGATGAATTTGAAAAGGAAAATGAATTCCTTTAAGTACTTCCAATCATTTTTCCTTGCTTTGCTCTAAAACCATGATCATCGAACGTTTTCAAAATTTCAAGATGAGGAGCTAAATTCGTTATGTGGACGCCAAACCTACAGCAGATGCAGTACACGTAGAAAGAACATCAACAATTAAAGACTGTACACTCCGACACTATACAATACAGAATTATTAGCTAATAGGATCTTTGGCAAACTGGTTTTTACCAACAGTTTGAATTTTTTCTTCGGCTTTGATGTATGCTGGTCTGTTTTTAACTTGAGCTAAAAATTTATTCATATTTGGATAATCAGCAGTATCAATAGCATCACCTAATCTTTTACCATCCAAAAGTGTTTGAATGTTGAAGAAAAGCATGACATCTGCACCAGTCAAATGATCACCCACAAAATAGAGTTCTTCTGGGTTTATTTTTGCTTGTTTTGCTAAAATATCTTCCATGAAATCAATACATAATTTGACTTCAGAAATACCATAAAATGTGTCCATTTTGTTAACAAAGGCATTAATCACTGGTCTGACAAAGAAAGGAGCCTTACTAGCACCAACTTGATGAACAATTAAATAAGTCAAATGAGCACCTAAAGTACCTTCTGAAAAATTGACGAAATAATCAACGGATTCTTCATCATCCTCTGTATTTGCAGTCAATTTCTTGTTTGTATCGAAGTGTTTAATCAAGTAGTTGGTGATATGACCACTTTCAGCAAGCTTCTTTGATTCTTTACCATTATGATGATCAACTTCAATAATTGGACTTTTACCTAATGGGAAGATTTTCTTTAGTTCTTCTGGTGCTCTTTGACTTTCGGTTCTGTGATATAATTTAATGTCATAATCAAGGTTCAATTCTTCCAATAACCAAACGATTCTATGAGCTCTTGATCTTTCTAACCTGATTACAGTTGTTAGAAGAGTGCCAATCAATCGATCTATGAATATTTCAGTACTTACCAATGAAGAGTGATGGTTGGCTTTTGTTCTGTGGACATGTTGATAGATTATGAATTGTCTGATCGGTATAACCTAATGATAACTATGTGTTCTGATAATCACAAAGTTCTTCCTCTTTTATACACTTCAAAAGATCAGGGCGTATTTATATAAATTTTCTTTCTTTTTTCTTGACGTCGGGGCTAAAGTGAAACCTTATGCAGCAAACTGAAATGTCATCGATGGTTCGGCCGATTCTACGAGCCGCTTACTTTGGTGAAAATGTATAAGAAGAGTATCTTTCAAAACTATAAATTTATGATTTAGTATATGGTCTAATTGACAAAAGTCATTTCATGATAATATCAAAAATCATAAGGGTATTTTTTACGGGGTTTGTCGAGTTTAAAGTTTCTTAGTGAATTCACTCCAAATATGTATAACGTCATCAACTAACAAGCTCAGCTAATCAACTAGGTAATCGAACCCTGCAGCACTCATATCTACGCAACTGTACTATATTAGAATGTACAAGATCAATGGCTACATTAATGCTCTTAAAAAATCAATGCAAACATAATATTTGAACATCTATAAAAAAATCATAACAAATCAAAAGCCATATAAAGCATCATCAGTTTGAAAAGGTACTTGTGTGTCAACATCCTTTGGTTCACTTTTGTCTAATTGAACTTCCGATGAGCTTTTTGAACTAGCGACATCTTCAACCGAAACAACTTTGAAGGTATCATCCAACTTAGCCAATTTCACAGTATTAGCCAAAAATTTCAAGCTCAACATGGCTCTCAAATTAGGGACTAATAACTTCAATTGATTTTCCATTGTTCTAGTAATTGACATATGAGCTTGTGGAATGATTAGATATTTGTCACTCTCAATCCAAGCAAGTTCTGGGTTTTTGATCAGACTATTTTCTTTCAACATTGGTAAAATAGTCTCCTCTAAATCTGGTCTAGTAACACCAGGTATACAATCTTCAATTAAAATTGCATTAAAGTCAGCAAATTCTGGAGTGATCATAGAGACTGGTTTCTTTAAAGTCTTTGTGGATTCCTTCAAATGCCTTTCATAAGCAGCTAACGATTTACTCAATGAGAGATCTGGAATATGAGATAGTGCACGTTTCATTATGAAAACACTTCTTTGAGGTTCTGGATCTTGAGATTCGGAAAATAAATTGTATGTTTCAGCTATTTCATGGACAAATTCACGTTGTTCTCTTCTCATTGGCTTGAAATGGAAACTTTGTTTATCAGAATTGATGAATGATTTAAGCATATCTTCGATGTTGGAACACCATTTCTTTTGTAATTCATAGGTTTTCAAAGTCTTTGGAGTGTAAGGAATATCATTTACATTAATTTTTGGTTCATCTGATGATTTGCTTTGGAATCCAAATGCCTGAGATAATTGTTCTTGTCTCTCTTGAACCACACATGAAACTTCACAATCCAATAATGTACCAGCACAGCTTTGTTTACTAGCACTAGCACCACAAGGAATTTTCTGTTTGATTCTTCCACATTTACAAGACAAACTAACCATTTGGTTACAAATACCTGAATCGTCACATCTTGAAGGGTAATGACATGGAGATCTATCAACATGTTTACAATATTTCTTCTTCTTACCACAAATGGAATGACAAACACAATCACCACTATGGCAACTCTCTTTGCAATGATGTTGACAAGGTAATAGTTTCTCACATTTCTCACCACAAAATACTTCATCTTGATAACACATTGCTTTAACCTTCTTTTTACCACAATTACACCATTTTTCAACAGTTTTGGTACATTTCTGACAAGGAACATCATCTGGGTGACAATTATGAGGCATTTGTTGATGACCACAAGGTAATTCTCTTTGACATTGGGAATGACATTCTGGTAACTGTGTACCACAACGAACAGGTGCCATAACAACTGTTTGACCACAATGACAAACTAAATCATCATTTGAAGATTCTAAACAAGGTGGACAAGGACCTGTATGACAAGTCTGATGACAAACATGATCTGGGTTACCACATGATAGCTTTCTGTTACAGATTTGCAAACAAATATGAGTTGCTTCAATGTTGAAAGTTTCTTCTGACCTGTTATTTCTGGTGCTGGTTGGTAAGGTGTTGTTTCTTAACCCCTTCTTCCGTAATCTTTCCCTAGTCATTGCAGCTTGTTCATCTGGACAACAGATTCTGTTGCACCTGTGACGACGGCATGATAACAATGAAGTACATTTTCTTGTACAACTTGGACTTGAATGCTGTTGCAAAAATTTACAGGGAACAATAAAACTGTTGAACCCACAAGAACATTTTGAATCAATAAACTCATAACATGGGGAGCATTCACCTTCATGACATTCCCATTTACATTTATGACCACATGGTAATGTTTTGCCACAAATTTTGGAACAAGTTGGGACTGGATCTGAACATGAGTTTCTATTAGCGCCATCATTTAATTCTTCGATGGAAGTTTGACCACAAGGACAAGTTTTAATTAGATCTGGGCTTAGTGGACAATGCAAAGCTTTTCTTCTAGCTGGTTCACAAAGTTTAGTACATGAGTGAAACCCACAATCATAAGTAATTTCAGAGCTTAAAGAACATTGGAAATTACCAATCCAATTATCCTCCTTGGTTTCACCAAAACTTTTCTTTGGTTGTCTTAAATGGCATTTGATATTATCTTTTGTCTTACCACAATAGCATGTTGATTCAACAAATTGTTCACATTTTCCACACAATCCATCATGGCAGACTTTGCCACATTTATGCAATTCACATGGAAGTGTTTCTTCACAAACATCGTCACAGTGCCACCCATCAATGTAGGGCGTTAAAACGCATGGCCATTGATTTTCGTGGTTACCACAATGACATTTGGTAATTGGACCCAAGGCATTACAAGTAGCATGAGGACCTGGATGACATGGTAATGAACATTTATGGATACAACCTTCTAGTGGGACACCACAAGTCTGACCACAACTACCTGGGTGTAATGGATTCTTGGAAGGGTGAAGCACTTTCTTACACCAACATTTATCTTGAAATTTCTGTTTTCTATGAGTCGAATTACATGATGGACACTTCCAGTTACCTTCAGCGTCTGTTGAAGAACCTTTCTTGGACCAGCTATCAATACATGAGATATGATAAACTCTATAACAATCAGTACATGACCAGAATTTGTTACTAGGACCAACTTCACAGGTACAAATCAAACAAATATAGGATTCATCTTTGATTTCATTGAAAATTGTGGTGGCAAGGTCGTAATCTTCTTCAGAATCATCATCACTAGACTCTTCAGAATCGTCAGTTGTAAGGTCCGAATCTGAGTCATGTAAAGCATGATCTGAAGGGGTTTCAGCTTCTTGGGAGTTGTTCTGTTGAGACTCGATTGAGTTCACGTCAGCATCATCTTCCTTAGAGTCACTCGGGAGTTCTTCCATAGTCACAAAGTTGACCTTTTGCTGAAAAAAGAAGAAATCAAGATAGAAAATTTTGGAATCTACTCAGTACATATGACAAAAAAAAAAAAAAAATTAACATAATGATTCATCCAGACACCATTGTTCTTTTTTTTTTGGAGATAGGTCGACTTAATTAAAGGGATACTTTCAACAAGTTACAACTTCTGCAACAAGAACAATTGTCGAGAAATCGAGATAAGATATAAGCAAAGATGGCAGTAGATCCGTTTGCAAGAAGGTATGTTCTTGGTATGCTTGTTGATTGATCTGGGATTACTAACATCACTGTTTTTCTAGAGAAGCATGGAGATATCAAGGACACAACACAAGATTCAACAGGTTTAAAAACGTATGGCCAGGATTCTTCTGGGGAGTTGGTGCTTTTGCTGTGTATGTTGCTGCTGAAAAAGTTTTCTTTCCTCCAAAAAGTCATCATGAGCATGAAGATGAACACCATTGAAAAGATTGAATCATTTTGAACGAACCTTAATGAGTACACTATTTATTACCTATTTATTATCTATTTATTTATTGATCATACAGTATGACATAGTTGGTTTTATGAGGACCACATTATAATATCATATTATTATTTATTGGAAAAACAGAACTTTAATGACAAAACATTGTTAATTCCTCTTATTGGCTCGTAGGGGAGGTAAATTTCGCAACTATAAGCTGCTCATGTGTTATGACAAAAGAAGAGCACAGCTTACTGAATTGCGAGAATCTTAGTCGTTCCTTTGCAAATTCAAGCTGCATTTTTGTCCAAGCCAACTTTACAAATTTTGACAGGAATTATCAAAAGGACCAATATAATTTCTTCTCAACAAAAGACGAAAACAAGCTCAGAATTTATCAGATCACCAACACGCAGTCACCCAGATAAAATATCAATCAGCATCTTTTCCCTCAAATATCCATCAATTAACCCCAAATCAACTCACAATTTTGCTGGAAAGTCAGCGACCGTTGAGTGGCCCTTACCGTGCCAGATCTAATCTGCGCATACTTGTCTTTGGAAAATTATTTTACACATCAAAATTTCGAAATCGACCATCACTCGATCCCCTTTGACGCCCACAAGCACCTCGAAAGTATCCCTTAAAAGGCCTCCTTTGAAACCCACGCCATCACCACTTCGCCCACGAAGTCAGTGCTTCCCTTGTTACGCTCCGTTTACTTTTTGGTGATACCTATCATCATCAACTTATATCGGGAAAAAAATTCAAATTATCAATCATCATGGGTAGTATGGCTATTGTGGAAAGTGGCCCCCAAGCTCTGGATCCCACACCTGAACTTTTATTTTGGAATGAGTTCCAAGATTTTGTTCCTTCAAGGCCTGTTGAACATTTAGGTGAATCAGATTTTACATTTGACGGAAGGTTACCTGAACCAGGTTTACAAATCTATGAAGATGGTGGTGAATTAGGCTGTGGCGGTAAGATTTGGGTAGCTGGTGAGCTTTTATCAAAGTACTTGCTTGATAAAGGGCTAAATAACAAAAAGAAAGTGGTTGAAATAGGTAGTGGTACTGGTCTTGTTGGGTTAACTTTAGGGCTGGGTCAAAGAAAAAATGATGACATGGAGATTTGGATCACTGATATTGAGTATGTTGAAAGAAAGTAGAAGCTGTGAGGATTCGTACTAACAATGAATTTAGTGATCTAGTTCCATTAATGGATAAAAATATTATACTAAATGGTCTTGAAAAGAATGTATTTGCAAGGGCATTACCATGGTGAGTGTTTCGAGTATCTTGTAAGGTGATAGGTGTACTAACAATCTAAATAGGGGAATGGAGTTACCTGAATTTGCCAAAAAAGATGTGGATGTAGTCCTTGCTGCTGATTGTGTTTATCTTGAAAAGGCATTTCCTTTACTAGAAAAGACACTTATTGATTTAACAACAAAGGATACCTTAGTGTTAATGTCCTATAGAAAAAGAAGAAAAGCAGATACAAAGTTTTTTAGAGTGAGTTACAAATGAATATAGAAGTGTGAGACTTTAACTAACGATCAATTCAGAAAATTAAAAAGCACTTTGACTTAACTGAAGTCACTGACTTCAAAGATTATGCAATCTATTTGAAACAAGGTGTTCACTTGTTCCAACTAGTCAAAAAGAATTAGACAATTTATTAGATTTGGTTTTATAGCTACGCATGTTCATGACATAGATTTTTTTACCTCTTTTACACTAGCATCCTTATATAATGATTTTTACTTACATGAAAAAAAAAATTTAAAATGCACAAATATATACAAAGTTCCCACATTACACCATTTAAAAATACCTTATAACAAAATGTATCTTTATTAATTTTCTTGAGCCCAAGCAGCTTCAGGGCTAACATTTCTAGCTTCGACCATTTGAGTAGCTTCAACAGCCTTAGCCTTCCAGTCATCGATGAATTTTTGTTCTTCTTCAACACCATGTTCTATTGGTGATAATCTGTAACCGGCACCAAACATCTCATTTTCTTCTTTACTAACTTGCTCTTCCATTTCTTGTTCGATTCTTACTCTATAAAATTCGAATCTAGCAGTTTCATAAGCATCGAGCAATTTATAACTTTCGTTGTTTTTATTTTGGTTCATCAAGTATATGGATCTTTGAACAACACTTTCACCGTCCAATGGTTTGTTATATTGTATGATAGATGACCAGTCTTGGTTTTTAGCATCGTCACCACCATTTTCTAATAAGATTCTTGGTCTTGATAATTCCCAAGGATGTTGTTCATAAAATAATGATCTTAGCTGATCTTCCACAAACTTAAGTTTTGGAATATTATATATATCTTTTCTTGTTTCCTTCACTCTTGTTTCGTACAATTTCCCGTTTTTAAATAGTTTTTCACCTTTAGCTGGCTTTGGTATAGATTGTTCATCTGATGGGTTCTCTAATCTTGGTTTACGAATGAAATTTTTAACGGGTGGGTTGGCACCAACAACATGATACCATGCTGGTTGTTTCTTAAGTAAGCCTGCTCTTAAGTATTCAGAAGTCTTCTCCAAGACATTCACAGCCTGTGTTTGAGGTCTCATTATTGATCTTAATCTCTCTAAAGTCAACTATTTCAAACCTTTAATTCCAAACGATTTTTCACTTTTTTTCAACAACTTTTTTTTGAACTAAATCAAGTTCGCGAATTGTTATGTAAGTCATTATGTAATTTTCGAGGAAAATGCACCACTTTTTGACAGAAGGGAAACAGTATAAACCATGGAAAGAGCATCATTTTTAGTTCATGATCCTTTTGTGATGAGCTACCTAGGATCCAAGATTTTGGAGCTTTTACAAAGGCCAGTCAAGTTCAATTCATTTCAACAATTATGCCACCAGCTCAATGTATCAAAAAAACTCCCTATATTTCAAAAATCATCCCCAGTATTCCAGAACCAAAGAGGCATTAGAAAGATACGAATGTCAATACCCAGAGAACTATCTTACAATAAGACCTTATATGCTGCATTTCTGAGAAAGTTATACCCCTTGGAACAACACACTGTTCATAAAGACCTTTATGCTGCTTACTGCGCACTACCATCTCCACAACCATTGCATATTGAACCACAACACTTTGAGCATTTATTATGCCAGTTTGTTGATTCGGGTGGTTTCCATAGAGGTATTAATACTAATTATTTGGCAAATATAATGACTGATATGTTTCAATGTGGAATGAAGGCTTCATTAAGAGAGGTTAATAACTATTTATATTTGAAGAATTATAATAATAATGAAGCTTTACCATTAGTTGAACGTGATTATGAATATGTTTTGAAAGTATCAGAGTTTCATATTAGCACAGCCAATATCTTTTTGAAGTTTGCAATACAAACTAGGAACGTTGAATTCATATCTCGAATTTTGAATGATATTGCTGAAAGGAATCTAAAATTTGATAGAATGACTTATCAAATGTTGATAAGTTATTCATGTGATATTGGTGACACTGAAAGATCTAACGCATTATTTGGAAATTATTTGGATATTGGGCATGTTTTGGATATATCCATAGTCAATACGATTATCAAGTCGTTAGTGTCTAATGGTGAGCTTTCTAAAGCTAATGAAATTGTTGAGCTATTGTTCAAAAATGCTAAACAACTTGGCTCAAGGCAAGATAATTCCAATGCTACACATTCAAGAAGACAAAATGTTCAAGAGCTGAATTTTATTGACTCACTGAAATTACAGAGACAGGATTCTTTACTTTTTGTGCCAACTCCTACTTTCAATTCATTTTCACCATTGTTATACAATTATTGTTCATTCAGACATTTTGATGCATTGACAATATTCAAATATTTGGAGGAGATGAATGATTTGAACATTGAAATACCCAACAGCATGTACATACACATCTTCAAATCATTTCAGGAACAAGATGTCAAAGATCTTGATTATTTGAAATTCACATTAAACTTTTTGATCAATGAAAAGAATGTAAAGTATAACGATGAATTATTTGAATCAATACTTGAATCATTTTTGAAGCACTCTGGCTATCAGAATAAACTTGTTAATGGTATTGAAAATCAATGGTCACAATTGAAAATGAATTTGATTAAAGGTGGTTCTTTCAAGAAAGGACGGAGCCAAGTTGAAGAATTTAGCATAGATGCTATCAACAAATTGATGGTGTTTTACTAAGTAACCTTTTATTTATTATTTATTATTTATTATTTATTATTTATTATCTATTTATCGTTATTTATTTCCTATTTATTTATTTCATTCAGAGATCCAACTATTTATATCATTTATAGCTATGTATTTCAGCCCAAAATAGACAAATTCCAGAAAGGTTGTGGTTACGCACCCCTGCTCTTTTTCAAAATCAGCGCCAAAAAATCAAAATAACAACTAAAAGCTAACATTAAACGAAAGAATCAATCAAGAAACGATAAGAAAATTCAAGACAATGGTATGTGCTATGATTTCTCCTTAGATCTGGTTATTGAATTTCCCATTAACATTCAAAGTCCGCCCTTTTCAACTTTTCGGCATTACTACAGGTGATTTTGCTATTGATATGTTCATGTACTTATATCCACACAAATTGGCCAAGTCTGTTAGATCGTAACCATCATGGGTAGGTAATATTATCACAATTAACTTTCGAAAAGCTACTAACTTATTGGCTCTAGTCTACTCGGTGTTTTTTGGAAATGTGCTAGAGTTGGTGAAAGAGCAAGTCCTTATGTTTCAATCGCTTTGATTTATATGGCTATTAATCAAATACGTTCATGAAGCTATGAAAATTCGTTTTAAATAAAAGTATTGGTGCTTTGGGGTTTAATAAAGGTCTTTTAATTTGATTTAAGTCTGTGAAGTAGAGCCTATTGATCATTTTGACGCCTACATTTTGATGAAGGTTTAGTGAAAGTGTTGTTTGGCGCAGAACAAAATACTGACTGAAGCACTAACTGCAATTTTGGCTCTAGGAGCATTCAACCACTCTCTCAATTCCTCTTGGAAAGAGGTTGAGTCACTCTCTAGCTTGAATTTGAATTCATTCAAGTGTTACATGATAATTAAACACGGAAATATGGCTGCTGGATTCCATCAAAACTTCTAGAATCCTGACCCAGAGATTTTACTGTGCTCTTCAATATGATGAAGGCCATGATTACATGCCCCATAACTGTGCACATATGTGTAACTAGAGCAGAGACATTCATCCCGTCAAAAATCGAATACGATCAACCTCCGTTGTTACGTTGTGTCACAAATATTTTCTTTTATGAGCCCTTGTGCGCAAGGCCAGTCAACATAAATGCTTCTCGGTCTACCACCATGACACTGTGCCCCTTAAGAAGTCCAGCCTTTTGATACATAGTTGATCCTTTTGCACCTGGTTTGTGGATATAAAGCAGCAGACAGCTATGATCGGTTGTAGTTCAGTCTTTCAACGTGACCGAGACTATAGCATGACTTACATACAGATTAACAGGAACATCCAGTATAGCTCTTTTGAAACCCGTGGTCACTTACTAGCTGATGATACATCTTTCAAGCCAGTAATTGCATCGGTATACTGCGCTAGTATACTATTGCTTTAAAAAGTGTGTTAGCCCAGATCCAGGCAATATTTGATCAGCGTCTACAGCTTGTAGTAAATTCTACACTTCGACATCGCTGAATTAATAATCTTGTCTCTTGTGAATTCATGAATATCATGGTCTAGATTAATGTTGATGCCAAAAATCGAAAAGATTATCGCGGATATTCAACCATATACAGATACCGTGTCTAGTGTGGAATTAATCCTGGAGTCGACTGTTTCGCTACGAGAGCTTTAGATCCCGGTTGCCTCATGAGCTTGGTAGCACTATATTTCAGTATTCAGTCACTTTTGGTTAACATTTTGTTACATATAGCTCAATTTTATGGAAACCAGACTAATTAATTGAAAACAATCTGGACAGACGTTTGCATTTGTTGACGTGTAAGTGTCAGAAGTGACAGGTTTGAAGTTTGAATTTTGTTCCAGGGGCATGCGGTAGGCTGGTTTTTCCCACCGGACATACAAGGAAGTGAGATCATCTAAAATCTTAACTAGAATTGCTTCTGTCTTTGCTAGGAAATCAGATGAAGCAAACGTTTTGTTGGGTTTTCCAGAAGCTATTTAGCTCAAGACACTGAGGGGTGGAATTCGTATGTTTCGAAATATCCTGTAGAATAATTTAAGGTGTTTGGTGGCCTACTGTAGTTCTTGACGTCTTGACACTCGGTGCTACAAGGCGTAAGTTATTTCAACAATGCTGCACTCTTTAATGAAGACTTGAGCTTTAGGGCTCGTTAATCGACAAGGCTACATCTTGTACATAATAGAAATTTTTCTATATGAATAACTTCTGTCTTCTATCGGGTCCAACTTCTATACCAGAAAGAGACAAAAAGCCTGTCAAGACCCAACAGTACAAACGATCTGGATCCTGCCAAGTTGGAGTTCCAGCCTGCGAACATCATTTGAATTTGACACTCTTCGGCGAACTACTTCTGTTAATCCTGAAGTGTACACATCGGAACTTGACCATGAGCTGTAGCTGAATTCGTCGTGCTTGTTACGATAATCCAGTTGTAGCTTAATATGAATTAAGCATGAATCGTTTCTGGCTCCCAAAGCTAACCTTTTGTTGGAATCTTTTGTCTGGTTGATGTCGATGTTTGATGACGATGGCGCCTGTTTCATTCTTTGCTTGAACAATCAAAAAGGGACCTATTTCCGTGGTGTCAAATGTTCCTTTTATTCCCGCAGTCCTATACAAATTGTACAACAAACTTCATATGCAAATCTTGAATTCTTGAAAAGAAAGAAAGACTTTCTGAGCACAAATCGTACGATATTTTGGCACCAATTATGAAAGCTCAGATGCCTTGGGGACGGCTGCGATGTACCCTTGATTAACCCAGTCCTTCTCAGTCGTGTGGGTCGTGAATATTCGTGAATCTTGGTTAGTGTGTGATGAGTCGTTCACAAGATCTCACTTAGATCTCAGCAAAGATACAACGATAGACTAGCTTCTGAATATTTTTCAATATGATGTTCAGCCAGTGATAACTAGTTGGGTTTATGTGTTGAAGACTGAATTGTAGCTGTTCAGTTTCATTTTGATGTGTACATGTAAAGCTTATAAATGCCACAATCGACATGGTACACCGTACAACTTCTCAAAGATGCACCACGGTCCCCTACTTTAGTTGAGCTAGCTGGGATCAAGTGTACAAATTCAGAAAAGGATACTAAAACGAGACAACATTAACGTCGTTCTTGACAAACGTTTGAACTTTGACTTTAAAATCGTTGAAACTTTTGATTAGTGTCCTGCACGTAGTGAATTTTGCAGAAGCTACGTAGGTTCCAAGGAGACTGCCATGAATTCCTTTCTAGCTGCCCTTTCAACAAGTGAAACATTGCAACCAACAACTTAAAACTGTCTGCCTAAATTTACAACCGGTTCTTTGGCTTGTTCAGTGAAACTGTCAATTTTCAACCGATCTCTTCGTGGTCATAGAAATTAGGTCCCGGCATTCAATTCTGTACACCCGTCTGTTGAACAATTGACAACCTCTTAAATGGTACAAATCATTCAAACCTTGCGATCTTTTTGATATTACTCCTGAATACCAATGTCAATTGTGTTAAAACGGATTTTCAAGCGTAAGTTTGAAAGCTAAAGACGGTTTAAAAAAAAATCATACGCTGCTTGATTTTGGGGGAGTTTGAAAGCTTTTACCACAAAGTTTACCCTTTTCGGAAATTGTTTGACAGAAACATGACAAGGGGCAGCATCTCGTAAACTTTATTTAGCCAGATTTTACCCGATACGAGGTGGCAGACCCCATAATTCTCGAAAACAACAAGTGTAGAAAAACAGTTTTCCCTGAAAATTTATTTGAAAGTAAACCATGGTTCGGAAAGTCTACACTAAAATTAAAGTAATAAATAAACATAACATTTAAAATGCTGAAGAAAAAACCGTCATTAATCATTATTAAAAGAGATTGAAGTAGATCTAGTCAAGATCCAACAGAATATCTCAAGAGTGTAACTCATTAAAAAGTTAAAGCAATATTTTGATCATTTTCTTTTAATTTCCTCAAAACATTAATTTTTCTTCTTCTTGCATTGATAAACCAGTTATCCAATTGCTGAATTGTTAATCTTGTCTTCATCAATAATTCATATTTTTCTCTTGAGTTTGGATAAGGTCTATCTAAATGTTCACTTAACCAACTCAGCAGTATTACAGTAGTTTGTCTTGGTAAGTTTTGTCTCTTCTTTCTCATATTGGATTTTTCTTTGCTCGAATCAGCAGCAACAACAACATCCACTGGAGAACTTGAAGATGATCGTGTTGAATTCAAGGAGCTTGGAGACAAATGTTCTGCACTCACTTGTTGTTGAGGGTAGAATTGAGGTAGCTGATGATGAGGTTGGAATTGTGGTGGTTGATGTGAATATTGGAAAGAGTTTGAGCGTGGTATCAAGTTTGTTGGTTGTGTACGCAATTGTTGTTCTGGTGTGGTCGATATTGGTGAGATTGGATTTGAAAATGGCGATTGGTAAGCTATAGGTTGTGGTTGTAGAATTTGTTGCTGTTGTTGTTGTTGTTGTGAAGGAGGTGGAGGTGGCAGAAGAGATGTTTCTGAATTTTGAGGTGTTGGTACTGGAGATGTTGATTTTAACAGTTCTCTAATTGGAGGTAGTGAAAACTGGGTATTGTTATTTTGTTGAACAATTACATTATTGTTGTAAGTATTAACATTCTGAAGAGGATATCTTGTAGGGTCAGGTAGCATTATTGATAAGTTTGCTCTATTGACATTGTTCATTGGTAAGTTTTCCACGGACATGATCCAAATAATTGTATGACAGTACTGTTGGAATATTTAAATGTATCTTATGAGACAGAAAAATATAAAATGTGAAAGAGGTGTTGAACTGAAAGCAGTTTATTATCTATGTCCCAAATAATCTGTCGAGCGAAGGAAATTAGGTACCATTGAAGGGTTTATATAGAATTTTTATGATGTGGTTCTTTCGAATCGATCATCTTACACATTTGGTATGTGTACATGTTTTAGCTTTGCAGAAAACCGATATGAAGTGTATGTAAGAAAAACAAAAAAAAAAAGTGCGGAAGTTGTTGCCCTTGACGGTGCATATTCCTGAATGTCCTAATTAGTAACAATACACTTCAACAGATCCGACGCCACCTTTTGTACCAACCTCAATACCAAAACCAAAGGGAAGGAGTCAAAAGAATTAGAGTCTAGGTAATGCTCATTCTCAAAGCTTGTTAAGATTTTTCGTTTCGCTTGGGAAGCTTTTCGAGATTGTTATATCAGAGGGTCCTTCAGCGCCACTATATTGGCATCTGTCCAGACTCCTGACTGCATCACGAACATTACGAAATTGTATCGACAACGCATGTACACTACACTCAAAGAAAAACCTAAATTTGGGCAAAACTATGAAAAATGACAAGCGACCACAGACCAGTACTGTAGGTACTATTTTTGTCATGTGTGTGTAGTTTGCCGATTGTTGTTGCAAATTTACGGATTGTTTGAAAGTTCTGACGAGAATTGAAGAAAATTAAAACGAAGAAACAATTAAAAGTTGACAATTCTGCAATAGGCTATTGGAACGTCTATGTTGGGCATGGATCGTTGTGTACTTGTAATTGACTTTCAATTCAATAGCTAGCCTTTTATTCCGCAAAATTCCCCCAAGATTTCAAAGCTATCCTTTGACGTATAACAGTGATTCAAATCCCCAATGAAATGAAAACACCAAGTCTTTCATCCAAGTTTCAATTAGTTGTAGTTACGTAGTAGCATAATACATTCAGTATACCGGTGGTGTTTGTTAGCGCGGTGGAAACCTTCACCAGATTCAGCTTAGCATAGGTTCCCGTACGGTGGTCCTGACAGGGAACAAAATCCACCAATCCCGGTTTCTCTAATTTTACCTTATCATGCCGCGAACATTGCGATCCACTTTCAACTTTGGATAAAACATATTACACAGTAAGCTATAATGTATTATCTCAATGATTTTGTTGAAGTACTGGTTCTCTTTTCAAGATATACATGATTCCTGAACTCCCCAGGTCCCAATTTGCAAGCGAGGAGTCTGGGAAAGGCTTCCAGCAAACAGTTTTGTTGGGTCAACCAGTCTCTGTGAAGTATGCATATGGTAACTTACTCGTAAATGCAGAAGCGCTACATGTTACATATGAGTGGGTTTTTTGAAAGCCCTTTTCAAATCTTCGGCTGCTGTAATCATGACAGGTGAGTTAAAAAGAAAGGACAAACCCAGGTTCAAACTTCAAACTTCCAAGTTTTGTTGGATCATTTCCAAAGCTAGTTTTAGTTGACTGAACTTAGGCGTACTACCCCGAGTCTGATCAAAAAGATTGATCTTGGTGATAAACTTGTATAAACAACTTGAGGAGGACGACCGAACAGCTCACGAGTCACAACCTCATTTCAACTATTCATACAACCGATCTCTGTGTCCTACATGGGAAGTTGTTTCGCCTTTGACCTCTACTACACATCGGTACGTATGCTGTCTCCGTTGAGATCTGAACAACCCTTTCTGTGACACGTCTGTTGGTTCATTGTATTTACCAAAAATGGAAGTACCCGCAAACCTATCAAAAGCTTCGCGATCATGTGAAGAGTCAAGACGATGATGTAGTATACATAGAATTTCAACCTTGAAGATTCGGTTGTTGTATAACGGAATTTTAAATAGGATAGTTTGCAGAATTGTCAACTGATCAGGATTCAAAAGATAAAAATATACGTGGCATTTGTATGGAATAGGTGTCATTTATGTACGCGTTCATCTCAAATATTTTTTAAATACAATTATTCAGCCGACAGAGGACTTACTTCTACAATCGGGTGGAGATACAAACAATATACATACATTATCAAGTACTCGGTCGAAGTTGAATTAGATGAATCAAAACCAAGGTGTGTTACAATAATACTGGTTCTTGAATCTAACTCGTAACACAACTCTATTAATATGGGTTATAACTTATCAATTGGTCTGGAATATTCTGAATCATTTTTGGCCAGTTTTGACGTCGACCCACAATATTAAGACTAGTACAAAATCAAATCTCTCAACTGGTCCCAGCTGTTGATTAGTTCTGCACAGTTCAAACTTCACACTACTACAATTGGTAGTCAAATTGCAAAAAACCAGCTGTACACTCGACCAGAAGATCATCTTCACTTTCGAGTCAACGACGTCTCGTACGCACTAAACTGATATATACATACCTCATACTTCAAGCTGGTTCGGACATTGTGTGAAGATAGTCGACTGTAACGTTCAAGAAAGCGCATTGTTATGCCTTGATCATACTACAACTCTGTGTAGGGAACGTTAATTAATAATAACTTACAACTTATAACACGTCCGGATTCTTGATCTGTTTGAGTACATATCCCCATGATATTTACTAGTTGCAATCTGTAAATTATTTCTTAGGACCCACTCGTATCGAAACTTTGACTTTAGGCTTTAGCTTCGTACACTGGTTCACATGCACTAGGCTCAAGTTTCAATTGACCGATCTGCTTTTATCACGGCTCGCCAGCTACAGCACTTAATCCGGTTATAATAATAGTGTTTTTATATACTAATACTGTAGGTGTTTTTGTATTGAAGTTGAGTTGGAAGAAACCTTGGGTCTATTTGAAGTCGAGTGAATTCTGAAAACTTACAGAGGTTAAAGCCGACGGACTTGACCAATCTCAAGCATTCGGCCTAATTGTTCTAACATGTAACCTTCACAATTGAGTAGTTTCATCTCTTCGAATTGTCAGAGTTCGAATACTACATGAGCTGAATATTCTCTTTCCCATGTGGTTGTCGACCGTTGTACCTTTTCAGATGGATACTTGAAATGAATGTGAAGTGTGGTATTCTTATCAGTACACTAGTATTTGATAGGCAACTTGATTCAAATTGTGTGAATTCTAATGTAGTGACTAGTCTAGTAGTTATAACTTCTAGCTGGGTTTTTGGCCTTATACGTTGCGTTCGGAAAATTGTATGATCAAGGTACACACAGTTTCACCCAAAGTTCCTCTGATTGGAATCTATAAACACCAGAATGCTACTTAAAACTAAAACCATCCAACAAAAAGTCTCTTCACAATACCACATTAATTCATAGATCGGTCTTCAAGAGTACTTTGAGCCTGTTCTGTAACGTCTGTTCCACAAACGCCTGTAATTCATCATGATGAATCAAACCTGCTGTCATGTGGGCAGCTGTGCCTGTCGACGTGTCCCTGTAAATTCCCTGTCATCTTCTAGCGGAGTTGAAAGTTTCAGGCAAGCGAGGATCTCCGCTTTGCACAGATTGGGCGGTTCGTGGGCAGCTGTCAATTCGGTCTCCAGCGGGAATAGGTGGATTGTTTCAAATGTAGCTGGGCGGTGAGTAAAGCATTTACACATGGATCATAATGATTCTTCAATCACGATTCATATTGAGCTTTAGGATGTCTTAACTCTTCATAGCTTCTTCCCAAGTCCAGCATCTAGTAGTACGATGTGTCGCATCCTGGAAGCTTTGTAGAGTTTTATTCTTTCAGATTTTCGTGTACTACGCAAATCAACCGTCGATGTTTCATTACGAGATGGATCATGGCATAGTACATACTGTACCACAAAAACTTTGCAATCTGATGAAGATTAAGCTAGACAAAAATTTTGCAAGCCGTAGGTTTGTATCGTGTAGGTCCTTGGGATACTAGGCCGCTTGATTTAATAGCTTGTGTAGTGTGTGAAGTGCGAACCGCAGCTGAAACTTGAGAGAAACATGTAATTCTAGAATTTTAGTATCTTGTTGATTCACTAACGACCAGAAACTGTCACTATGTTGACCTAAAACGTACAAGTTAGCTATAACCGGTATTGTTCCACCACTTCATTCCCCATGTACCTGTTGCAAGAAAGACACAAATAACTCTCAGAACTACAGCTAACAATTCGAAGTAAAGATTTATATAGATTGACAAACTACTCTATTAACTTGATGGGTTTACTATAAGTGATATCAAACGCATCACAAACCATAATGATATCTAGTTCCAACCCTTGAAGATCTTCTGGGATAGTTAGATCACAACTCACAATACCTTTTGAATAACCTTTACGAATAACAGGAGCAGCCCTTTTAACGAGAAGCAATTCTTGGTTAGTTCTATCAGCCAAAATAACAAACCATGATTCTTTTTGTAGCTTTGGGAACTTAGCACACAACATTTTGAAATCAGGGTTGACAGGTGGATTTGTATGTTGCAAAGAAACATGTAGTTCTTCTGGTGAGTCTTGAAGAATGGAAAATTCACCAACAGGTAAATGTGAGACATTATAGATCAAATCCTTTTTGAATTCCGCATGAACCTTTAACCTTTTTGTGAAATTATCCAGTTTTCTGCCATGGAAAGTTCCAAGTTCAGCTAATGTGGTTAAATGTTTACTTCCATTCTCATTTTTGGATTCTTCCTTTTCATCATCTCCAACAACAACAATATCAGAAGCAAGAGGATTCAGTTCCTCACTTAAACCATCTGGCGCAAACCCTGAACGGCGACGTAAGTCAATCCCAGGTAATGCTGAGACGGGATCATCATCAAACCAGCACCCTTGCTTAACACACTGCATAATCTTGATAAACATCAAAACAGTATTCAAGTACCCAAGCTCTGAAGCAACATCAATATATGCTTGTAAAATACGTAATGCTTGATCCAAAACAGAAACAGTATCTTGAGAGTAATCAGCAATTGGTAAATCAACTCTACTCATAAAGGCCTGTAACAATAAGAAAGTCTTAACATGGGGATCCCAAATTGGCTTATCAACCAAATCTTCAGCTGGATAACGTAATTGAGCAGACATTTCCATATTCATCAATTCTTCACCATGTCTTGTTGGTAACTCATTATATTCTGTTGCCTCAGCTAACCATCTCAAACAATCCCTGAATGAAGCATCACTGGTAATTTGATTGACCAAATTACGAATAGTTAAATGTGAAAGATAGTAATATGATGAGATAGTCAAATAAGGAGTTGGGGTTAAAACTTTTTCACCAGCAATAACACAACTTGACTCTTTCAAACTTTCAATAGTTGAATCAATCAAGTTAGATAAATATTGACCAACACCTGCTGTTGAAATATCTTGGATATCATAATATGTAGGATTATTATGAGCTCTTCTATACAAGAAGGTCCATGTCAAGAAATCCATAGCATCTTGTCTAGTCTTGATTGTACCAGCAGCAATTTCTGCACCAATATGGTTATCTAGAACTTTATGTAGTGAAGACTCAACAGGGAAACCAACGTTCAAAAAGTGTTTATAAAACATCTTCTTTGATTCTTTTGTGTAAACAATTGCAATACCACTAGTATCATAAGCTGGACGACCTGCACGACCCATCATTTGCAAAATATCAGTCAAATCCATATCTCTGTAGGCTTCAATTTTGGCATCAAAGAATTGAGTACCTTTAATAATAACCAAATGGGCAGGTAAATTGACACCCCAAGCTAAAGTACTAGTGGCAATCAAAATTTGAATTTTGTTGGCTTGGAATAACTTGTGACTAATCTTACGATCACTATCAACCAGACCAGCGTGATGTAAACCAATCCCAAATTGCAATGCCAACCGTAGAGTTTCATCTTTAACATCAGCCAACACATCTTGTAATTCGAATTCATCCATCTTTAAGAACCGACGGGGATTATCCTCCATACCACACAAATGGATCAAGTCTAAAGCTGTAAGACGAGTTTGACGACGTGAAGCAACAAAAATTAGAACTGGTTTGGTAGGAGAGTGAGCTTTGATAGCCATGAAAGCAGGCTTATTCATGGTTTTCATCAATGGACAGAAAGCCAAATTATCTTGGAACCCATCAATATACATCTCTAATGGGACTGGACGGACAGATTGTGGGAAATTAAACAAGCCTTCTTTAACACCTAACCAGCCTGCCATGTCAAAAGCATTAGACACCGCAGTTGACATACCTAATAAACGAATTGGGTTTTTAGTTTGAGATGAAATATAATTCATACGACTGACAATCATCTCCAAGATTGGACCACGATCACTGGCTAGTAAATGGATTTCATCCATAATAACCAATGAAACCTGTTGGACAAACTTACGTGTCTGCCAGTTACGTGATATACCATCAAACTTCTCTGGTGTTGTAATAATGATGCTGGCCTCTTTAACCTCTTTTGCTGCAGGAATGGAATCACCAGTCAATTCAACAACTTTATGACCAGTCTTTGCAGTTAATCTTTCTCTCCAATCATCAACCCTTTCTCGAACCAAAGCTTTCATAGGAGCAATATATACCACTTTTGACCCTGGAAATTCATCAAAAGCATGCCATATAGCTAATTCAGCAACAACAGTTTTACCTGAACCAGTTGGAGAACCAACAAAAGCACTTGAGTTGGAATTATAAAGCGTGTGAAATGTCATTGTTTGCATAGCATTGAAATATCTGAATTTTGGTGAATAGATTGCTTCAACTTTTGGATTATGCAAAGCAGTAACTGGAAGTGGTTGTAACTTCAAAAGTTTAGTTTGCAAAGTCTCGTTATGAGGTCTGATCAAATGTTGAAAGGAAATGCTATGTGTAGTTTCTGAGCCGATCCAGCTATCAGAAATAACACGAATGACAATCTGAGGTGGTAATGGGTCTGCCAATGGGATCATAAAATCCATTTCATGAGGATTTTTCAATTGTCTTTTATTCAAAATGAATTTTTCAAAATGCAAAATTTGGGACTTATCAGATTCCTCAACTAATACCCAAAATATTTGTGCATTACCATGATATTTCTCATCCCACGCAAAATCAGGTTCCAATGTGACATGTACTCTCATGACATTTCTTGTAATTGGAAAAATCTCACCATCAATCAAAATATGTGGTAATCTTCCCACTAATTTGTACAGGGTGGAGCCCATCTTATTATTATGAACAAGATCACCAAGCTCTCTAGAATCCATTTGTCTCAAATCATCAGTAGAAGGGTTCTTAGCTTCAATATTTCTTATGATTTGCTGTGGTAAATCAAATTGTTTTAAAGGATGTTCAAATGACCATAATCTTCTTTCAATTGACTTACAAATTGATAGCAAAACTTTAGCAAAAACACCCCATCTTCTATGGATTCCAATTAAAAACAAGGCACGACAGATTCTGATAGAATTTTGAGCAACATAGTTTGAGTCTGAATATAATGCAGAATCATTAATTGAAGCTTGTGAGATAAATGCCTGTAGAAGAATGTTTGTCTTCCCTGGGGCTGTAGATAACTCAGCACCAATTTGGCATTTAGCTTTATCTTCCAATAATTTAGTCAACTCAACAGCTTCTTCTTCCCTAAACTTTATACTATCAAATTCACTACTCATACTGATCATTGATAAAATATCTGCCTCAGTGGCATTTGGACTGCATATTTGATTGAAAATTTCAACACTGTCATTCAGCAAGTAAAAATCAGAAGCAATTCTACCCAAATCTTTTGAAACAAAGTGCATTGATCTTTCATCAAATATAATCATTTGCAATAGGTGTAACCTTCTAGCTGCGCTAATGATTAGCTGTGTCCTTCTCTCAACTAGTTGTGGATCTTCAGCTAGTTCTTTCCAGTCAATACCATAAGCAAAGGGATTCTGTCTCATTCTAACAAACATGTAAGTAAATCCTAGCCATTTAACACCTTCATCAACATTGGTAACTGTACCTAAGGATATTTCAGCGTTCAAATTATCCACCAACTTATCCGATAGCTTAGACTCAATAGGGTGCTGTGAAGTCAACAATCTCACATAGTCATCCAACTTATCACTCGTTGTACACAAGATACCAGTACCATACTTCTCATATTGAGGTCTACCAGCACGACCGAAAATTTGGATAACATCAGAAATTCCCAAATCTGCGAATCCACCTTTTTTCGAATCATAGACTTGAGTACCTTTAACAATAACAACAGCAGCAGGAAGATTCACACCCCAAGCCAACGTAGCAGTACAACATAAAACTTTGATAGCACCACTTGCAAACATTTTTTCGGTCAAGTTACGATCAGTACGCAACATACCTGCGTGATGAACACCAAACCCGTATTGGAAAAGCTCACGCATATCTTTGTTATGATTCTTTCCCATCTCACGAGTGAATTTATCATGAGATTCTGAATCAGTACAATCAAAAACCCCCAGTTCATTATTTTCCTGGGCCATACTTATGAAGGTTCTGGCAGTTTTGAAAGTATCTTTTCTCGAATGAACAAATACCATAACTTGAGCCCCGTTGTTTAGTTCTTCAATTAATTTATCATATGAGACCCTATCAATGTTTTCCCTGGCCTGTCTAGTACCGGCTTTACCTCTGACACCAATCAGTTCTTGTTTCAATGGAACAGGACGGAAAGATTGATCAAAGAAAAACATACCAATTTCTCTATTGACTCCCAAAAAGTCTGCAACATCAATGAAATTGGGTAATGTAGCCGATAAACCAACCACTCTAATCATTGATTGTGTACTTTCAACTTGGCGTAAAGTACGAGCCACTAGAGTCTCAATGACAGAACCACGATCTTCGTGTAACAAATGAACCTCATCAATGATCAACAACTGAACTTTTGATACCAGTTCATTATCACCATTCCCTTTACGTGTTACAACATCCCATTTTTCAGGGGTAGTAACAATAACTTGAGTTGTCAGAATTTCTGCCTTTGTCAATTGCATATCACCTGTTAACTCTCTAACTTTAATACCCAACCATGCCAATTTCTGGCTAAACTTTTCCACAATTTCAGCAGCCAACGCTTTCAATGGCGCAACGTAAACAATTTTGAATTCACTGTAATCAATATCTATTGTATCTTCAGTCTCTGTTGTAAATTGTCCTATTGTGTGTAAAATTGTCAACAACGCAACATCAGTCTTACCAGCACCTGTTGGAGCACAAACTAGCATATTCTCATTTGTATTGTAAGCAACAGGATAAACTAAAGACTGCATACGATTCAATGAAGTATACCCTTTAAACGTACCTTGGCATAGTGTATCAAGATCGCTTATAAAGACGGGTCTCTCATGGGCTTTCTTCAGTCTTTTACTGGCTTGAGTTGGTATAACTATCTCCTCGTAGTTTTCGTGCATCTCTCTTGTTGAACCCACCGGCAAAGTGAACTTCTGCCCATTGAACGCCATCGTATTACCACCATCGAAAGCCTTGTAAACATTTGGGTATTTCTTAACAGTTTCTGCTGGAGCCAATTCTTGCTTCTTAGCTAAGGTTTGATTCCGTTTCACTTGTTTTCTAATGTCTCTCTCAGAAAAAAACTCTTTTTGAGCCTTTGGTTGGGCAGATTCTTTAGACATATCACCAAGTATCGCATCTTTATCTGTTATGATCGTCGATATCAGATCAAACTCTTCAAAGCCTAAAATATCAAAAAGTAATGACTGCAAGCTATCTGGTGAACTTTCTGTAGACAATGTGGAAATAATTGAGTCGATCAAATCTAGCTTGCTGATGTCTTCCCTAGAGTCAGCGATTCTTTCACATTCTTTAACAAAAGAATCGTACGCATTTGAATCATTGGCTTCGTCAAAATCCTCGAGATCTGAAATTTCGTCACTGATTTCTTCAGCTAGATAGATATCATCAAACTTATCAAAATAGCTGAGGTCAATTTGGTGTTCTTCGGTATCAATCTTTGGGGTGGCCAATTTTTCTGCAGCTTCATCCAGCTTCTCCAATGCATCCACCATCGCTTGCATGGCCTTCATATATGACCCAGTGGAGGCCACTGAGTATTGAGTCGCCATAAAAGTAGAGTTCGACTAGCGTTGGCTATTCTTGTAGCTGTACGGTGTTCAACAAAAGTTGTTGTTTTGGTTCTACTTGTGTAGCTCTTGTTTTTCAATTTTTTGAAAGAGCTCTGCGTAGTCATGTGATCTAATATCTGACAGAATCTCCGTTACTGTGTATATAGATGGAAATACCGATATTCTATAAATATACATATAATGTTACAATAAGTGGAGTTTTGATTCTTCTTCTAGTAAATGTGAAATGTTTAGTATTGATGAATTGTGCATAGTAGTATTTCTGGTACCTGACAATATCCGCTATAGGTATCTGAATATGGGCTCTAGTTGATTTTCTGTAATCTAATTTTATGTATTTGAAGCATTGACAATTGAGGATCGGCTAGCCGGCTCTGTGGTACCATGAAAGCTTTTCTTAGATATGAAACTCCTTTGTTAAGTTTTATATATTCATAGCTATATAATATTTTGCTTCTCAAATAAATAATATTTGATGCTGAAGCTGTGCTTACTTCTAATATAATTTCCAGGTTCATAAAGCTGCATTCATTCTCAGCTCCTTTAAGCTAGTGGTTCAGTCACCGTAGAATCAACTAATTAGCAAACCATATATTTTAGGACTAATTCATCAAGGCGCTGACAAGTATATTAATTAATAATATATATATAGGAATATCTAATTGGTGATTTCCACAAATTTTACAATAATTCGACATGTTCCAATTATAACAATGGCCAGCTTTTTTAGTTCATCCTTACTTGTTTTTATTCTGCTTTATCGGCCCTTTTCTTATAATATATTATAAATATATCAGTCAATATAGTCGACTGATCATGATGAGTCCCCAGTACGTCGTCTATTTTTTTTTTTTAATGTATCTGATGTGTATTTATAAAATGCTAAAATAATGTACAAAATCACTGGTGATTTAAATATTGTACATCATTTAATTAGCATTCTATAAATATACATGTACATGACCAGATCATCTTACCAATATTATTATCGTCGACAGTTTTTTGGATGTTAATCCTCATGAGTGCAACACTAGGCGCAGCTAGTGAATAATAATTAATTGTTTTAAATATATACAAGCGAGTGAGAGCCTTCGGCTTGTGTAGACTTAGGCGAGATTTGGAGGAAAAGCATCGAGCTACAATCCGAATTCAAAGGACTCACTCATGTGAAGACAAAACAATATTTGACTTATTAAGAATTTCCAACAATATATTCTGGGTCAAAAATATCATATTTACGTGATGGCCTTGAAACATTGAGTTATGAGCTTTTGAGTTGTATGAATCCATTAAAGTACCCAGCATCATACTCATGACTTGTTTATCAGCATTATCAATTCACCAGTACATCCTGCACCCTACACCACCCGCAGAAGCTTCATCTATTAGAGCATTCTCAATCCACCAGTACACCCTACAACACACCAGCAGAAGCTTCATCTATCCCATTCTTGAAAGCATTCTCAATTCACCAGTTTTTCTATAATACCCAACACCATAGTCGACATTTATTCAGTATTTCCCAGCCCACCAGCACACCCTGCAGTGTCATCATGGTACCCAGACACTCAGTAAAGCCAGGATAGTACCTAGACACCCTCTGCAACACCAGTAAGGTGCCCAACACCATAGTCAACACCACTTCAGTTTGCTCAATTCACCTGTACACCAAACACTCTACAACACACCAGCAGAAGTGCCATCTATTAAAGCATTTGGTTAAAGTATGAATGTGGGATACCCTCTAAAAACTCTCGTCATTTATCGACATTTCCCAAACCTCAGCATATGAAACTCTGAAGCAACACCATAAACATCACATCTTTAGCATTTTCAATTCCAACATCCAACGTCTTTGAAATTCTGCCACCCTAAGGGTATGAATTTGGAAAGTAACTTGGCACTTTGATTGAGTAGTAATGAGAGTAAGTGGTGAGCTACCTTGGAGACATTGAGTTAATTGTTAACATTTCAAAACATCAAATCACAACAGCTTTGGTTCATTTATAAACATTCAACTGTCTAGTCCATAGATTCAATTCAAAGGACCCATTGTGATCATGAAAAACCAATTGGCGACGTATTAAGAGCATCTCATTTTGTCTATTTGATTTTCATAGACGTTGATGTTGAAAAAGTGTTTACATTTGTTTTTCTCACGCCATCTTGAATCGGAGGTCGGAAACACTAAAACACCAACTTTGAACAGCAATAAGTCGAAAACTAAAGCGACAACAGGGTCTCATATTACAGGACGTTCATATTGACGTCGAACCGATTCATTCCATGTAGGTCTCATGTTCGAAATAATTTTTTGCCCCTGCTTTTAAAATTTCTATAATAATATTTAGATACATAATCACATATAACGGGCTGATTCATTTTTTTGAAAAATTCACGTTTTTCTTGGCTGGGAGGGATTATGTAATCAATTCACTGCAAATTTTTTGTTGGGAAAATTTTTGTCTCGCTGGGACATTGAGCCAATCTAGAATGACGTCAATGTCTCCAAAGCAGAAAGACAAGAAGACAAGCCAGTCACGGGATCAGTCGCGAGATAAGTCACGAGGACAGGCACGTGAGAGCTCAACCGTTTAGAGTTTAGGTCCTAAAATCTAGAATGACGTATTTAAAACGGTTTCAATTTTACGAGCTTGTTATTTTTAGATTGATCTAATCTGTATTGTTGGAATCTAGAATCTAGATCCAACTCAAGCTATATAAATATATACTCTATTTATTGGTATAAGCTGTTGTAGAGGGTAACCTTTTGAAAATTGGCCGAAAAAAACCAGGAATTGATAGACTTCAAAAACGCGTTTTAAACAAACCTTACAATTACCACTCACGAGAGCCAAAAACCAACCCAAGCAAAAACATCAGATACTTACCAGCTATAATGTTGTTGAAACTAAGCTAATAATGTTAGTAAACTGGAAAAGAATTGATATCAATCACAACAGAATGTCGTTCTTGAAAGCAAAAAAAAAACATACCTAAAAAATCAAGATGAACAACTCAAAAGCTTCACAAAGCAGCTGTAACCAATGAACCTAAGACCAAATGTCAAACTGTTGACTAGCATCAACCCACAATCAATCCACTACCATCTGTCCCATCATCAGTGGCAACTCAATACCCCCCGAGCCAAGGAACCCACTCACCATCAAAACATTCCTATTGGCATAGTTAATAATTGAAGCTAATGTCACCCAACCTTCAGCAGCACTCCTTTAAACCATTCACCCTCATAAACAACAGCGTTGATCACCACCAGAATGACAACTAACAACCTCTATGATTCACCATACCATATTCCAGTACCAATAGCACCCCTGTTATGGTTAGTATTATCTATTCTTATGAATAAGACCACATAGTTAAGGAATACTTAGTCAAGTTAAAAAAAATTGGTGGAAGAAGGAAACAAAAGAATAGTGAAAGAAAACTGGGAAAGGACCTATATTTATATTCTTTGAATTTTGAGAGAATGTTCAACTTAGTACCAGGTCATTCAGTCGTACCACTTGCAATGCTGCAATCCTATTGGAACGGATGTGTTATTTTCAGCTGTTGTGGTGGGTGATTTTTTTGACCGTGATGTTGACCGTGATGTTTTGTAAACAACGCGTCGGGATGAAAACTAACATGACCACAAGAAAACAAGTTTACAGCAACAACCAGTTTACATTGGAATAAACAAATATAACCACTGAATACGTTGCCTCATGGGCTTCAAAAAGAACCCTGTATTGATATATTTTCTGTTAAAATTGAGTAAACATCGCGCTGAGCGTATACTTCTACTATAGCCTAAAATGCACTAAACGCGGCAGAGCTTTTCTCGACCAGATCAAGCTCAAATCTAACAGTTGAAGCTGGAATCATATCTTCATATGCTAGTCTACCTACCATATTTATCCCAGCCATCTCAAGTTTTTCTGTCGTTGTCTAGAGTATTTTGAAGTGTGTTGTTTACATTTCTTAACATCGCGCTAACAAAACATCTGGCACGTGACCGTGCTGCCCCTACCGAAAGTCTTTGACAAAATTCAAAAAAACAAGACACTGGAATGGTTTTTTGAAGTAATTTTAATTTTGGTGTTAATTTTAGAGCTTTCTCTATTGATTTATGTAAGAATTATTCAATTATATGAACTTTTAAAATTTAATGTTTTAGATGAACAAGTTTTTCAAGTTAAATTATAAAATAATACATATATTAAATTCCTCTAATTTATATTTTCAAGTGTAAAATTTCAATTAATTCTCCTGCTTTTAAAAATCATCTTTTTGGCAAAATAAAGAGCTTGTCTTAAAGCCTGGTTTCTAAAGATTATTTTAGTATAAATTTCAAATGGGGTTGTCTCCGAATATTTAATACTTATTTATAGGTGTATGTTTTCATGTCCGGTAATGAATCCTGTTGTGCCCAGTGCTTTGTCCTGTAAATTTGCCCTGTAATTTGTCATGAAGAAAGCCCTGTAAGAGCCTGGGGCTGGGCCTTCTTTCTCAAAGAGCAGCGAAACGCAACCTTTCCTTTTTGGGCCAAAATATTTTCAAAATTCAAGACACGAAAAAAAAAGTCGAAGCTTCTATGAAAGACGATTAAGAGGCCAAACAACAACATTGAGGAACTGTTAGGTTACCCCAGAAGCTCATTAGGCTATAGAGTTGCCAATTGTCAAATGATTCACGTACTTGTTTGATTTAAAGCTGCCATGTTTTGGTGAATTGAGACCAAAATGTCAACATCAACTAAATCGATAAAGTCATCAAATACTTCAACTAATATCGCCAAACAAAGCACTCAACCACTTCAACCTTTCATATATGATCAGTGATACAGCCAATGACCCTCGCAGTGAATCAAAATAGATCTTTAGAGAACTACAGATACTATGAATTTGAATCAGGTAAGCCATTTAAATTACAAGCCCTAAAATGATTGATTATTCGTGTCATAATAACAACTTAGAGTCAAGGTCAACCAAGTATGATAGCCTTAAACATAAAGAAAGGTTTACATCCTATTTGCAAGACTTTAAGGCTACTTAATGGACGCTGTTCTCACAAAAACCTGATAGCATAGAAATTGTACCAAATTCAACGCGAAACCACCAGCAAGACAAATGTCCAACCACCTAAGGACAAAAAAACAAATGAACTCCAAAAAATCTTGTTTTTGGTGGCAAATGAATGCGTAGTACCCACTCAATGAAGATACATAAAAATCATTACTCAAAAGTGTTTTGGTGTTCTTTAAAATCATGTTGAAGTTTCTTCAGTTTTGGACAAATGTCTTTTTCGAGCCTTTACTATGGAGACATAGTTGGGACAATAGATCCAAATTACAACCACAAAACCTACAATCTCAAAACTTATAGTGTAGAAAGATATGCCAATTAAAAAACAGGATATCGAATTAGGAGATCAAAAAACCAACTCGTTGTTGTTTTATTCGTTCTCAAAGTGGACCTGTTTTTCGAGCTTGAAATCACTTTGATTTTCACCAAAAAACCCTGGTTCCGGCAACATTTTTTTTGTTTTTCAAAATTTGTATGGGAAATCGATTTTTCTCCGAAAAAAATGAATCAGCCCGTTATATGTGAATTATTAATAAAATTAATATTAATATTTAATTATTTATAATTATTTGGAATATTAATTTTAATTTTTTTATAATTTTAACGTAAATAATTTAAATATCTACGGCGGCCCTAGTTCGATTGCAGCTTTTACCTAAATTCGTATTGGCTTGTATCATTGTATAATTAGCTGTATCTATATAAGGAGAAAGTAAGAAATATTATTCTATAAGGGCGCTAGCTCATAAAAATATGTCTAATATAAATACTTGATATATTGCAGAATCGAATTACCGGCCTAGTACAATATTTCAGGCGGCACTAGCTCGTGCGTAATATTTGGATTTTGACATGAGTACCTCATCTTATAATAAGTTCATCAAATAGATTATAACTAAAAAAAAATCTTGCTTGATCATGATCATGAATAATATTAGCTCAAGTACGTCCTTTTAACGTCGTAGATGACGTTTGTACGCTGCCGGAGAGGATTTTTGTAGTACTTTTTGTAGCTCCAACGCTCCAACGTCCACGTAACTACACTGGATCAGTATTCATAGATCTTGAAAGTGTATTATGGTTTATAAGAGTGTGCAATGTGCAGTGTGCACTGTTATACACGTAGTGTACGTGAGCCTATGCTTCTGTTTTCCTGTCCATGCGGCCATATGCATCATGACCGTTTGGACGTTTGGACGTTGGGATTGCAACCTGCATGAAACCAAAAAAGACTTTTGAAATATGGACAGGTTCCAAGAACTTCAGTCTTCCAACTTCCAACTTTGACTTGACAAGTTGAAAAGTATGTACATTTGTTTCTCCTTTGGTAACAAGACTCATGATCTCATCCTAGACATGTACAAGTGGAAGAAACATTTGAAGAAGCCTTAGTCACTTTATCCCGTTGGATCAATATTTTTTTGGAATTCAGTAATTTAAAGTTGGTTATTTTTTTGAAAGGTACACCAATTCCAAACAAAGAAGCGGTAACTGTCAGTTCGGTTCACAAGGATATTGGGAGTTGAAAAACTCTCATATGTAGGACTAGATTTGAAGGGTCATGTATTACAAGTATACGTATATGACTTGGGAGACGGGTCCACCCTGCTAATCAGAAGCATATACGAATCACGATTCATGAACATCAACTAAAACTGGAACTCCCAGAGTCCAGACTACGTTATACTTTGCAATGAACATCAAAGTATATTTCTTTGCTCCAAAGCCCAAACCTGTGTTTCCTGTTGGGGTGCTAGTTTGGAAATCTAAGAAAAACGTTATGTACAAAAACAGCTTTGGTTGTAGCTTTTCCTTACATGCATTTAAAATCAATAGAGTTTCAGTTGCTTAATTCAAATGAAGTCTAGTCAAATTAATAGCCGTCAAAGCAAAAATATATAGCATGACAACATCTCTAAACATAGTGGTTACTTATAGTTAGAGCTAATTTTTACTTATGGCAAATATTGAGAAATTAACATTCGAGCTTTTTACTACAGTGGACGAGTTGTAACATACTCCTCAATGTGTACCTTTTTTTGAACGCTTTTTAATCGATACGAAGTTTGATGGAAGCTTTGAAGTGTACTATGCCGGCCGACATTAAGAAAGATGAAATCTCTTGTATTTATGAGCACAAATAACGGCGACATTGAAGAGTTTTGATATTGGAATCTGGAAACCATCAAATAATTTTACAAGACTATTTGAATTTTTACATAGGACTTTTCAAAGTGATACCTAGATTGAGTCCAAAATACACCATATACCATGCTTATAATTGAGAAATCAAAGTCTACCTGTACCACCTTACCTTTCGCTCAGTTTACCTCTTTCCTTCTCTTCGAGGCGTGAGTTCCCACATATTTCACAATGAGATGATCAAGCAGCCATAAAATGTGTGAGCTAAGTGATTCAATAGATCAGCTTGAAACTTTTAGCCATTGGCTTGTGGACATTAGACTCAAGTTCTTATTTCAAAGTGGGCTGCTTCATTATTTTTAGGCTCCGTCTTGAATTTTGTAGCTAAAAACATTTCACTGAGATCTCTGCATACTGTATACAGTTGAATAAATAGACTAGTCTTTGGTTAGCTGCTGGTATATTTCATGAAGATCGTTGACCATTAAATGGTTTTCGATCAAAAAAGAGGTTTTAGGAGTGGAAAGCTTGAAAGTTGAGATGAAAGAAAAGTTCAATTACAGATTCTATTCGCGGATGTTGGAAACGCCACAGTTTTAGATAAGAGTCAGAGATCAGAAAAATCTGATGATAAAAAAATATTCAACACTAAAAAACAATAAATAGGCTTTAACACCGATACTATTAACAAATAACCCCCTGGTACCAATTAAACCAATAAGCAGTATGACAAAGAGATACTCAAGAATTGCAATCATAGGAGGTGGTCCAGTCGGATTAGGCGTTGCAAAAGCATTAGGATTGGAAAAGTTTCCTCAAATTGATTTATTTGAAAAGAATTCAAAGTTTGGAGGACTTTGGAATTATGAAGGTCCAACAACTACACGTCCTTCAATTCCTAGTGTCCATCATTCAGACCCTGAATTCAATAACGATGAGAAGAGTCCAATGTATAAATACTTAGAAACTAATATCACCAAAGAGATTATGCAATACAAAGATTTCCCATTTCCTGAAGAATGCGAAACTTTCCCTACTAGACAAGAAGTTTTACAGTACATTCAAAACTATGGAGAAACTCTTTCTACAGATGTTAATGTTTTGTTCAATTCAAATGTTTTGAGTGTGGAGAAAATTGATGATGTTTGGAAAGTTGAAGTTACAATTGATGGAGGAAATATAGAAACTAGAGAATATGATGCAGTTGTGTTGGCTAATGGTCACTATAATCAACCTTATATCCCTGATGTTGAAGGATTGAAACAATGGAATAAATTGGAAGCAGGGAGCATAACACATGCTAAATATTTCAATGAATCCTTAGATTTTAAAGATAAGACAGTCTTAGTTATTGGTAATTCTGCCTCGGGGTTAGATATTGCTCTTCAGTTGTCCACTGTTGCTAAGAAAGTTTACAATAGTGTTAGAACACCATCGCCAGTTGCTGATATCAAGATCCATGGAGTTGAAGAGATTGGAGAAATTGTGAAATATGATTACTTGAATAGCAAGACTGTTGTTACTAAAGACGGTGCACATTATAAAGACATTGATGCTGTCATATTTTGCACAGGGTATTTGTACAAATTCCCATTCTTGAAGTCATATTTAAGCGGTGATGATGCATTGTTGACAAATGGTGAGCGTGTTAGAAGGTTATATAAACATTTATTCTATATTCCTGATCCAAGTCTAGTGTGCGTTGGCTTACCAAAAAGTGTTATTGTTATGCCATTTGCAGAATGTCAAGGAGCTTTCATTGCTAGGGTTTTATCTGGTAGATTACGCTTACCAAGTGAAAAAGAACAAAGAGAGGAAGAGTTGAAAGAAATTGAAGCCAGGGGCGAAGGTAAAGAGTTCCATAATATAAAACCACCATTAGATACTGCGTACTGTCAAGAATTACAGAAGATTATCGATGATCAAGGCTTGAATGAAGGATTTGAAGCTGATAGATGGGGCGATTATAGGGTTGGTTTAAGAAAAGAAAGTGGACCTGCAAAAGCCAGAAGATATGAACAAATTGTGGAGCATGCTAATAGTTTGCGTGAGAACAATGAGCCATATAGATTGTTAAGAGGCTAGAACAAGCTGTGTATAGAAATAGAACGACTAACGTTAAAACGGAGTGTACTGGAGCTTCCAAGCTTCCGAATGCTCGGGTATATAAAAAGATTATATGTCCATGCGGTTAAACACCAGCTCCGCTTAGAGCGCATTAAATCCGTTAAAACTCGACAACTGTATGGAGCCCATTTTCTTTGTTTCTCAAAAAGTGGTTTAACTCCGTTTTTTTCATGTTAAACCCTTGTAGCGCAAGGCGAAAATTTTGAGTCCGTCGTTTATCGATGATCAGAAATAATCACGTCAACCTAACGTTAAAGGCTTTTAAGAGCGAGCCGAACCCTTGAAGAATCACTTATCAGTTGACCAGCAATCATTGGTTTATGCTCTATTGGCGATTTGTATGAAGTGTTGCGTTCTCTGTTGAGTCTCTTGACGTTTTGTATTTTTCGCAGGTGGTGAAATCAAAGATTTAAGCGTCGGTATTATTTTTTTTTCTTTGACGGATTTCAGTCCATTTTTCCTGATCTATTGTTGTTGACGTCTCAGAGCTACGCGCTGAATAATAGAAACAGTACACCAAGTTGGGGTCAAGACTTCTTATTCAAATACACCTTGGAATTCCTTTCATCTACAAAGTTTGATATTCATTCTTTTATTAGTACCAACGTTGTACAGTTCAATAGGTTTCAGCAGCTGCAGCAAGGCTTTTCTTTATTACAGCTTTACAAAGTTTTTTCAAGAGTACAGTTGGAAATTAAAAGGAATTACAAATCTTGTTGAATCATTTGTTTGAACCCTCGCTGCCATCGGTGCTTTCCCACAATCTTGAAAAGGAGTTTTATAAACACATCGTATCCCATCGGTGTATTTCAACAGGATAAGCTATAGGACTCTTTGGTTGATCCACAAACTTCGTCGAGCATTAATCATCGTCGAGTGAAGGGATAATAGAGCAAAGCCAAAAACAGGATTCTTTAATCTAATATACTAGTTGATCAAATCTACAACTGGTGGTGATGTTAAGTACTTCAAGTTCTACAAAGTCACAGAATATCAACGCCAAACAGGACAATCCTTCAGAAACCACCATCAACAACTCTCAAGATCAAAGAGAAAGCTTGACTTCAAGATTCAGACTGAAGAAGCCAGGTCATTTGGATAATAACTACCAGATCAACAACAACAGCGGCACGTCCAGCTTCAACTTCACACCCTCTGATACTACACTGCAAAACACCTCGTCAGTCATGATAAATGATCACAGCGGTAAGACTGATTCTGAGGATGGCAACAAACATTCATATTCCTGTAAAAGATGCAGAAGACTAAAGAAGAAATGTACAAGAACCATACCGGAATGTCAAAATTGTGCTAAAGCTGGTGAATCTTGTGAATATGTTCCCAGAGCTCCAAGAAGAAAGAAGTCTGAAATATTAAGATCATTACAAGAAGAGCGTCAAAATGAACAAAATAGATCACCCTTATCCTCTACTCCAGTTTTGAGGACACAGGATTCAAATTTGCAATTTGCTTCAAACAATTCGTTTCCAAAAATCAACCCTTTACAATCTTTAGGTGTTTCTCAGTTTTCCACTACAACATCATCTGTGAGATCACTGGAACCATTTGGAACTCAACAACCCCAAGCACAACAGATCGGTATTCTGGAAAATAGTCCTAGATCATACAATCTGGGTACTACGGATCCATTTTCTTACAAGACAAATTTAAATTCTGCTGCTTTACCACCTTTGAGCTCAATCACAACAAATATATCAAACCAAGCTCAGCAACACCAACAGCCTCAAGCTCAGACAAATGCTTCATTTCTTCGTTTCTCACCTCCTGCTACTAGACAAGGCTCGGATGATTCACAAAATGGCGTACAACAATTAGTTTATCAAACTCAACAACAGCAACATCCTCAAAATTCTTTATTATCTCACACATTTTCAAAATCACCAGTCTTGGATGGATCATCGAAACCTTTGACACAAGGAAGCTTACAAAACAGGCTACTTGCATCTGTGCTAGGCAATGGTGATATGGCAGAGGCCCCTACGATGGTTACGCGTCCAAATTTGGAGGTTTCATTTATGATTGAATTGATTAATAGATTTTTCACAGAAAATTACCATTCATATCCCTTTTTAAATCAAGCTGCTATTATCAATTTCGTGATGAGCTCAAATATAAATAGATTGGATTCATTGCCAGCATCTGATTCTTTTGAAATATTCATGATTATGTTTATTGGATACTGTTCATTGGAAAGAGTTGGTAAAATTAATACCGATATTCATTTGAAGAAATATTTAATTTCAAAATCAATTGAGCAAACTAATGATGTTATCACTTTTGATAATATTGAATCTATAAAGTTTTTGTTATTATTGGGTATCTATTCACTTTTTGATACTGCTGGTTCCACATCATGGCATATTGCAGGGAACATCAATAGATTGATTTTATCACTTGGATTGAATAGAATTAATGGGTTTAAATCAAGAGATTCAAATAATTATGCTACAAGAGATCGTGAACAAAGATATAGGGTGTTTTGGAGTGCTTATAATTTTGATAGACTGGTTTCAATTTCTCTTGGTCGTCCATTTGGTATCCATGATGATGATATAAATATTCCATTTCCGAATAAATTTGACCACGAAGAAATTTATGATATTGAACTAATAACTGCAATCATTAGTTTAAGACAAATAGAAGGTAAAATCTTGAAAAACGTGCATAGTGTCAATTCAGGCCATAAAGTTAATGATGATGCTACAAAATTGGAGATTTTGAAAACCTTAAGAATTGAGGTGGAGGATTGGTTCAATCTAACAAATACTTTGACAAGTTATAACCATAGCAAAGATTCAATTTATAATGTCTCTTGGTTCACTTCTCATTACTACCAATTAACAATGTTGCTTTATAGACCATCATTCCTTATACCAAAACCTTCCAAGGAAACATTGTTGATACTAGGGAAATCTTGCTTACAATGCTTGGCGTACACTTATAATTTACACACAAGTCACTTGTTACAACCTAATTGGGTCACAGTCTATAGATTTTTAACCCAGTGTACCACAATTGTATATTGTTTATGCCATTGGTGCATTGACTTGGTTGAATCAAAAACTGAAATGAACTTATGCATTGAGATATTAGAAAGCTTTGGAGATAGGTGGCCAGTTAGTGCAAAGTCTGCTCAAATTTTCAAGGAAATTAATAGATCTATTTATGATGTTAAAGTCAATCAAAATTGGGAATTACTTGGTGCTCAAGAGTTAACAAACAAGTTTTTTGAAGCTAGCAGAGCCTACCATGATGTACTAAGCAGTAATAATGTTGACATCTGGTTTGATGATCCGGTTATTGTCATTTCTGAGCAGCAGCAACAACAAGAATTTATGAGACAACAATACCCAGCACAGTAATAGCAATATGACTTTAGAAAGAACTATCAAATGTAGAGTTTAATAAAATAAATACAGTAGCTAATGATTTAACAAAATTGTATTACATCTAAATTCCTCATTAGCATAACATTCCGAATAATATACAAAACTGAACTTCTATTTCATTTTTTAGCAGCAACTTTTGCTAGTTCATCTCTATGGTGGTTTGTTAGTTATATTCAATTCAATAAAATCATTTTAAAACATACTTTAATTCATTTGTGAAGTTGTCATCAGCATCATTATCATCCCAATCTTCAACCCACAAACTCTTTTCACCTTCAGGACCTAGTGATTGTTCTTCTGGCCAGTCTAATGTACATGTTAGTAAACTAAGTCATCATTGACTGATTGTTGATTAACACATACCTTCAGCTTGGAAGTCTTCAAATTCATCATCTTCCTCTAATGATTGAATAACTTTTTGCTTTTCAGCATCTAGAGCATTTTTGCCTTGTTCTTGAGTAGCAGCAGACATCTTTTTAACAACAACAATTCACTGATAACTAGATCAACGATTCAGTTCTTTAATCTGTGCCACTGAAAGCTTTCACGTTTAAACTTGATGCTCGATTGATTTCGCGAATTCCAGGACTTGCGGGTAAATACCTATTTTCGCGAAAACGTTTTACAAAGCTGTCAATTTCTAGCGTGTCAACTCACTCACCATAAAAAAAATTTGTGTTTAGCGATTCCAAAAGATTTCAAGCGTATTCAAGATCAAAGGATCATCAACAATCAACCCAACAGAATTGAGAAAAGAAAACAAAGAAAGTCTATATATATTCTTTCCTACTTCTTCTTATATTCCAAACAATTATTGCAAAAACCAATAGTTTTATTACCAACCGTTGCGGCAATCCTTTTGGCTTATAAATTCTTTGAGTGAAGTTTTTTTTTGACATTTAAATTTCATTCATTTAAAGATGAAGGAAACGGTTGTTGATATTGCTCCAAAATGTATCAAAGGAATAGAGTTTGGTGCTCTATCTGAAAAAGATATCCTTGCACAATCAGAAGTTGAAGTTTCCACAAGAGATTTGTTTGATTTAGAAAAAGGTAGAACTCCAAAGACCCATGGTGCTCTAGATACCCGTATGGGTATTTCCTCAAATTCGTCAGAATGTTCAGTCTGTCATGGTAACTTGGCTACTTGTCATGGTCATTTTGGGCATTTGAAGTTATCATTACCTGTTTTCCATGTTGGTTATTTTAAAGCCACCATTCAAGTCTTACAATCCATTTGTAAATCATGTGGTTCATTGTTATTGGATGAAGAAACTAAAAGACAGTTCAGAAATGAGTTAAGAAGACCTGGTATTGATAATTTGAGAAGAATGGGTATACTGAAGAAAATTTTAGATCAATGTAAAAAGCAAAGACGTTGTTTAGATTGTGGTGCTGTTAACGGTGTTGTTAAAAAAGCAGCCTCAGGTTCAGGTACAGCTTCATTGAAAATTGTTCATGATACTTTTAGATGGATTGGTAAAAAACCAACTTTTGAAAAGGTTGAATGGGATAAGGATCTAGATACAGCGGTTCAAAATAATCCTGATATAGAGAGATTTATCAAAAGATCAATGGATGATTTGAATCCTTTGAAAGTTTTGAATTTATTTAAACAAGTGAAACCCGAAGATTGTGAGTTATTAGGTATTGACTCAGGTAGAGGTGGTAGACCAGAGACTTATATTTGGAGATATCTTCCAGCACCACCTGTTTGTATTCGTCCATCTGTTGTTATGAGTGATTCTCCAACTTCGAATGAAGATGATTTAACTGTGAAGTTAACTGAAATTGTTTGGACAAGTTCGTTGATTAGAGCTGGTATAGAGAAAGGTATTTCAATCAACAATTTGATGGAGCAATGGGATTATCTTCAATTATCAGTTGCTATGTATATTAATTCTGATGCAGCATCTCCTTCTATGTTACCAGGTGCGGGTGGTGCTTCTAAATCAGCTAAACCAATCAGAGGTTTATGTCAAAGATTGAAAGGTAAACAAGGTCGTTTCAGAGGTAATTTATCAGGTAAGCGTGTTGACTTTTCTGGTCGTACTGTTATTTCACCAGATCCAAATCTTTCAATTGATGAAGTTGCTGTTCCTGATAGAGTGGCTAAAGTTTTGACATACCCTGAAAAGTGTACCAGATACAACAAGGAAAAATTACAAAACTTGATTATGAACGGTCCAACTGTTCATCCTGGTGCTAATTATTTATTAAAGAAGAATGAAGATGCTCGTCGTAACTTGAGATATGGTGATCGTCACAAACTAGCTAAAAATCTTCAATATGGTGATGTTGTGGAAAGACATATAGAGGATGGTGATGTTGTTTTATTCAATAGACAACCTTCATTGCATAGATTGTCGATTTTAGCACATTATGCTAAGATCAGACCTTGGAGAACTTTCAGATTGAATGAATGTGTTTGTACACCTTATAATGCAGATTTTGATGGTGATGAAATGAACTTACATGTTCCTCAAACTGAGGAAGCCAGAGCTGAGGCTATCAATTTGATGGGTGTTAAGAACAATTTATTGACTCCAAAATCTGGTGAACCAATTATTGCAGCTACACAAGATTTTATTACTGGTTCTTATTTGATCTCTCATAAAGATTCTTTCTATGATAGAGCTTCATTAACACAGTTATTATCTATGATGTCTGACGGTGATTTACAATTTGATTTGCCACCACCAGCTATTCATAAACCGGTTTATCTATGGACTGGTAAACAAGTTTTCAGTCTTTTAATTAGACCAAACAAGAAGTCACCAGTTATTATCAACTTGGATGCTAAAAATAAGACTTTCACACCTCCAGCTAAAGGATTTCCAAATGAGATGTCACCAAATGATGGGTTTGTTATCATTAGAGGTTCAAACATTTTGAGTGGTGTTATGGATAAATCCACTTTAGGTGATGGTAAGAAGCATTCTGTGTTTTATACTATATTGAGAGATTATGGCCCTAAGGAAGCAGCACAAGCTATGAATAGAATGGCTAAACTTTGTGCTAGATTTTTAGGTAACAGAGGGTTCTCCATTGGTATCAATGATGTTACCCCAGGTACTGAATTGAAATTCAAGAAAGAAGAAATGGTTGAAGCTGCTTATGTCAAGTGTGATGAATTAATTCAATTATATAACGATGGTAAGTTGGAAACTCAACCAGGTTGTAATGAAGAACAAACTTTAGAAGCAAAAATTGGTGGTTTGTTATCAAAAGTCAGAGAAGAAGTTGGTGAAGTTTGTATCAATGAATTGGATAGTTCAAACGCTCCATTGATCATGGCAACCTGTGGTTCTAAAGGTTCTACATTAAATGTGTCACAAATGGTTGCTGTTGTCGGTCAACAAATTATTTCAGGTAATCGTGTTCCAGATGGTTTCCAAGATCGTTCATTACCTCATTTCCCAAAGAATTCCAAAACTCCACAATCCAAAGGATTCGTTAGAAATTCCTTTTATTCAGGTTTGAGTCCTCCTGAATTTTTATTCCATGCTATTTCTGGTCGTGAAGGTTTAGTTGATACTGCGGTTAAAACCGCTGAGACTGGTTATATGTCTCGTAGATTGATGAAATCATTAGAAGATCTAAGTTTACAATATGATAACACTGTTAGAACTTCAAGTAATGGTATTGTTCAATTTACTTACGGTGGTGATGGTTTAGATCCTTTCGATATGGAAGGTGATGCTAAACCTGTTAATTTTGTTAGAACTTGGGACCATGCTTATAATGTTACATTTACAGTCAATGAGAAATCATTATTACCATATCAAGTTATGGAGGTTTGTGAAAAAGTTATACAACCACTTGAGGAGAAATTGATCAGATATGATAATTTGGGTAAAGAATTACACGGTGAAGATCGTAACAAGATTGAATTTATTGATCAAAACGATGCTAGAAGAGGCTTCTATAACTCCATTCGTGATTTCCTTTACTCAAAAGCTTCTCGTCTTGCAAAAGTTAGAGAACATAAGAAATTACACGGTTATTTGGAAAAACCAACTGATGAATTAGCAGAAATGGATTTAGATGAAAGTTCAAGTGATACTGCATTGAATGCTGTTAACCAATTATCCAAGATCACCAAAAAATGTGTTAAAAAATTCTTGGAAGTTGCTTTAGTCAAGTATAGTCGTGCCCAAGTTGAACCAGGTACTGCTGTTGGTGCTATTGCTGCTCATTCTATTGGTGAACCAGGTACTCAAATGACTTTGAAAACTTTCCATTTTGCTGGTGTTGCTTCTATGAATGTTACACTTGGTGTTCCTCGTATTAAGGAAATTATCAATGCTTCCAAGGTCATTTCTACTCCTATCATTAATGCAGTTTTAGTTAACGATGAAGATGAAAGAGCGGCAAGAGTGGTTAAAGGTAGAGTTGAAAAGACTTTGTTGTCAGATGTTGCATATTATATTCAAGATGTCTACAAAGATGATATGTCTTCAATTCAAATCAAAGTTGATACCAAAACTATTGAAAAATTGCAATTAGAGCTAACAATTGATGATATTGCTTTTGCTATTTCAAAAGCTCCTAAATTGAAAATTTCACAAGGTGATATCAATTTATTACCAGGTAATAAGATTCAAATCAATGTTCATACTGGTGAATCAAAAGCCAAATCAATCAGCACATCAGCCAAAGAGCCACTTGAAAATGAATTGTTCTTCAGAATGCAACATTTACGTCGTGTTTTACCATCTGTTGTTGTTAAAGGGTTTTCTGATATTTCAAGAGCTGTCATTAATATTCGTGATGATGGGAAGAAAGAATTATTAGTTGAAGGTTATGGTCTTCGTGATGTTATGTGTACCGATGGTGTTGTGGGTACAAAGACTAGAACTAATCATATCTTGGAAGTTTTCCAAGTTTTGGGTATTGAAGCTGCTAGAGGAAGTATTATTGGTGAAATTGATTATACCATGTCCAAGCACGGTATGAGTGTTGATCCTCGTCATATTCAATTATTGGGTGATGTTATGTCTTATAAAGGTGAAGTTCTAGGTATTACAAGATTTGGTTTGAGTAAGATGAGAGATTCTGTTTTACAATTGGCATCATTTGAAAAAACCACTGATCATTTATTCGATGCATCATTCTATATGAAAACAGATTTGGTTGAAGGTGTTTCTGAATGTATTATCTTGGGTCAAACTATGTCTATTGGTACTGGTGCTTTCAAGCTTGTTAAAGAAACGGCTATTAGTGAAGAAGATTTGAAACCGAAACCAACACTGTTTGAAGACCTTTGTTCAGTTGCTGTATCTGCTGCTTGATTATGCATTTTGTTTTGTCTCGCAAGCATTGTATTTTATTATTATCATTTTTGGGAACATTCCAATTGAGGGAGAAAAGTTTCTTTTGTATTTTATGATGAGTTTTGTATTTAGGGAGTTTAACGAAATAATGTCTATAGCGTTAATTTTACCATTGTAGTTTTATCTCATGATTCTACCTATAGGAGTTTGATAATTTTGAGTATTTCTTTGTGAAACTCTATTTCTTGTGACATTAGGAGTTGTGATTTCAAATGAAGGTAATGTTGCCGGCTGTGTATGTTCTTGATTGATGTTTGAAGATGTATTTGGCGAAGGACCACTCGCCACATCTGGTGAATCAAATTCATGCAAGTTATCAATTCTCTTCAAAATAGTATTATCTTCCAACTTATTAACCGACTCCAAATCCTCATTTAAAAACTTCTGTAGATCCATATCTTTCCATAAATGTTGTTTACCCTTTCTATGGGACTTTAGTGAACCAAACGCTGTTTGTTGCATAGCTGAACTCTCATCATCTTCATCCTCATCCAAGTGGAATCCTGGTGCTTCAATATCCTCATTTGGAAGCTTATCATGGACCCAGTGGCTTATATACAGGGCATAATGAGACTTTGTAAGATGAATATAATTGGCTTGTGCGTCTCTTCCCATGGTTATCGTTGTTCTTGTAGTGTTTTGTTGGAAGAGTTTTGACTTGGACTTTTTTTGTAAACAAAAACATCGAAAGCGATCAGGGTCCACAACCATAAGTGAACTTACACTATGTGCCAAAAATATACACCGAGCTCCTACATCTAATATTATTTAATGTCATTTCATTATATAGCAATCTGCAAAAATAGTGTATCATAAAAAAATTGTTGTTCATATCATTATTCAAAGAGTCCGGCTCAGGAGGTTGTGGCATATCCACTAGCGTAACTTACACTGCTATCACGAACAGAAGTCACTTGACTACTTTGGCTATAGCCTATCCACTTGAACTTACCCCAATCTTCACCCAAGTTCTCATTTTCTTTGGTACGTTCGATGGTCTCCAAAAGGATTGAAATAGGCTTCTGTCCACAGATTGTATTCTCAGTGGCCTTGATATAATTCTTCCAATCTTTTGAAGAGCCGGTTGAGGCAATCTTGGTGGCTAATTTATCCAAGTATTCAATTGATTTATATATACTTAATCCACTTGACAGGATCTTGGAGTTAGATGATAAATCTTCCAGGTCATCTAAAGAACCGCTTGGTGTATAAGAGGTATAACCAAATCTAGACCCCCAATGACAGAAATCGCTACTGATAACGAATGTATTGGATTCATCTTTCAAATACTCAGCAAGAATTGATGAAACCTTTGCATTGAACTCCTCGTCAGAATGTGAAATCATTATAGGAACAATTGATGGGACACCTTGTGGTAGATGATGTGTCAGTTTGTAGATGTATGGAGAATGCATTTCAAAACTATGCTCATCCTCATCAACATCCATACTCATTTTCTTGAATACTTTATTTTTCACTAGCTCGTCCACAACTTGGGTATCAACAGGCAGGTTACCAAATGGCGTTTCATACTCATCAGCTCCACTAACTAAAGCAACATTTTTGAAATAAACATGGTGAGATGGGCCTAGAATGAAAACCCTTTTGACATTTGAAGTATCCCAAGCATTATAAGTCTCTGCTAGAGTAGCACCAGCATAAGTATAGCCAGCATGTGGTCCAATTAATAGTCTTGCACCAGAAACTGATGGTGGAGCAGCCTTCAAAAATTCATCAAGCTGTTTGTTTAATCTCACGGGGTTTGCTGAGTACCAGGTACCGGAATGTGACGCTGTTCTGATAGCCATTCTCAGGTTCGTTAGAGTGGTAGCTTCGATATGGGATGGAATATGAGTTTCTTGTTGCTATCTCATGATAAAGACGTTCCAAAATTCTGCTAACAATGCTATCCGTGTCTGCGCCAACCACTTTTCGCGAACACGTTCGATATAGTTTTTCACATCACTTTTGTGTCAAAGATTTCCTGTGTACAATGGCTTGTAAATTCACTTGAGCTTTGACTAAAGATGTCCAAGCTGGCGAATATGCTTGCCCAAATTGTTACTGCTCCTTGGCCGAAATGTTCCTCAATAGATTGTTCAGCTGTGCGTTGGTGTTGATGATTTCAAAACTAGTTCAATGTCACGAAAATTATCACTATGACAATGGGATATATGATTCATTATTGAGATATGCTTACATTTCAAAAATTGCCTATTGTATTGATCTATTGAAAGATGGTCATAACTTGACAGAGCCTATAATTTTGAAGCCCAAACCTTTAGGGTTCTCACAGGAGGGATTTGCTTCTAATGATTATGCTGCTCAATCACAAGAAGAGATAGTGCTTCAAGTTGCAAAGCTTTTACATGCCCCTTCAACCAGTCACAACCAAAAGGCACATACTACAAGTGATGACAAGAATGATGGTATATCTGAGTCACCTGGTTATTTTGCTATTGACCACAGTGGATCTGGTACAATTATTTTATCACTAAGAGGAAGTGTTAATTTGAGAGATTATTTCACCGATTTGAACACCAGGACATTTGATTATGAGCCTGTGAGTGAAAGGGCAAAGCTGAACTTTACTGAATGCGAAGGCTGTAAAGTTCACCAAGGTTTTTACAAAAGATTTATTGACTTGGAACCTCAGATTTTCCCAACAGTTGAAAAATTGATGGAAGTGTTTCCAGATTATAAATTGCTCGTTACCGGTCATTCTATGGGAGGCTCGCTAGCGATATTAGCTGGCTTAGAGTTTGCACTAATGGGGTATGACCCGTTGATAGTGGCTTATGGAAATCCAAAAGTTTCAAATGAACCGTTGTCTGATTACATGGATTCATTATTTCTGACAGATTTGATCGAAAAGACCATTCAAGAGGATCGAGAGTTGACAAGTGGTTGTATTAGAGTGGTACATAATGGTGATTTAGTCCCAATGTTTCCTCCAGGAAGAAAGAAGTTTGTTCAAAGTGGATTGGAGTTTTTTATCAATAAAGAGGATCTTCCACATCCAAAGAAGAGTGTCGAATATTGGGGGAAAGCAGACACAATCACGCACGATTCATCTTACAAAGTCCAGGACCTTTTCAGTTTCAACATGGATAAGATTTTTCACTTGACGCAACACCGAGAATATTTCTACAATGTTGTACAGTGCACCGATATCAAGTGAAATAAATACCTTCATAAATAAAACAATTGTGTGTTCGCGAATTTTAGTTATATGCGTGTGGCTCGTAGCAATTTGTGGGTTAAGCCTTATGTCTTTTTTTAGTCTTTTGAACATGATTTTTGCTCTTCGAAAGACTTCAAACTTTACCAAATACATAATCACTAGAGAGCTATATTAATGGCTATTTAGTACAGAATGGCTGTGGCAAACCTCATTAGTCAAACACTGCAAGAGCTGCAACCCAGACTGAGGACAAACGGGTTTGGTATTGCTAATGCACACAGAAAATTATCACTTACATTTATTCCTCCAAGCACAAAATCACCATTATTTCAATACGGGTCGTCACCTGGCCAAAGAAGTTTTCTATCATTGGGTACAGATTATGAAGGTATTGGAGATAGAGAAGAAGATATTGATGAAGAATTAGGAGGTGAACTAAGTCGAACAGTATCATTGCCATCTCAAATCTCCGAGGCTCCTCAAGAACCAGAACTGGATTGGCTTTTGGAAGAACACCATAGACGTTACTCAAGTGCTAACGTATCAGACGAGGATGAAGAGGAAGAAGAAGATGATACAGATAACGAAGATACCCAGAATTACCATGGATATGAGGATGACTCAGATAGTTTCAATAATTTCATGTCAAGAGTACGGAGACATCAACAACAATTTAGAAAGAATTCAGTAACATCGATTGGATCGGTTAGTATATCACAACAGAATAATACAGAGAATTTTTTCCGTGAAAAGGTTACAACGAAATCAGAAATAGGAAAGTTGTTACAATATGCAATCCCATTAATCATTACTTTTCTACTTGAACAGATCTTTTCAGTCGTGTGCGTTCTTGTTGTTGGTCATATAGGTAAAAATGAACTAGCTGCAGTTTCATTAGCCACAATGACCTCCAATATTGTCTTTGCTGTGTTTGAAGGGCTAGCAACTGCATTGGATACATTATGTCCTCAAGCTTATGGGGCTGGTGATTATCATGGTGTAGGAATTCATTTTCAAAGATGTGCGTTATTGTCACTAGCATTGTTTTTCCCTTTTGGTGTTGTATGGTGGTTTTCAGGATATTTTTTGAAGTATCTTGTTCCAGACCCCGAGTTGGTTAAATTGGCATCTCAATTTTTGAGAATCATGTTGCCTGGTGCTCCTGCATATATTCTTTTTGAGAATTTGAAGAGATATCTACAAGCTCAGGGTATTTTTGAAGCTGGTACTTATGTCCTATTGATATGTGCACCATTGAATGTTGCAGCTAGTTATTTTTTAGTATGGGATAAGCGTATAGGGTTGGGATTCATTGGCGCACCAATTGCAGTGACTTTGAACTTTTGGTTGATGCTTTTGTTATTGATTGGCTATACAATTTTCATTGATGGTATGAAATGCTGGGGTGGATTTTCTAAAAGAAGTTTACACCATTGGAAAGATCTAATGCACCTAGCAATTCCAGGTGTTGTTATGCTTGAAGTTGAAAGTTTATCATATGAAATCATGACTCTATTTGCATCATATTTTGGTACTGAGTATTTAGCTGCGCAATCAGCTGTTTCAACGGTTGCTTCTTTGGTATATATGATACCATTTTCGGTGGGTATTGCATCCTCTACCAGAATTGCAAACTTTATCGGAGCAAGAAGAATTCAATGCGCTAAACTAGCTTCTAAAATTGGGATTTATGGATCTTTAATGACAGGAATTATCAACTGTTTTGCCCTTATAATTTTAAGGGTTCCCTTAGCCAAGATGTTCTCCAAAGATGAGGGTGTGGTCAAAATGACCATTGATATTTTTCCATTGATTGCAGTTGTTCAAATTTTTGACTCTATGAATGCTGTTGCTGGAAGTTGTTTGAGAGGTCAAGGTATGCAAAGAATAGGGAGCTATATTAATCTTTTTGTTTACTATGTCATCGGGATGCCATTAGCTTGGTTTTTTGGTTATTATTTAGATTTCAAACTATTTGGATTATGGATAAGTATTGGATTTGGTTTATTTTTGATTGGTTTAAGTGAATCGTGGTTTGTGTTGAAAGCTGATTGGCAAAAGATTTTAGATGAGGCCGACGAAAGAAAGGAAGATGAATTGGAAAATGGTGTGGAAAACTAGAGGTTGGAATATAATTAAACAAAAACAATAGATGTTGTTTAGATGTGGTGGTCGTGGTCTACAAAATAAATAATATATTAATTAGTGCATAAAAAAACCCTGTAAATTCTCTCCGTATCAAATAAACCAAAACCATAGCCATAAAAATCATTTAATCATAATATAGATGTATCCAGAATCATATTCCATTCTTCAATTTTTTGGTAAGCTTAGCGAAGAACCAATTACCAAGATGGCGCCATTATCAGCATTGGTTGTTGATAAAACTTTGATCCATTCTTGATCTTTACCATCAGTAACAGCAGTGACATAATAATCACCATTGTCATTTACCAATTTGATGTTCTTACCGTTTTTACTGACAAATTGCACACCTTTATCGGCTCCTTCTAAAGAGCTAAATGGAATTGTACCATCAATAATATGCGAAGTGATAAAATCATTAAGGTTGGACTTTGTTATCTCATCTATTTCTTGTTCACTTTTACTATCTTCCTCAACGGAAGTTGGAAATTGCCAAGGCTTCAATGATAATGATTCTATAGCTTCATCTGTTGGAGCAAAAACAATAGATTGTTCCTTTTTATTATTGAATCTTGATGAAATTTCGACATTATCTCTGACATAAGATGCAAAAACAGAGATATCTTTCATGATTGATAAGCTTGAGGTCAATAATGTTGGCCCACTTTGAGGTTGTTCACCTTCTGGGATGTAAATCTGGTTTGAGTGCTCCATCTTTGGTGGTGCAAACAGAGGTTGTTCTGGGGTTTCTTCTCTTTTATCAACTTTGATAACTTTACCACCATCTGCCTTGAAACTATCAAGGTCGTAGAGTTGTTTACCTAAAACTAATGGAGCTAAAGATAATAGTGCAAGCGATGAGAACTTCATGGCTGATAGTTTCTTTGAAATGTATTATTTTTGTTTGTTTTAACTTATTTGCTTCATTTATATGTTTTATTCTAGAGACTTTGGCTTGGAACGACCAGCGCAGCTGTAACCATTTCCTTTTGTAGTATAATACGAGGGTATAAAGTCGGGAAACCCATATAAAGAAATACGGGGTACGGAATTCACGGAAGCTTTGGAAAAAGCCAAAATGTTTAGTGATGTTTGACGTCTTCAGCTAAATTGAAGGGACCATTTTGAAGCCAACTGCGAGAGGGAAAAGTGTTTTCAGCTTCAGCTATTACAAGAATCGACCAACGAGTCCATATCTGCTATTTTTGCTTATTTTCCAATTGCCAATTTTCCAATTAACTCGCTCGGAGCATTCCATTTGTTGATTAAAACCAAGTCGCGTCCCGAGTACTGATCTGGGAAAGGTGGGTCATAATGAGTGAACATAAAGTTTTTACAAAAGTGAGTAGCTCTTAGATGATGTAATTGAATTGAAACTAACTATTTATAGACTCGAGCTAGTGAGATTTTGCAAGAGTTCCAACAAACTGATAAAAAGAAAAATGTGTCAAGAAGAAAACAAATATTGAAAAAAGTCATAGCCAACATAACAATAGGGAACAATGATATGGTTTATGTGTTTCCTGAGATAATTAAACTTTTCCTAATAGATGATTTAGAGATCAAAAGAATGTGTTATCATTACCTAAATACCTTTGCTATTGCTAAACCAGATATGGCCTTGGAAGTTTTGCCCATTCTTCTATCCGATCTTAAATCTGATTCTTCAATTTTGGTCGCTTTGGCTTTGAAAAACCTGGTTTCAGTACCAATCAAAGAGTTCATAAGAGAAGCGGTAAGGCCATTGGCAATAAATTTGAAGAGTGAAGACCCATATCTTAGAAAAACAGCAGCATATTCAATTGCCCGTTTATACGAAAAGGATCCGAAAATAGTGATTAGGGAACAATTCATTGAACAATTGAACCACACCTTGAGTGACAATAACCCAACTGTCATAGCATCTGCACTTACAGCTTTGAATGATATTACTGAAAAATCAGATGACTTGAAGCTAACGATCAATAGAAGTCATGCACTCAATTTAGTGGAGCTTTTACCAAGATGTGATGAATGGTCCCAGGCTTCAATTCTGAATGCTCTTTTGAACTTTATACCAACTTCCCATGAAGATGCATTTGTTCTTATTGATAAGGCCATTGCTCAGTTACAACATGCAAACTCTGCAGTGGTTTTGAACGCTTTCAAATTATTACTTTATTTGTTGAATTTTGTTGATGTGATTGAGGATTACATACCCAAAAAACTATCAAATTCGTTGAGTTCATTACTTTCTAAACCTCCAGAAATCCAATTTTTGATTTTGAGAAATGTTATTTTACTTATATTAAGTAAACCAAAGTTGATACCGTTCGATGTTACTGTGTTTTTCTGTGAATATAATGATCCTATTTATGTGAAAGATACAAAGCTTGAAATTATTTATTTATTGGCAAATGAAGGTAACTTGGATGTTGTTTTGAGGGAACTGGAAGAATATGGAACTGAAGTTGACATCCAAATGTCACGGAAGGCAATTAGGGCTGTTGGTAACTTGGCAGTTAGATTAGATGCTGCTGCAAAGCCATGTATCGATGTCTTATTAAACTTGATCTCTAATGGAATTGATTATGTGGTGCAAGAAGCTGTTATGGTGTTTAAAAACATTTTGAGACGTTATGATCAATACGATTATGTGATTACAGAAATCATTAATCATTCTGATCAAGTGGAGGAACCAGATGCAAGATCAGCTTTGATATGGATAGTTGGTCAATATTGTGACAAAATTCCAAAGTCAGAAAGCCTGCTGAGTGACTTGACTTATACGTTCAGGGAGGATCCGTTAGAAGTTCAACTTTCAACATTAACAGCATGTGTTAAGTTGTTTTTGAGGAAACCACAACTTGGAGAAAATATTGTCATAAAAGTCCTGAAATGGGCAACTGAAGAGGTCAACAACCCTGATGTGAGAGATCGGGGATTCTTTTACTGGAGATTATTATCAAATCAAGACAAGTTTCCGAGCACGGCCAAGGAGGTTGTTGATAATGAGATACCAGTTATATCGAATGAAAATGAAAAGTTGGATCCATTGATTCTTGAAGAATTAGAACTCAATATTGGTACTTTAGCATCTATTTATTTGAAACCCGTTGGTCAAGTGTTTCGTCTTGCAAAGAGAAAATTCCTACCAAGTAGCCCTGCAAGGTCAACAGAAAACTCGAGAAACTCATCAAGAACAAGAGTTAACACAATGTCAAGCTCTAGAAGTATATCAAGCTCCGAAAACCAAGTACCAGGACATGTGGAAAAACATATTGATGATTTTGATGTGCCTGCTGTTAATGTCAATCAAGTAAAGAAACAAAACAATTTGGGACGTCGTTTGAGTTTAGCAAAGAAGCCTTCTGGATTGTTATCAAGAAAATTGTCCATAAGGGGTGCATTCCATTAGATATGATTGAAATGTTTGTATTACTGGAAAAAATGAACATTCTACAAGGAGTTTTGGAGTTTGATAATTAATCTAATTTCATTATAGTTTCGTAAATAAATCATGATCTGTACCATCACCATCATTTTCTTCTTCTTTGACCTTAATCTCACCAGAACTCTGTGAATCACTATTTCTCTTAATTGAACTAATAATGACTCCGTCGTCTTCTGTTTTAACCAAAGGCTTTTCAGCTTCACGAACATCAATAATTTGAACGTCCGCTGCAAACTTCACAGGTAACCCAGCAGGAACAATAGTTTCGACTTTAATTTCAGGCATATTGGGTTCAGGGCCATCAGAAATAGTATCCAAATCAAATTCTTTCCCTAAAACGACATACAGAATTATCAGAGCTGCAGGTTTTGATAACACTAAACTGTTTTCTTTACAAAATGCAGCAGCAACACAATCTGGACAGCCCCACTCACATGGACACTCTAAAACTCTTTTAAGAGCATCTTCCAATAAAGTATGTGCATGTTCAAATGCCTTGATGGACAACCCAGATCCATATTTACCACCTTTTGAATCATGGAAAATAAGTCTTGCTGGTCTTTTTCTAGCGGTTTGTCTTTCTGCAAATTCCTTTTCCGGAGCCTTACATTCTGTATGAATTTCATCGACACCACTAACAATCACAAGAGGTAACAGCCCCATGATTGCATGTTGAGCAGCATGAATACCACCAGCAGAGCTTAATCCTTTATATGTAATCAGATCTAATGCTTTACTTGGAATATCAATCCAAAATCCCTTAGAATGTATTAAAATTGGAGGATTGTGCACTTCGACAGCATCCAAAATTCTTTTGTTCTTATCAACTTTGAAAAACCCAAAAACAACTATTGTCGTCAAAATTTTTCCGAAATATATTGGAACATCACTGCCCTCCATAGAACGAACTAGTTCAATTTCTTTCGGGTCAACATCTGTGAAATCACGTTGACTGGTCACCCAATCAACATCAACTCTTTCGACTTTTGCGTAATGTTCATCAGAGTTGAACTCTCTAACAAGGTATGGATACCCTTGGTGGATGAATATACCGCCTTCGTATAGTGTGAAGCTTGTACGCGACGCTTCTATTTCTTCAATGACAACATTTCTATTGTTTGTAATGTCAACAACAGCATATTGATCTTCTTCTATACCTCTAATGGAGACGTTTTTGGAAGGCCATGGTAAATACCTCGCAGAGCAATGATACCCTTGTGAGTCTCTCTCCAATTTGTTTAAAACTTTTGACATATTTGGAAAATATTTTTCATCGTCATCAGTAATTGGAAGTTCGAAAGCAGCACATTGTAAATGACCTTCAAGAACCAATATGTTATCGAAATCTAGAATCAAATCCTGAAACTCCCTATCCAATAGAAGTTCAGGGTGTTTCATATAATGTTGGTCAACAGGTGAATCACTCCCAACAACCAATGTTAATGAATCTTTATTACGTCTACCAGCTCTACCACTTTGTTGATGAAAATTTGATAGAGATAAGGGGAACCCACACATTAAAACTGCATCTAGACCACCAATATCTATACCCAATTCCAATGCATTAGTGGAAATGATTGCAGATAAATTTCCATGAAACATTTCTTGTTCAATTTGACGTCTATCAGAGGCTGAATAACCACCACGGTAACTCATAACTTGAGACACCAACTCAGGTTTGTTCAACTCTAGAAATATGTTTCTAACCTCCTTCATCAAAAGTTCACAAACACGACGAACATAACAGAAAGCAATAGCTCTAACATTATTCAACACCAATTTGACTAAGATCTTTGCAGTTTCATGAATAAAGTTCTCACGACCACTTGATAAATCATTTGGATTTATATAAGGAGGATTCCAAACAACTAGATGTTTTTGACCTGTTGGTGAACCATCTTTGTGTATGTGTGTAATTTCTTGATCTTCGACACCAAAAATTGCATTCATATGCCTTATAGGATCTTTCAAAGTTGCCGAACATGAAATGAATTGTAAATTATCATTACCTAAAAATGAACACATTCTTCTTAGCCTTCTCATGACCAAAGCAACATGAGACCCAAACAAACCTTTATAAATATGCAACTCATCAATCACGACAAATCTCAAATGTAGTAAAAAGTGCCTCCAAGCCTGGTGGTTCGGTAATATACTGGTGTGTAACATATCTGGATTCGTAAAAATCACTCTAGCGTTGTGCTTAATGTTTGCTCTCTTATCACTTTCGGTATCCCCATCATAAGTATCCACTAGGGCATGTAACCCCATTTTGTTCATCAATGTTTGGAATGATCTCTTTTGATCTTGTGCCAAAGCCTTTGTAGGGAAAATGTACATTGCTGTTGATTGTGGCACATTCTCTAAAATATTTAAAACTGGGATCTGATAAATTAATGATTTACCAGAAGATGTTGAAGTGGATATAATGACATTTTCACCTCTATGAATTGCATTTAATGCTTCTGCTTGATGTGAATAAAACCCCTTAATATCTAATGAAGTTGTAAGATTTTCTGATAGTTCAAAATCTAAATCTTCATAAAGAGCGACTCTTTCTGGCAATACAAAAGACCCAGCTATTTGTTGTTTGTAGTTGGTTGTTTTGATATTTTCTATTAGATCAGGGATTGTTGGTCTTTCATCACTAGCCTCCTCTCTTCTATTGGCAATCATTTGTTCAATAGGGTCAACAAATTCTCTTGTTCTGGGTATTTTGGATTGTGCCAATTGAGTTAATTTTGATTCAGCATCTTCACCTTCTTCCTCAGAAGTTTTCAGAAAATCATTAGCAGCTTTTATAAACTTCCCATCTCGTTTAGCTATAAGCTTTTTCATTGATTCTGGTGTGTAAGTAGGTAACTTCATCTCAGTATAATAAGCAGATTTAGTCTTTGATTTTGATAAATCACCATCAACAAACTCCAGAATCAATATTTGTTGAGTCTGTTCCATGTCCTTGAGCTTGAACATATCGATATCATGTTGTATATACCCCTTTGACCATTCAAATTGTTTTTTCTCCACGGTGACTTGATTTTCATCAACATAACGAAATACCAAATCATTAGGCAGCAACGCAACGAGCTTTGCAACATCTTCATAGGTGAGATCTCTTTTGATTGTCTTTTCCACTGGTTGTTTCAATGTTTCAAACTTTGTAACAATGTGTTTCCTGGATGATAAGAAAGTGAAGTAGGAGTTCAATCTGAAGTGAATTTGTTCTAGTTCTTTCAACCATGGTGGCCAGTGTGACTTTTCATCTTTTTTAGACTTCTTCAACGTTGACTGTTTCTGGACGGAGTCTTCTGGTTTCCTTTTGACATTTTGCTCAGACATTATGCTGAAGCCTTTATTCAGCTGAGTCGATGTTAATCTTTTTGCCACAACGATCAAAAAGTATAAGCATTTGGTTATCGCACATCTTCACCAACTTTTTAGTCGCCAATAAAACTACAATAAGTTATATGATTATGGGTATATATATTCTCTAGTAGTTATATGAGTACTCATAGAAATCACATACTGAACATTAAAATCAATTATTTTTACTTTTTTGTTGTTCAATAACCCTGTGCACTTATTTCATGGGAATGAATCCTTCTACTAGATGATCTTTTTCTAGTCAGTGTAGGAATAGCTGCTGATATATTTGTCATTCTTTCACCAGATTTCCAACCATCAAAATCAATTAAAGCCTGCATACACCCCCATTCTGTGATTTTATTTAACAACCAATCAAGATTCACAGGCTTCGTTAGATAATCATTACAACCAGCAGCTAAAGCTTGTTGTTTATCTTGTTTCATTGTACTTGCAGTCAATGCCACAATGATAACAGGAGATCTGAAAACGTTCAAATCTAATTGATCCTCTGGTTTTTTAGGTTCCATGTTTTGTAAATCAGAATTTGCAAAGACACCAATTCTATTAATCTTCTCCAAACGACGAATTTCTTTGGAAGCACCAAGACCAGACATGACAGGTAATTGAATATCCATTAAAACCAAATGGAACCCACCAGTTCTCCATTTATCGATAGCTTCTTGACCATTTTTAGCAATGTCATAATGAATCTTATGTCTTCGCAAATGTGCAGACAAAATCCTTAGATTAATCAAGTTATCTTCAACGATTAGCACGTTAACACTAGGTAACACCTTGGCCATAGTACTGTTTTCATCCTTCTTCTTCATCGAATTTGCCGATTCCGCCCTTGGAAATGGTGTCAATGGTGCAGCATGTTGTGGTGATGATGAAGAAGTTTGAGGTAGAAGCGGAGCTTGTTGTGACATTGTTGGATGTAAAGTGGTGTCGCTAGTTGATGGTGAAATTGTTCTATCCAAAGAATAAACAGAGTCTGACTTGGAGTTTGATGATTCATTGTTGGCCTTTCTAACCGTTTCGTTCAAGGCTGAAAAATCTTTTGGCAAAAGAAGAACGGCTGAACTATGGTCCGGTGGGTTTGATTGCGATCTTCTATGGTATGATGTTGGAGTGGAGCGTATGCTCAAAGGCGATTGAGTAGGTAACGAGTTCATTCTTCTGGAAGAGTGTAAATAGGCAATTTCATCATCCTCTTTTTCTTCGGTGATTGTTCCATAACCTCTCTTTGTACTATTTGGGGTATTCCCTAGACTTTCACTTATCAAATGGGAATGAGGCACATCAATTATGAAAGCATTATCCATACTCATTCCATTTGGATAGTATTGATCCAAGATATTCCAAATTGGTCTATCAGCTTCCAATGCAATGTTTATAGGTGAATTACTCTTGATTGATAAATTTGAAAAATCATTTAGCGTTGGAGGTTTTTGAGGTATTAAAGATGAATGTTTTGTAGCTGATACTGGAATAGGAGAGATTGGTGAGTTGAAAGAAGGTGAATATCCTGCACTAGAAGCACTATTAGCTCCAGCACTTATTGGTTGTGGAAATTTTGGATTTGAAGGGGAGAGGAAATAACTTGGTGAATTAGTTCCCAAAGATGGTTCAAGTCTAATGATCAAGTCAGCTGGATCACACGCTTTTGATAATGTCAGTGGAAATTTTTGCATAATCAGAGTTTTTAAATCATCAATCAAGTCTGTTTCCTTCACATACAGTGAAGTTGGATTTCCTTCTGGTCTCCTTATCCATATTCTTCTAGTTAAAGTTTCTCTTGAAGTGTTAATTGTGGGTATCTGAGGGGAGCCAGCTCTATAACTCTGTTGTTGCTTTGTTGGAGAGCTATATTTGACACCCTGTTTACTCATTGTTTATCTGTTTTGTAATAAGCTTTTGATATATATCTTCGAGTGGCTCAAAAATGGGTTATCTTTCTGCCTTTTTTTTTGCAAATGGGATGAGTTATTGTTGAAACGACAAAGATTGGAAGAAACTGAAAGTATTGTATGGGAATGTCTATCACTGAATTGATTTCTAGTATAATTCTATTGATACTGGCGATTCAATTAACCAAAATTTGATGATTTTGAACGTATGAAGATTGGTTCCTGAATTCGAAACCTTTGTTGATCCCAAAGAAGAATTGAAAAAAAAAATCACGAAAAGGTTGAGAATCTTACGTAATCTTCTTTTTCTGGGTGTGTCAAGCGAAAAACATCGACAAAGTGAAGTAAATCTAAACGTCTCGAGATCACTTATTTGATCAAAGTCAAAGATTGTAATTGATTGACTAATTGGGCAAAATGGCAAAGAAGAACGCTGGTGAGAACTCAAAGAAAGCTGCTGGTAATGCCAAAAAGGCAGAGCAAGCCAACAAGAAGAAACAAGAAGAAGAGGCAAGAGCTCAAGCTGCTGAAGATGAAAAATGGGCCCAAGGTTCAAAGAAAGGTAACAAAAAGAAGGAAGATGACGCCGCAAAGAAAGCAGAGGCCGCAAAGAAGAAGGCTGAGAGAGAAGCTTTATTGAAAGAAGAAGAAGAATCATTACCATCAAAACCTTCTTCAAAGAACAGAGGTGCTGCTAAAGTTGCTGCTAAAAGAGCTGGTAAAATCGATGATTTCCTCAATGACCAAGCTCCGACTTCAGAGATTAGTGCTTCTGGTATCGATAGTGCATTGGAAGCTTTAACATTGACCAAAAAAGCGGGTGCAGTCTCTGATAAAGATATTGATAGACATCCAGAAAGAAGATTCAAAGCTGCTTATGCTGCATTCGAAGAACAAAGATTACCAGAAGCTAGAAAGGAAAACCCTGGTCTAAGATTACAACAAGTTAAACAGCTACTTTTCAAGGAGTTTGAGAAATCACCAGAAAATCCATTCAATCAAGCTACTAATCTTGCTCATAATGCTACACAAGAAGATGTTGCTGCTTTGAAAGAACAGATTAAGAAGGAAAGAGAAGGCAAGTATGTCAAATAGATCTATGTTTTAATGAAGATGACTTAATGAAATGTTATTTCTAAAATTTAAGATGTTTTGTAGTTATGGCACTTTAATTACTTAATTGGGAAGTCTAGCACCGAGACTGAAAAATTAAAAATCTATAGTATACTATTTATACCGTAGACTTTGGATTTATTGTGTCAAGTCAACAACTGGTTAGAGAATAGAAGGCCCATTCAAACTACAGAGCAAGCTACTCCATAAGTGTTCCAGATAATGGCTCATCTAGCTCGTGCTATTTTGAAGAAACGACTAGCGTCCAAACTCAAAGATACACCAGCTTCAATAATATCCAATACAAAACAGCCTCAAGTGAAGACGAAAACTCCAGAAACGAAGAAATCTGATGATGAAACTTTTGATAACTTTACCGATGACTTTGACAAACTATTTGAAGGTGATTTTGATGATGTGTTTGGACAACCGCTTGGTTCTTCCAGTTCAGTAGAACTCTTATCAGACGAGGTAGTAAATAATGAAGTTGATAACGTTGACAAAAGTCCTAGAGAGGTTATCCAAACTGAATTTGGCCCAGAAGGTCCACCACCTATCATGAAACCTATAAGGCAATCTCAACAAAGAATAATTGATCCAGTTTTACTACAGAGTTTAACAAAAGGTAAATTTGTTCCTTTACTAAATACCACTGGGCACAAAGATACACTTGCTGACAAAAACAGTGATGAAGATAAGATCTCATTGACGCTGAATGGTTTATTCTCCACAAATCCCATAACACTAAAAACTGAACAAAAAGAATTATCATTAACAAATCCAAATATCAGTTTCAATCAAAGTCCAGCCGTTGAGGCAGCATTAACGAGAGGACCAGTTGGTCTTCCTGGAAAACGGTTTCAATCAATTACAAAGCCATATCAAATAAGAGGTCTCTACACTGAGTTCTTCAACCTTGGTCAAAGGCCCAAAGATTCGCATGTTGCGACCAAATACTTTGAATGTGAATATTTCCCACCAAATCATATTAGAGCATATTACAGAAAAAGTAAAGTTTCACTAGTAGTTTTTTTCAGAGATGGGTTCAATCAAAATGATCCCACATCAACGTTGAGGAAAAATATATTTCCTAATTCATGTGTCCCTAGAGATTCTGGAGCTTTCAGATCTAAATGGAGGAAAATGATTAGGTTGAAATTTTTGGAAGCACTCAAAGAGGTTGGAGATATTGATGGGTTATTCACTTTCCATGTTGAACTATATCCAACAAAACCTGAAGAGAAGGAAATTTTCCAACATGATTTGAAAAAAACTCTAGAATATTATAAATCTCAAGATTATTCAGATCAAATCAAACAAATAAACTCAAATGCTAGAATCAATTGGATCTTGCGGGGTCTTGCCCAGTCTGGATTGAGAACATATGCTGTTCCACCATATCTTGAAATTCCAGGCACGTTAAGACATAGATTTTCCAATGTTCCAGAACCAGGTACAATCGAGAGTAAATGATATAGACTACAATGATAAATTTCAGTTGTCTATCTATATATTTGCCCATTCTGGTGGCGGAGCTTCAAATTTCCATTCACCATCATTAGCATAGTATTTATAAGCATGTAAATAAATAATCAAATCTTTAGGATTTTCATCAGAAAATACTTGGTACCCACATTCTTCACAAAAATGATTAGTTGCTAAACTTTTGTAATCAGCATTAAACTCTTTAACCAATTGATCAAATTGTTCTTCAGTGACGTTTTTCGATGCTGTGATACTTTGTCTTATGGAGGATGCAGAAGGACCATACAATGGATCATTTGGTATTGGAAACCCCAGCAGGTTTAGATGTATCCTTATTTGATGAGTTCTCCCCGTTACTGGTTTACATAAAACAATTGATTCATCCAATTCACTATTATATTTCAATCCTTCAAAAATAGTGAGTGCTTCTTTCTTCACACCAGTTCCATAAGTGAAACCTTTTTTTGGAACAATGTTTGCAACGGGTTCATTACATTCAATAACTTGTTGTGGGAATTTCCCTTTCACTCTTGCAAGATACTCTTTGGCCATGGTGCTTTCTCGTATACGTTTTTGAAATTTTCCAGCCATTTCAGAGCTTTTACAAAGAACCAAAACACCTGAAGTTAGCCGATCTAATCTATAACATGGGAATAGGTCTGGTATATTTTCTTGTAATTTTACTACTTCTGTCACAGAATTGTAATAAAACCGACCCGTAGGATGGACTGGTATACCTGATGGCTTATTCACCACTATCATGCCCTCATCTTGGTGTAAAACAGATATTTCATTGAAATCTGGCACGTTAGCTTCATGTTTATGACTTCTTGTCTCCAGTTTATCTTTATTTTTCAACACTAGATCCATAAGTGAAGGTCCTGATATTTTTGCACCATTTCTAAGAATATAAACATCACCATCATTGATTTGTTTTTCCTATGCTCATATTAGTACAGCAACAAAGAGAGTTCAAGATTTCCAACATACATAATATTCCTTGGGCCTTACTCTAAATTCACTACTGAGTAGATCGATAACTCTTTTCCCGAGCCAATGTCCTTTTGCAAATGTTGAATTCACTTGATAATAAGGCACTACTTTTCTTAATCCATTTTCAATGAAGAACTTGGGTATCATTCCATCCATAAAGACCACAATTTGAACCTAAGAAGCTGGGTTCATCACTTTTGATCTTTTAGTTTAGGCCTTCATAACCAAAGTAAAAAATCTCATAAAAAAAGTAGTGTCCATACCATTGTCGCGAATTCATTTTTTTTTTCAATTTGAAACCCCGTTGATGTTTTCTTCAAAAAAGAAATTTTTCATGTCAAAAAAAAACGATGGCTGGAAAACTTCAAAAATGCTGTCAGCCAGAATCGAAGATAACATTTTGATCGAAAAGTACGGCTGCAAACAAAAATTAGGGAAGAACCCAATCCATTTTTTTAGAAATAATGCTCTGTAAGGGACAATTAGGATGAACCTAGTCGAGAAAATCCGCACAAGCATACAAATCTCAAGGTTTGGGGATGTTTGAGTCAAGTTTTTAGTGTGGAAAGTGATACGATTCCAAAATCACCAGATCTTTTTGACGGTACAGGACACACCACAAGTAGTAGCGAAAAATTGAAGAAATCATAGAATAACCACATTACAACAAGATCAATTCAAAATCATATTATAACGAAAATGTTCACTGATTTAATATCTTTGTTTCAATATTAATTTTACCCAGTTTATTGTCTTGCAATTCTATGTAAAGTTGCTAAACAGCAAAGCCAAACTCACAAACTTGGGGATGGAAAAGGCGGTTCGCGACACACTGAAAAAGTAACATGATTTTTTCACGATCATGAGAATTTGTGAGGAATCGTATGCTTTCAGAGAATTATCATCAAACGGGAAATGCAGTGACCATCCAATCTACAAACGTGTATTTTCATGTTTTTGTCTCTCCTCAAAGCTTAAAAAAAGGTATTTAAACGATGCCTTATCCCTAGCCATGGACATAATCTTTGTTGATTCAAAACATCATCAATTGATACAATCAATCACAACTACAACTACTACAACTCATAACAATGTTCACTTCACAAATCTTAAGATCAACCATCTCATTATCTGGTCAAGCTTTGAAAACTCAAGCTCCAAAACAAATTAGATTGAGTGTCAATCCATCAAATGTCAAACACTTCACAAGAACTTTAATGGGTAGAGTCCCAAGAGTCTTCCAATGGGGTGCTTTAGTCGGTTCAATCATCTTCTGGCCACATCCAGCTGCTTACTTGATTGACTTATCTGGTGGTATGAATGCTCGTCTTCAACAATAGATTCAATAAGGCAGCATTATCATCTAATTCATATTCCAAATATTGAAATCAATTTGGCTTAATTGTTTGTACATTATATTCAAATTCTGCATCTGCTTTTTTATTTACAAATCACGGTTTTATGACAATATACTTGTGTTGATATTCTCAAATCATTCTTTCACACATATTCCCCTTAGGTTAACTTTATAAACTTATTAATTTACGACTTTTATACGATAATTTTGAAACTTGTAGAATTGATTTTGAATATTTGATTTGAGCTTAATTTTTATAGAGCGTATTAGTCGCGAAACCTTATGTCATCATTACCTAATATCGCTTCAAAACTTATGTAATCACATCACTTATTTTTTCAGTGCAAAAAAAAAAATTAATGTAGTGCAATTATTGCAACACTTTTAATCAAAATTATATCCACATTCAAGCCAAAAGGTTAGATCGAGTGGGTTCAGTTTGCATGATGTTGTCGCTTAGAGGAAGAATAAGGGCATTTCATACTTTTGGAAGGCTGGCTCAAGCACCACCTACAAATAATTTATATTCCTTCGTTAAAGACGAACCTTCATCAATAGAGCCTGAACAAAAAGAAGAAGATCCTTCTGTATTGAGATTAAGAGGTAAAAAAAAAGCTCCAGGTAAACAAAATCTTGTTATCTTGAACGCAAAACAATCAAACATTTTCCACAAATTACCAAATCATACCAAAATTGCACCTGGTTTCCATGTTTTAGATCCAATTGAATTTGAAACATCAAGAAAAAGACTATTACAATTCAAATCAGAGGTCCCACTGGATCAGATCATATCAAGTATACAATACATCAAACCTGATGCCTCTGCTGTTTCCGCAGTTAGATACCGTCAAATCAAAGATGATATAGCCTCTGCATATTCAATTTCTCAACTGAAAGAATTTATTAAAAAATATTTCCCAGATATCAAAGTTATAAGTTCACTCACTAAAAAGAAAACTATTGAAAAAATACTGAAAGATTGTTGGAAATTAGAAGAATCAGATGAAATCAGTTCAGCTCAAGATTTACTTATTCAAAGAAGTTTTGATCTTTCACCTGCTGAGATTTTCATTCTTTTAGCACAAAATCCAATGACATCTTGGTTAAGAGCTAATGTCCAAGTTATTATGATTCCAAGTGATAGACAACTTATTGTTCGTGCTAGTGCTCAACATGTTGCATATATTGAAATGGCATTATCAAGAATCTTCCATAATATTGTGACAGGTTCAATAAATTTGGAACAAATTACTGAATTGTATAAAAATCAAGGTGAAGATTTACCATTGGATGTCATTCAAAGACTATCAGGTGTTTATATGGAAAAGTCTTCACTTGACACAACATCAACTTCACCAGAACAAAAAGTAATTGCTTCACCGGAAACCACCCCTACATCAACAAACAATACCTTGTATGATTACAACATGTCTGCATTAGGTAGAAGAAGATTTTCATTAGCTAAAAGATTGATGCTTTGGGCACTAGATTTCAATCCATTTGTGAAAACCAATATCCACATCAAATACAACAAGAAATCAACATGGTTTAAAAACATTTTAAGTGAAACTATGCCATGGATTCATAAGAACAAAACATGGGTTCGTCTAAGAGCCCCAAAAGGTCCACACAAATCAGCAACAGAACTAAAAGCACCAGAAATAGATTATCAAACTATTCATAATGAATTAAATACCCCAGCAACTTCAAATAAAGCTATAACAGATGCTCCACAAAGTGTTATTGCTGTTAATTTTGGTCACTTATTATATGATGAATCAACTTTAAAAGATAAAACCCCTCAGACATTCTTCCAAACAACTTTACCACACATTCGTGATACAGTTCATTCATTAGAAACTTTTGGTGAAATTGAAGAAGCTGATCAAGAATTAGTTAGTGCTGATCGTCATGAATATCATGCTCAAATCAAATTAGTTCCATCCCCTTTCAATAATGCTCAAAATTATTTGAAATATCCTCCATTAGAATTCTGGATTGAAATTAATGATAAACATAAAGGTGATGTAACAACTTTGCAAGTTTTACGTATCATCAATGAACAAAACTCAATTGTTTCATTGCCTAATCACCCATGTGATTTGAAATTCCTAAGATCTGATTCAGAACCTTTACTCGAAGGTTATAATGGTTCTGATGATTGGTTAGCTGATCAACCTGGTATTAAAGATTTCTTAAAATCATCAAATCTTGATTTCAGTGGTAGACCTGGTTTGAAAATTGCTGATTATGTTGATGTCAAGATGCCTGGTACTGATGAAGTTATTAGATATGATTACGTCACCATGGCTTATAGAAAACATTTAACAATGGATTACAAAGGGAAATTATTGCAATATTCTATTGTGGAAGGTGGTAGATTAGGTGGTAGAACAAGTGAAGCATTATTAGTTGGTAAAGTTGATGAAATAACATTAGATGAATTTAAAGAGTTTGTGGATGATTCTGTGAATTTTACCAAGCAATTATGAATAATTATTCAAAAAAAAATAGCATCAAAAGCTACAATATATTTGTATATAGTCAGCTTATAAAAGGCATTTGATGTTAATAACAAAGTTACGTTTATATAATGACTCATGAATGTACAATCAGTTCCAATTAACAAAGTCCCTGCTCACTACTCTGAACACTTTAATTTTACCACTTTTCATATCAGAAGGTTTATAAGAAGAGTGTTTAACTTTACCATTGGCATCTGCTTCAATAACACGAAATTTTCTTTTGTTTTCGTCGTATTCAGTAATGATTGCAGCAAATGGAGCACCACTGTTACCAACTTCATAAATAATCTTTTGGTGTAGTTTATTATGACCTTGGAATTTAGCCTTGTTGATGGCAATAACGTCACCTGGTTTAAAATCATCAGCTTGGTGAACTTCTGTATTGTTTGAGTTGGTATAAATTACAGCACCATAGCTTCTTAAACCAACTGGCTTCAAAACACCACCAATTTGTGACAATATATGAGTAACTAATGGCTCTTTTATTGATTGATTCACCAACCTTGATGCAATTTGGAAGACTTGATTCCCTAAAGTGGTCGAATATTTATCCAATGCAGACTTATCTAAAGCCGGTGGATCTTCAGTTGTTTCTGTGATATTAACAGTTCCATGTGGATCAGCAGGGTCAAAAACAACATGCAATATTAGTTGCGAGTTATCTTGATTCAAAATGTAATAGTCTTTCAAAACTAACTGTTTACCACCTCTTCTCTTGATAACATTTTCATCGACTTCAAAGATCAATTCCTTATTAACCCTTGATTGTAATCCTGGTGGTAACTCATTGTTCTTCAACCACCATCCAGTATGAACATCCAATTTTGTTTCACCTTTTGAGACTGCACTGGAAACTGACCCTCTGATCTCTTGGGGTGATTCTTGGGTAACTGGTAGAGTGGACGCTCTTCTAACAGAAGGACTTGGTGCTGGTGAATCTGGTGATAATGGGAAATCACGACTAGTAAAAGCAGTTTTAATACCAGGGATCGGAGGTGGACCACTTGGAAGTTGAGGAGATTGATTGAAATCAACAGGTGATTGTGGGATTGGAGGTGGATCATTATGGCTTCTTATACTTCTTGTGCTGTGAATGCTTGAAGTACGTCTTGCTGGTCTGCTTGGTGTAAATTCTTGATCTTCATGATCCGGTGGAGGAGATGCAGGTGCCCTTGATGGAACTGGTGGTATACTTGGATCCAAGGTGCTGAACTTAGCTGGCTCAACATCTGTTGGTACTGGAGGTGGAGCTGACTTAGATTGCTTCTCGTTTGATGATGGAATAGCAGGAATAGATGGGATTGGTGGGGCTTCTTTTGGAGCCTCAGATGGTGCGTGTGGTGGAACACTTGGTGGTGGAGGTGGGACTTTTGGTAAACCAGTTGGCTCTTGGGTAGGAAGTTGAGTGTCATCATCAGACTCATATCCAGTGGTATAGTCAGAAGCAATATTTTGAACTGGAGTTGAATCCAAAATTGGAGTTGAAATGTTTGGCAATATCTTCTCCTTCTTTTCCCTTTCCCTATCTGAAAATGTCAAATCATCTTCCGTGCTATATTTCTCCTCTTCGTCATCACCTTCAATTGCAGATTCAGGATTGATATGCTTTGAGCCCGACGTAATATCACCTTCAGTCAAGCGTTCTGATAAAGAACGATTTCCTCCAACAGACTCTGATGCTGATAAAAATGATTCATTGTCCGCAACAGGCTCTTCTTGTACAGGAGGTTTAGGAGCAGCTCTACTTTTAACGTCATCATGAGATATGATCGAGTAGCTATCAGCTGCAACTGAACTATCTTTCTCCTCACCAACTTCTGTCTCAATCTCATCTTCTTGAGCTTCTGTTTCTTGATCAGGCTCTGCTGCAGTATCTGCAGTATCTTTTCTCTGTAAGGCATCAGGTAACTTAGGAGCACCAGCAGCACCACCAAGGGGTAATATTGGGATAGGAGCTGCCCTTGGAATTTCATCTTCTTCTGTTTGTTCAGTGCGCTTTGACTTTTTTTTGGTTGAACCACCAGAACTAGTAGGAAGACCCCCAGCTGCTGCAAAAGGGTTGAAGCCACCATACATACCAGCACCTGCTAGCTTTGCCATTCTTTCTCTTAACGCAGCCCTTCTTGATTCTTCACTATCTTCCTCTTCTTCTTCTTCTTCCTCTTCGCCAGTTTCCTCGTCTTTCGCTTGGTCCTTTGGCACTTCGTCATCAACTGTTTCCTCTGCTGTGGCTTGAGATTTGACGTCTTTACCAAGGTCAATAGCAGGCTCTCCGTCATCATCATAATCACTGTCGATGGGCTCATTTATATTTTCAGCAAGGTCATCAGCTGCAATTTCAGTTTCATCATCGATAGTTGTTGGTTGTGGTACTGGTGGTGTTTTTTTATGTGAATCCTTCTTCTGCTGTTTTTTCTTTAAAGCTTCAGCTTCTCTTTCAGCTTCTTCTTTTTGCTTTTGTTGTAATAAGGCAATTCTTTCTTTGAGGCTTAGCTTTGGACCTTCTTCTTCTTGGGGTTCTTCACGGAAAGATGATGATGGTTTGATAGGCTCAGGTTGCACTTCCTTGTTTGTGTCACCAGCATTTTGAGGTTTGTCTTTCTTTAAAGGAGGAGGAACGTACGAGGAATGGGAAAAATCAAGCTTTGACTTTGAATCTTTATCTTTAGTTCCGAACGATGGAGGAACATATGATGATGTTGTTCCTTTGAGTGATTTTTGAGATTTTTCTTCAGGAACCTTGGAGCCTGGTAGTGGGAAAGGGTTTCCACTATTGAATGTTGATATTCTAGAGCTTAGACCTTTTGGTGTGAATGGTTTCTCAGTGTGTTCCTCCTCTGTCCGCTCCACTGCCTCTTTCAACTTTTCGGCATCAGCTTGCTCCTTCGAAATAACTGGATCCACTGGGGTATCAGTCTTTTCGATTTTTGTAAAAGCTGTATTTTCATTTCCTTCGACATCTTTACTTGGCTCTGGTTCTTCTACCTCAGGGGCAAGACCAGCTGTTGTACTTAAATTTCCAGTGGCATCAACTTCACTCACAAAGTTCTTTGGAAACATACCACTATGTGTATTGCCATCAGCATCCGTATAGGAACCACTGTACCATTCATCATCTTCAACTGCAGTAACTTGAATGACTTGTCCTGAACTGAAGTTCAAATCATCTTCAAAATCAGACTTGTATTCATAAAGTGCAACTGCGCTAAATGGCACTTCCTTGCTTGCCATTTTTCTTCAAAACTTGTGGAAATAAACCAAAACAATAACGTAAAAGCTCGAATATAAACTCTTTGAATGTAAGATAATAATAATGTTTGTCTCTGAAGATTCAATTGGATCAATTGAGGGTTGTTTTGAGTTTCGTTCAAAGGTGAAATAGGAGGTCAATCAACTATTTTGATATCCAGTATTCCTGGGGCAGACACCCGCGAATTCGCGATTGATAAAGTTTACCCGGGTTTAGTGCCCTAACCAGAATATATCAATTACTATGCGTATAAATATTACAGATGTGTTCTGTAGTCTCAATACTTCTGAGCTAAATTTACTGACGTTGTCTTACGGATAATCAGATATAATATGTACATTTAATCTTCAAGCTACAAAACTTCATTTCAATTACCCATAAAACTCGTAAATTATGTGCATAATTACAGCACTTTCATCTTTGCAAATCACAAATGCATGACTTTCCAGTCTTTGGACAGGTTACAATGATCCATTTGGTACCCTTTGAGGCTTCTTTTGATAACGCATTGTATATTGAGGTTGCAAAACTTCTAGGTGTTGAATTTGATACACCCCCAACCTTTCTAATCCATTCATCTTTTTGTGCAACAGAAGTTATAGACATCATATCCAAGACTTCATCACGAACTGGATCAATTGCAATGACTGGAACTGAAGATATATCACTCAAAATTGAATTACTAGTCTTTCTAGCATTTTCTTCAACAGACCATCTATCTTTTTTGGTGGACTTCTTGGAACTTCTTGTTGCCTCATTCGAAATATGAACCACTTTTTGGTTGTCAAAAGTAAATGATTGATTTAGCCCATTTGATAGGCTCTCATCTGATGAATTATCATTACCGTAAATCTCTTGACCACTAGAGCCAGGTAAACTATTAATCGAACCAGCCAAATTTTGATCATGAAGATCACTTTGCACAATGGATAAGAGTTCATCAATATCAACATCAATATCCGCTGAAGTTTCGATATTCTTAAGCTTCAAAGGTTTATATTTCTTCTTATTCATACTATGCGATGCATATTGTTGCTGTTGTTGCTTAATAAGTACAACCCATTTTGCACCGTTATCCTGAGCAGAAGTCAATATGTCTTCCACCCCATGTGTGTTTTTAAAAATATCAGCAGATATCCCAGCATTCCAAAGTTTCTTGACAACTTCGATTCCATAAGTTTTCCATAGAGTTGAGCTTAAACTTGAAACCAAAACATCGCACCTCTTTGGATTCCAATCAACTTTTGTTTCAGTATCTTTCAAAAAATTTCTTTTACTCTTTGAACTTGATTTTTTTGAGCCATTCAACCTCATAAAAGATTGCATGTTGCTGAACACTTTTTCACAAGCAAGATTAAAACCAACAGCATGCTGAAGATGAAAAGAACTATCACCCGAAGGTCTGGATAGATAAGAGATCAAACTATCATAGCGACCACCTGCAGCAATAATTGTTCTTCTTTTTTCCTCATTGACAGCTTGGAACATGATGCCATTGTTATAGAATGATGCATTATAATTACTCAAAGGTGAAATAAAGATAGAAGTATTGACACCAAACAGCTTCAGGTAGTTCAAAACCTTTGATAGGTACAGAATATAAGAGTCAATCTTGGCTAAGTGGACACTATCAACCATCAATCTATGCAATCTAGCCTTTGTATTCTCAGGATTTAATCTAAAATCAAATTGTTCAAGTTCATGTAATACCGTAGATGTGATATTGAGCTGTTCTCTCAAGTCTTGCTTGGCCTGTTTCATAGTCTTTGTAAATCCAACTTGTGACAATGTGTTGCATACTATAGGCCTTTGTGCTTTATCTATACCACAAAAATCAAAGATTATGTCAAGAATACCACAATGGTTGATAACTATTGAAGTTGAGGATTTCTTGAAAACTGGGAAAATTGTGATGATTTCATCAATAACTTTGATTGTCTCTGCATCATGGAATGCAAGGTCAGTAGATTCAGAGCTAATGATATCAAAATCAATTTCAGCAAATTTTCCTGGCTCGGCAGTTGAATTACTTGGATCCGGCCTGTAAACATACTCTATTCTGAACAGTTTTTCCAAGGATGAATTTGTTTTGGCTAGATACCTTGCCATAGGAAGTGTCAAATCATAAGCAAGCTGTAACACCGTACCCGTTTTGTCCAAGACTTCATAAACATTTTGCATGGAGTATAATGGTGATTTGGGGAACATCAATGGTGGTTCTTTTGTCTCGACAGCACCATGAATTTCAAAAATTGAGGTTATTTCTTTGATCATCTGTTTATTCAGAAGCTGATTTGAAATGGGCAATGGGTCACGCTTCTTATCATACAACACATCATTTGCTAGACTATATGGCTGATTAAATAATGTTTCTCTCACTTGCTCTTGCCATGGTGACGAAGGATCTGCTAGACTTTTCAAAGCTTCTTTGACAATCTGATCTTGTTCTTTCACTGGTAATAAACCTGACTTTAACAATTTATCTGCACTTGGGCGAACTCTCGGGTTGTGGTCTAAAAGCTCTCTAATGATTTTCTTCTCCACTGGGTATTTGGCAGGGGAAAATTCATTTGGAAATTTGACATTTGGTAATCTCAAATCTTTTAATACCATAACTCTCTCCATACCTGTTGACAATTTATATATCATCTCAAAGAAGATGATACCCAGTGAATACATATCAACCTTTGAATCATAATTACCTTCACCAGTTAAGACTTCATTCGCAACATATAAAGTTGTACCAACTTCTGAGGTTAAATCTTCGGAATTTTGATAAGAATTCTTCTCAAGTTTGGAAACCGAAGATATTGAATTATGAACATTTTTGGCAAGACCAAAATCACCAACTTTGATATTTTTAGATTGATCAATGAAAATGTTCATTGGTTTCAAGTCTCTATGGATGATACCCTGAGCATGAATGTGACTCAAAGCTTCCAAGATTTCTCTGAATAACCTGAAATATTCATCCCTTTGCATCTGAAGAGACCCTGAATTGATTAAATCGTGAAGCGTATGGTTTTCACAATACTCCATTTGGATGAACAGTGTGCTCATTTTCTTCTTATTTTTGAAAATAGCTGATCTCATTAGTTTGGGTTCGGAGGCTTGTGACGAAATCTCTTCAATATCTGAATTATCTGAGTGTTCATGATCTTCATCTGAGGAGCTAAAACCAAATTCAATTTCTGGATAGTCATCATGCATGGAGTTCGAAATAAAATCCAGCGTATGGCTTCTATTGATATCTGGTCTGGAAAAGCTCATAGTATGACCTATATCATCAATTTCATCAAAGTCTTTGCTATCTTCTTCTTCAGCTGTATCTTCACTTTCACTATCAGCAAATGGTGTCTCGTCATGATCATCTTCTAGCCATGCAGCATAGTATCTCACAACATATTGATGATTTAATCTTGCAAGTAACATAACTTCATTTAAAATTGAAGATAATTTGTCTTCTCTATGTCTGATTTTTTTGATAGCATAAAACCTGCCATCAAGCCTGTTTCTTGCCTTGATAACTTTCCCAAAAGCACCTTTCCCCAAAATAGCACTTTCTTCAAAATCCTGTGCATATCTCGATATAACTCCAGCTGTTCCACCTCCTGAATAAGAAAATCTATCTCCATTGTTGAAACTTCTTCTTGGATGACGTCCCGAATGGGACGATCCAACAGATAAACTGCTAGACATCATACTTGCCGTCAAATCTTCAACATTATTACCAGGGGTTCTTGCCAACAAGTTTGGATTAGGTTGATCAATATTTGTTCTTAAAAATTTTGATGGCAAAAGCTCAAGTGGTGCAGGTCTCTTTCTTGGTTTCTCAATAAAGATACTTTTGATAAAATCCTTTAACGATTCATCTAGAGGGACTGAACATAAGAAATCATCAGGAGTATCATATTCCTTTATTGCTTCAGCACCAACAATTAGTTCAACAAATAGCACACCAAGATTCCAAACATCAGTTTTTCTTTGAGGTTCTTGATTGTCTCTTAACTCTGGTGCACACCATGTATTCTTTATAACACTGACTTCCACCCCATGGGATTTGTTCGGATATTTTGATAACATGTTGACCAATCTGTAGCCATAAGTTGGATGTTTCAATTTTGCAGTAACTGCACCAAGATCTTTATTATTGAACAAGCAAATAGAACTCAAGTTTATGTACTTATGAATCAAACCGGCCTTGTGTAGTTGTTCTAAACCTTCAATCAGTTGAATAATCCATGATCTTGCAGATGCCAAGTTAACAAATTTGATTGTTGATAAAAGATCTTGAAGTGTCCCCAGGGAGGAATACTCTGTAAGAAGTTTGATTTTGAAAAACGCTCCTCGTTGTCTTCCTTTTTGAGTTATTGGCTCTATACTGTATGCATATAATGAAGACACATTTTCATGTCTGAAATCAACCAAGCTGTCCAATTCCTTTTCAAGGTCTTGAACTTCCTTCTTACCACTAGAAGTTCCAAAAAATGGGTTCTCAAGTTCAACTTCAATCAAACAAAACAAAGATTCATCTTCCAAAGTTTTTAATCCTTTTTTGTAAATTTTACTTTCTTCAGCTGATGGGTGCAAATAAGGCTTCACGATGGATAACTTTCCAAATGACAAAATACCTTGTGGTCTTGAGGTGAGACACCTTGTAACAGCTTTGAATTGAAGTGTGATGTTGTTTGAAAGCCTTACGGTGATGACTCTATCAAACACACACGCCTCACCGGAATCTATTTGCTGCTGAGGTGGATACATAAGTGAATCATCAACATCTTCATATTGATCCACATGTTTCCCATCCAATTCCTTATTATCAATGTGTCTTTTTTCCATCTCTTTTTCAATCAACATATTTGTTCTTTCAAGATCCTTCTGTCTCTTTGCCTCCTCTCTAGCCGCCATTTGCCTCTCTTGGGCTTCCAGTTGTTCTTGCTCTTGTTTAATTCTAAGCAATCTTTCATCTTCTAGTGAGTTTGTATTAGCAGCCTTCTGATAAATATCCAACTGTTCTTTGATAGTTTGTGTTATTTCAAAGATCATCTCTGTACCTCTAAGTTCTTTGCTTCTTTCCTTGATGAATTTCTCGAGGTATTGTGATTGACTTGAAAGAACATGTACCTGGTTTTTGATCTTGATATTTGGTACAGTCAGCGGGTATGTTGATGTAAGTTCAATATCTAATGTAAGTGAGACTGTTGGATCATCTTCATATGAGTATAAATGAATCTCAAATTTAGGTGATGGTTTTTTGTTCCAAGCGGATTTTGATTGTGTTTTATCCTTAAAATCATCCATATAAATGGATTTTAAAGCTTCAACTTCATTTTCTTGAAGATCGTAATACTCTTCAATTGAATTACCATCCAACATTTTGATGATGTGTTAATAAAAAATAGATCTGTATGTGTTTTCCTTCCTCCTTCGATATTGATGTAAATTGAATTCCCTTTCCTTACCTCAACTAAAGTAATATCTGATTTTAGTTTCTATCAGATGTAATACTTTCCAAATAAACAGCTGGTAGAATGGGTCAATATTGTACTTGGTTGAGTTATTGAACGGTTGTACACTTACCTATGCAAACTGTTTAAAATGACATCTTTATTTTATTTAATCTCTGATCTTGGTGTGTAGATAATAAGCAAGCTGCTTTGACAATTGTAATTTAGTATAGTAGGGAATTGGTTTGAAGGTGTGAAGGGGATTGGAAAGGTAGGAATTGTGATGGAAAAGACGTTAAAAAGATATCAACACCAGAGATAATAGGCTGTATAAATAATTTTTTTGGTGTGCAGCATCAACAATTTTCGCGAATCCGTTTTACACTTTTCATTTAGAAGCTCATCATGAATGAGTCAAAGCTGAGATTCTACATTATGAGTCACGAGCCGTTAAGAACGGCAGTCTTGATATTAAAGGCAATTTTATTACACTCTGTTCTACATTCTTTGTTGAAAAGAGTTCCTTTTACAAAAGATAAACATAAAGATTTCAGTTTTGAACTTCTAGGTCATGAGAATGCAGTAGATGAGAGTTGGATTCATCACCTTGGTCTGCTTTAAGGATTGCAATTTCTTCTTTTCCAACGTCACTGTCATCCAAGTATGGCTTGAACGCTGTTAAGCTTGTGAGTTCTGGGAAGTTTCTTCTGTAAGCCCAATAGGCAATACACATTCCAATCAAACTTCCCAACAAAACATCCACAAAATGATGTCTATAATCTTCAGTTCTTGAGAGAGCAACTAATCCAGCACCAAGAGCAGGAACAGTGGCCAAAACTTTTCTCCATGAGCCTGTCAATGGGTGTTCAGTTAATAATTGTCCATATAGCCAAAGTGTCAAGTAACCTAATCCTGAAAAAGCAGTACTTGAATGACCAGATGGAGTAGTTCTGAATCCATCAGCTAGTCTTTCTAAGTTCTTGGTGGTACAAACATCCTTAGCAAAAACTAATGTGTTTAGAGGAGTATCAGGCTTAGGAATACATCTTGCAATGAAATCAGGTCTATGTCTTCCTATCCAGTTCTTCAAAATATCAGTGAATAGCCCATTGACAAAGAAAGAGACGTAGAGCCCCAATAATGAAACATATCCCAGATACAACTTGTGAGTTGGATGTCCAATTATGATAGTAAATAACGCAATCACGACAGTTGGGATGAACAATGAGTAAAAGATGTTGTGTTGATTCGGCACTCTTTCATGCTCAGCAAATGGGTGGTTTATTGTAAGATCATTGACGTAGAATTGCCTTTCAAAAGGTGTACCAACATAATAAACTGAAGAGTTGATTAAAAACACGATGGGGATTAAAATGACATCCCCAATCCTCCACTTCTTTATAGCTGGGAAAAATGAAAACCTGTCGAGGCCAAATGTAACTCTGTTGATTGCCATTCTGATTATTTAACTTGTCTCAAATTTCTGACTTCTCAATTGTTTTCAAGAGCGGTCTGTTATTTGTATTGTAACCACAAGGTACTTTACAGGAGTTACTATTAATTTCCTTGTACCTTTGATAAGGCTGGAGAAATCCGGGTGATACTGGCCTTACCGTGTTTACTTTCGTGGCCTGTCCAAAACCGAGTCTATGTTGTTCTTGATGATGAACTTTAAAATCTTTCTTTCTTTATTCCCTGAAATGCTTTGTGAAGCAAAAATTGGTGCTTTTGTTACTCTTTGGCTGGTCAATAGATCTAACTAGGATCTTCAAGTCACCATTGGCAAGAAACGGTTTGAACAATTCTATATGCCGCATCAATTCTTCAAGGATGCGCACTCTGTGCTTAACAACAAGTTTGTTCCAAGAGCGTTCTCTTTGAACCTCAATGCAAAGGATGAAAAGGCCAATGATCGAGATAACTTGAGCAAAGGTTCTGAAAGGTTTGATGATTCATTAATCGCACCCCAAGCAGTGTCTACCGCTCCATCAACTGGATCATCCTCATCTCGTTTCTTTGGCGCGTATCCTGGCGGTAAGGCTCAAAAACCTGTCAAAGATCAATTCAATGATAACATACTAGGTGATTCGTCTATTGACAACATTGAGAACTTTGTTAAAGCTTCAAATAAAGACAACTTTGCTGGTGTTTCCGGTATAGCTCGTGAGAGGCCATCGTCCACTAGAACTTCAACCAATAGTTCAGATGACCTTTTGATTACTGATGTTAGAGAGATCAATGGAGATCATACAGACGAGACTTCGCCATCTATTGTTTCCAATTTGAAGCCAGAAGCTAATGATATTCAACTGGAAGAGGCTCCCTCTTTTCAGGCAGCAGAAACTTCGGCAGATTTAGTTATGGAAGCCTTAGTCAAGTCCCAAAAATTATGCTCCCAATTCAAAGAAAAGTTGGCTCAAGCTCAGTCAAAGCTTTCTTTCCAAGAAGATGAAATCATTAATTATAAGAAGATAACTGATTTAATGAAAGAAAATGTCAAGAACTTCAGAGAACACTTGGGAACCTTGGAATCAAAATCAAAGGAACTTAAAGATGCTAAAAGAGCTGAGAGTTCAACTTTCTCACAGGTGAAAAATGAACTTGATAGTTTACATGGTGATATTGAGACTTTTAAAAGTGAAGCAAACAATTTCAAAAAAAAAATTGATCAACTAAAGCAGATCAAAGTCTCAAACTCATATGAGATTGAAAGAAGTGAGTTACCCATACAGCCAAAAATAGTGTGTTAAACTAACTATTTATTTCTAGAAAATAAGGAAATTCAATTGTTTCAACAACGTCTTGATGAAACGTCAGGTCTATTATCGGAGCAGAAAATAAAATCATCGGAATTGGAAAAAACTCTTGAGCAATGTCGAAAAGACTATGACATGAAGATTTCAACAGCCTTGAAAGAACATGAAAAGTCTCAAACCCTATTAAAAAATGAGTTATCCGATTTCAAAAGTCTTTTTGAATCAGGTTTTTATTCTAAATTGGAAGAGTTTAAACCTTTGCTAGATGCTCAGAAGTCAGATATTGATACAAAGATTGATAGCTTGCAGGAACGGTATCCATACCTTGTGTCTCTTTTTGCTCTTCGGAAAGTTTACTAACTTTGTTTAGCCTTTGCAACTCCTTGAAAATCACTGAAGAATCTTTTTCTAACCAAATGAAAGAAACATCTACGGTATATGAGACCACATCAGCCAACATTGATCAATTGAGTCAACTTTTGAAACCAAAACTCGAGAAATTAACGAATGACCAAGCCTTTGTGAATACTATCTGTACTCAAATTTTGGATGGTTATAAAAATTTGGTTAATGAAATTCAAGGTGATCATGGGAAATCCTCTGAGATAAATTTAGTGTGTAAAGATATTCTCAGTCACGTTGATTCTCTCCAGGAAAGTTACTATAAAACTCAATCTCATTTGGCTGAGTCTGCTAAGCTTGTGGAATCTAAAAAGGAAATTGAATTAAAGTACTCAACAGCTATAGCCAAGGTAGAGGATATAACCAGTGAGCGTGATAGTCTCCAACAAAAAATTGATCTATTGCAAAGTGACTTGAAGTCCATTGAGTCATCAAAAGCAGAGTCTGAATCTGAAATTGCAAAATTAAAAGCAGTAATCAACTCCAAAGAAACAAGCCTAAAACAATCAGATCAAAAGGTGCAAAAATGCAAAACCACTTGTGATAGTAAGCTTAGAACGCAAATGGAGATACACAAGCTAATTAGTGAAGAGCGCGATAAACTTAAAGCGGAGTTAGAATCTAAAGTTCGATATACCGTTTACTTTATATAACTACCCATACTAACGTTTGACTTTTTAGAATCAAAGACTAAATAAACTTGAACAAGATTTCAAAAAGCTTGAAACATCTAATAATGAAAAGGAGAATGTCATAGAATCAATTAGAGATGAAGACATAAAAAACAAATCACAGTTGAAGAAACTTCAAGATCAAATCTTGCAACTCAGAAATGAAAATGCTGGGTTATCTGAAAAACTCAGATCACAATCAAAACCAACCAGATCGGTTCCTCAAGATCATCCAGCACCTAATAGTCAAGAATCGACGAATGATTTAGAATTAACTGCAAGTTTTGGTCCATCAAGTAAAACACCAATGGTTAAGAAACCTGCATTTGAACAGAAACCTGAAATTCAACAAAAGAGGAAAATATTGATGTCCAAATACTCAAAGCGTAAAAAACTTTTGGATGATTCAGATACCAACACTTTATTTGATGATTTTGATTTTGATTCAACTGAAAATGTTGCAACTTTACCAAAAAGATACACAAAAAGAAAGAAAACTATTGGTGCTTGAAATTTGGATGGTTTGCTATATACAGTCTTTATTTATAATTTGCCTTATTTGTTGATCTCCTCTATTATCTTTTCACTATTCAAATAATGCATAAATTTAACTGGATCTTCTTGGTTGGTTCTATCAACATGTAAAACAGGAACGTCAAAGCAATAAGCATCCCACCATTGCTTGTTTAAAGGTTGGGTTATATCAACATATTGAAGATTGAACTTATTGGCCATTGTTTCATTATCTCTGACTTCCTCAACAACCACTTTAGCTTTGTCACATAAACTGCACCCGTCTTTTGCAAATAAGGTTAGAGTGATCTTTTGTGAATTGAATGCAGTGCTTGAAAACCATCTTGCTGTATGGTTAGATGCGGTAAATGGTCTTATAAGGGCTGAGCTTCTGAACATTGTGATTTCTGATGCTTTGAACGCTTCTGAATATACTATTGGTAGAATAATTTCGAGTTGTAAAGAAAAAGTGTAGATAGAATTCGCGAAGCCATTACAAAAAAACATCAAAACTTTCTTCTATCTTTTCACTATACAGGCGTCTTTGGCTTTCTATCATTGACCCATGATCCAGGCGTTATTGATCTTTGGCTATTCCTTATATCGCTGGTGTCACATTTCAAATCAAGCTCTCTAGGTGATGGTGATATATAAATTCTGCCACCATTGATTTCTTTCCACCATGACATTGCTTTAGGATTCTTTGACAAAACAATCACATGAATTCTCTCTGTGAATTTACGGATTAATCTATCATTTTTAATCCAAAATCCACACTGTATGATTCTTTTCAAATCAGACTTATCATCTTTCAAATATTCCTCCATACAACAATCTGAATGCTTTTGAACCAATATATGAAGCAAATCATAACATAATGTTTGACAATAAGTTCTTTCCGTGAATTCAATTGCTTGAGATAATATGGGTATGAATCCTAAATAATCATTACAATCTGCATTTCCAGTTAAGTGGATCAACAACGTTATGATTCTACTTTCTATTGCCTTTAACATCGCTGAATCCAAGTTATCAACAGAATAAAGTCCCAATTCCAAATTAATAAGATAACGAAATAACACATGATGGGGTTGTACAGCTGGTGAATTCATTTTCCATTTGGCAAATTGCTTGTGAATAATGTGATCATTTTTTTCTCTTGCCGGGAAATGCCAATGTGCAAAACAATATTGGAGCAAAACTTCAATTAAACTCCTAGAAATATATGGACTTGAATCGTTCAAAATCTCAAATATTATCCCCGAATCAATCAATGCATCCATTACTCTATTGAGTGGTGACAAAAAGATGTTTGGGTTTTGTAAACTGCTGCAGTTTGCAGCTATTGCTAAAAACCGAAGAACTGCAATTTTTTTGGTTGCATTATCATGAACAGGCTGAGGTGGGATCATTTCATTTGTCAAATAAAGACAAATCTCTAATAATGTCTTTTCTGCTGTCCAAGCTGACTGGGAAGAAACTGTCTGAAGTGGTATTGATAAACTGACAGCTTTTGCAAGAGTTGTCAATTCTACTGGACCATCTTTTGTCAATGGACGTCCATGATAATCTTCTGGCTTCAAACTGAACAATTCTTTTATTGAATAAATCTTTTTGGTGACGTTTGAAGTTTTGAGTAAATCATTATCAGAAAAGAAACCTTCTAAAGATTTGGATGAATAATTTGGTGATTGTTGAACAACTTCCAATGGGGTGAAATCACTTGGGCCCTCGAGACCTTTTGCGGTTTCTCTGGCATCAGTGAACAGAGTTTCATCAACTTCTGAATTTGCAGATGGTGAAAACAAATGTGATTGATTAGTTTGTTGATTTTTCAGTAAATTTGGATAAATATGATTTCCTTGTGGTCCCAATATTGCACTTTGAATCATACTATTTGAAAACTCGGGAATGGTGATTGCAGTATTTATAGACCATTCAGAACCAGCGGAAAACAACCTGTTCCTTCTCCTCATTGAATAAGTATATTCTCTGATTCCAAATGTGATACATGTGACTATCAAGGCTCCAAAAATCAAAACTCCAAAGAAACAAAGCGTCTCATATAATGGATCAAACTTCGTATGAACTGGCGGTCTTGATTTGTAAGAGGAACTGCTTTCAAAATAACCAAGATGGTACTCATCAGAAGTGACTCCTGGTATTCCTCTTCTTTCAATAAATTGCATTTGTTGATTTTCAACCTCACCACTGTCAACCTTCAAATTGTCCCATGGTATCATAATGATACAGTATGGCCAAATTGTTTATGAGTTTTTTATATACATGGCGGCACCATCTATATTGATTTGATTTTATGTTGTGTTTGTGTCACTGGTAGTTCATCTTTTTTTTTGCCGGCTTGACACAAAACCAGGATTCAGACCAAAATAGGACAAATTGAAGATCTGAACCTGAAACAATCTTAAACCACTAATTCACCATCCTTCAAGACCGTCGTAACTGTACTGGGAAGCCTATAATCCATCAACACTCGTAGTATACAGTTGTACGTAGCTGAATCTCGAAAGTGACTAGGATTTCGCGAAACCAGTGAACAATATTTTGACACTGTGGCAAAGGCTTTCAAACTGACGTGTATTTACCGTTCCTCAGACTTCATGTTTTTTTTGGAGGATTTTTTTTCCCATACAAAATTTCGTCAATCTTTGAGTGCACGTAACAGCCATTTTTAAAAATCCTGACGACCATAAATCTGCCAAAAATCTTGCATGCATACACATCCAAAAAATCCTGACACGTTTCTTTTTTTCCTCCCAAAAATCCTGAAAATATGGCAAAAATCCTGACAGATTTTAGCTGACTTTGGACGCTTATAACTCAGTAATAAAAGTTATTAAATTGTCTAGAAAAGTTGTCAGATTGTAGATTGGCCAATAAACCAGAGTCCTTGCCAGATTTCAGAAATTTAAAGCTTCAAATGGTTGTGTTATAAGCATTATAAAAAGGGGTATGGTAAAACCTCTGGCTCTTGATTTTGAATTTTGAGTCGTTACTGTGGCAACCTTTCAATCTTATGTAATCTTAATAAAAATGGAAACTCTGCAGGAATAGGTCAGTTTTTCCAATGAGGGGGTAGGGACACACTTTTTGGCCTCTGGCGAAAGTCTACGTGTCAGTAAAAAAACTGAAGTCTGAGGAACGGTAATTGTAACTCAAGCCACTGTGGATGATGACGGCGTCGTTGACTTCAGACTGAGGGAATTAAGGAACTGATCAAGCAACAGTCCTTGAAGTTTGAACAGGCCTTCTAGGGATCGGTATAAGTGAGGAACGTCCTTTTCATCATCACCAATCTTTGAATCACCAGTATCCAGCAGTGATGTTGATAAGTCAAGTGCCAATATTTTGACTTGTCTCTTGACAAAAACAAGCATTTTTGAACCTTTAACCGGATGCTTGCATAGCGGTTGTATACGTTGACTTGACAGGTGACTCGTGAGTTTTCTGTGGCTGTTGCGACGGTGTTTAAAGCCTCAATTCAACCATGAATTAACATCCGCAGTCAGATTCAAAAGATCTACATAGTTTGTGGAAATCTGATGGATTCATGATTTTGGCCAAAATTTGCACTATTGAAACCACAATTTCCACAATAAACAGATAAGAAACCCAAAGAATTCAAGCCAAAGGTAAATGTGGCTGTTGGTTGGTTGCATGCTCTAGAGCATTTTATTTGCTGGTTCCTTGATAATACGATGCTCTTTGATCCAAGGTAGAGAGACGTTTAAATATGCTTCAAAATCAGCATTAGATCAATTTACTGACTGTAAAAATATTTACGCTCCTCAGACTTTTGATAACAATGAGCTTCTTGACAAAATGGTTCAATCCAACTATCATCAAAAATCAAGAAAGAGCTGAATCTTTCAATGATGCACAATCGAATTTTTCAACTAGAAACACACTTTCCAAAAATGAAACTCATCATCACACTCATGAATACTCACACGATGAAATCTCCTGGGATTCAGAGAGCCAATTGGAACATGTTTTCAAAGATCCAGCTGTTGCAAAGTATTATAAAAAAGTTTACGAATCAACAAATTATGAGTGTAAAGAATATTTTGATCCTGACTATACATGGACTGCAAAGGAAGAGAAGAAACTGGTCTGGAAATTAGATTGGTATGTTACATTTTGGGCATATATTATGTTTACAGCTTTAGATTTTGATAGATCAAATATCCAACAAGCAGTCTCGGATAATATGTTGGATGATTTAGGTCTTACAACTGAACATTATAACATTGGAAACACTATCAATTTGGTTTGTTTTTTGGCTTCTGAGTTGCCTTCACAGTTGGTTTCCAAGAAATTAGGTGCAGATGTTTGGATCCCAACTCAATTGGTTTTATGGAGTGCTGTTTCTATATCACAAGCTGCTATTACTGGTAAACATGGGTTTTATGCCACTAGGGCATTGATTGGTGCATTTCAAGGTGGGTTTATTTGTGATGCTTGTTTATGGATGTCTTATTTTTATACTTCTAAAGAGTTACCATTTAGACTATCATTATTTTACATTGCCAACCCTTTAACATCCGTGTTTTCAGCTTTATTAGCGTTTGCTTTACTAAGAATCAAAACAAGCTTATTACCACATGGTTGGCAATGGCTATTCATAATTGAAGGTGTCTTCACATTTATCATTGGTTTGGTTTCTTATTTCAAAATGCCTCCATCTGCAGTTCAAACCAAAACATGGTTTAGAAAAAAAGGATGGTTTTCAGATCATGAAGAGAAAATAGTTGTCAATAGAGTACTGAGAGATGACCCTTCAAAAGGTGATATGAACAATAGACAGCCTGTGAGTCCAAAAGAGCTGCTAAAGACTTTGTGTGACTTCGATTTACTACCTATTTATTTTGTTCGTATATTGGCTGATATTGGTACAAGTCCTGTTTCAACTTATATGACATTAACATTGAAAAAAATGGGATTCTCCACATTCAATACTAACTTGTTAACAATTCCATATAATATTTTATCAATCATTACTATGCTTCTACTGGGTTACTTTTCAGAGATTTTCAAATCAAGAGCATTGATGATTGCAACTACACCTATTTGGATATTGACATTATTATTTCCTTTAAGGTTTTGGCCGGGTTCTCAAAAACAAATATGGCCTACTTATGCTATTTTAACACTATTGTTGGGACATTCCCCAGTATGGCCATTAACCATCAGTTGGTGTTCAGCAAACTCAAACTCGGTTCGTACAAGGGCTGTCAGTGCCGCTGTTGTTAATATTTTTTCACAAGCTGGGAGTATCATTAGTGCTAATATTTATAGACCAGATGATAAACCTGCTTATAAAAGAGGTAATACTGACTTGATTGGTGTTGCATTTGGTGCACTAGCTATGTGTATTGTGGCTAGACAGTATTACGTCTTGAGAAATAGATATAAAGAAAAGAAATGGAATAGTTTCTCTGAGCAAGAAAAATTAAAATATATAGAGGAAACCACAGATGAAGGTAATAAGCGTTTGGATTTTAGATTTTCTTACTAGATAATTCATCATGTATAATATATTTAATATATTATTAAGTACAATATCTATTTATAATATATAATATTAATTACATGCAGATCATTAATTATATATATAAATTAGCTGTTATAATAACCTGTTTCTTATTATAAATATCTTCTGATTTATAATTAATCTATGCAGTCGACATATAATATATTAAAGACTAGATCATGATATAATATTTTTTTTTTTTAGTTGATGTATTTGATGAACTTGGATGAGGAATGCAATTACGCACGAACCGCTTGGATTGTAGGCTTTTTCGCTATGTTGGAATTCAGGCTTCCTTATAATATCCTTCTCAGCCAACTGGGAAACCAGCTATTCTCTACCACGGAACAGTGTGGGACTCGCCTCTTGTTGAGGAATACCCACTAAAACTCACCCTAAAGTCAGGGTTCAGTAATATATTAATATAATTATCGAATTATATTATATTATAACAAGCGAGTGAGAGCCTTCGGCTTGTGTAGACTTAGGCGAGATTTGGAGGAAAAGCATCGAGCTACAATCCGAATTCAAAGGACTCACTCATGTGAAGACAAAACAATATTTGACTTATTAAGAATTTCCAACAATATATTCTGGGTCAAAAATATCATATTTACGTGATGGCCTTGAAACATTGAGTTATGAGCTTTTGAGTTGTATGAATCCATTAAAGTACCCAGCATCATACTCATGACTTGTTTATCAGCATTATCAATTCACCAGTACATCCTGCACCCTACACCACCCGCAGAAGCTTCATCTATTAGAGCATTCTCAATCCACCAGTACACCCTACAACACACCAGCAGAAGCTTCATCTATCCCATTCTTGAAAGCATTCTCAATTCACCAGTTTTTCTATAATACCCAACACCATAGTCGAC